GTGCACCAGGCCCGATCACTTGTCTCATGCATCCAACCTGGGCTGGTGATCTGTTTCACCCTTGATAATATACATGTTTTGATGCTGTTCTCTTGAAACATCCCACCCTCACCTCCCACAGAGTCCAAAATTCTGTTCTATACATCTGTGTCTCTTTTTCTGTTTTGCATATAGGGTTATCGTTACCATCTTTCAAATTCCATATATATGCGTTAGTATGCTGTATTGGTCTTTATCTTTCTAGCTTACTTCACTCTGTATAATGGGCTCCAGTTTCATCCATCTCATTAGAACTGATTCAAATGAATTCTTTTTAATGGCTGAGTAATATTCCATTGTGTATATGTACCACAGCTTCCTTATCCATTTGTCTGCTGATGGGCATCTAGGTTGCTTCCATGTCCTGGCTATGATAAACAGTGCTGCAATGAACATTGGGGTGCACGTGTCTCTTTCAGATCTGGTTTTCTCAGTGTGTGTGCCCAGAAGTGGTATTGCTGGGTCATATGGCAGTTCTAATTCCAGTTTTTTAAGAAATCTCCACACTGTTCTCCATAGCGGCTGTACTAGTTTGCATTCCCACCAACAGTGTAAGAGGGTTCCCTTTTCTCCACACCCTCTCCACCATTTATTGCTTGTAGACTTTTGGATAGCAGCCATTCTGACTGGTGTGTAATGGTACCTCATTGTGGTTTTGATTTGCATTTCTCTGATAATGAGTGATGTTGAGCGTCTTTTCTTGTGTTTGTTGGCCATCTGTATGTCTTCTTTGGAGAAATGTGTGTTTAGTTCTTTGGCCCATTTTTTGATTGGGTCGTTTATTTTTCTGGAATTGAGCTGGAGGAGTTGCTTGTATATTTTTGAGATTAGTCCTTTGTCTGTTGCTTCGTTTGCTATTATTTTCTCCCAATCTGAGGGCTGTCTTTTCACCTTGCTTACAGTTTCCTTTGTTGTGCAAAAGCTTTTAAGTTTCATTAGGTCCCGTTTGTTTATTTTTGCTTTTATTTCCAATATTCTGGGAGGTGGGTCATAGAGGATCCTGCTATGATTTATGTCGGAAAGGGTTTTGCCTATGTTCTCCTCTAGGAGTTTTATAGTTTCTGGTCTTACATTTAGATCTTTAATCCATTTTGAGTTTATTTTTGTGTATGGTGTTAGAAAGTGTTCTAGTTTCATTCTTTTACAAGTGGTTGACCAGTTTTCCCAGCACCACTTGTTAAAGAGGAAACCCTCTTTCTTGCATCTCCTGCATTGGCAGGCAGATTCTTTACCACTGTGCCACCTGGGAAAGCCTTTATGTACAGTAGTCTATATCTGTTAATCTCGTATTCCTCATTTATCCCTCCACCCCTTCCTTTCACCTTTGGTAATTATAATTTTCTTTTCTATGTCTGTGAGTCTGTTTCTGTTTTGTATGTAGATTTACTTACATTCTTTTTTAGACCTCACATATAAGTGATATCATATAATACTTCTTTTTGTCTGACTTGACTTAGTATGATATTCTCTAGGTCCATTCATGTTGCTGAAAACGGCAGTATTTCATTCTTTTTGTGGCTGAGTAATACTCCATTGTGTGTGTGTGTGTGTGTGTGTGTGTGTGTAAGCCACATCTTAAACCAATCATCTATTGATGTATACTTAGGTTGCTTCTATGTCTTGGCAATTGTAAATAGTGCAGCTGTGAACATTGGGGGTGCCTGTATCTTTTGAATTAGCATTTTTGTCTTTTCTGGCCATGTACCAAGGAGTGAAATTGCTGAATCATATGGTAGGTCTATTTTTAGTGTTTAAGGAACCTGCATACTCTTCTCCATAGTGGTTGAGCCAGTTTACATCCCCACCAACAGTGTACAGGTGTTCCCTTTTCTCCATATCCTTGCCAACATTTTTTATTTGTATGCTTTTTGATATAGCCATTCTGGTCAGTGTGAAGTGATAATTCATCCTGATTTTGATTTGCATTTCCCTAATGAGTAAGCTCCAGGAGTTGGTGATGGACAGGGAGGCCTGGCATGCTGCGATTCATAGGGTCGCAAAGAGTCGGACATGACTGCGCAACTGAACTGAACTGAACTGAATGATTAGTGATGTTGAACATCTTTCCTTGTGCCTGTTGACCATCTGTGTGTCTTCTTTGAAAAAACATCTGCTTAGATCTTCTACCCATCTTTTGATTGGGTTTGTTTTTTTAATCAGATGTTTGTATATTTTGGAAATTCCTTGTCAGTGACAGTGTATCTAAATATATTCTCTTGTTCCCTAGGTAGTCTTTTTATTTTGTTGATACTACCTTCGCTGTGCAAAAATGTTTTAAACTTGGTTAGGTTCCATTTGTTTATTTTTTTCTTTCTTTTCCTTGGGAGACTGATATAAGAAAATATTTCTATGGTTTATGTCAGAAAATGTTTTGCCTATGTTCTCCTCTAGGAACTTTATGGTGTTATATTTATGTCTTTAAACCATTGTGAGTTTATTTTTGTGTATGTGTGAGGGAGCCTGCTAATGTCATTGATTCACGTGTAGCTAAAGGGACAGATTCTTAACCATTACTGAGCTACAGCCCACAGGTCAAACTTGGCCCACCACCTGTTTCTGTAAATACAGTTTTATTGGAACACAGCTATGCATATGACCTTACATAATGTAAATTCATATATTTCAACAACAGCAGCATTGAGTGGCTGTGACAGAGATTATATGTCTCACAAGACCTATCTGGCACTTCAGTGGAAAAGTTTGTTGGCCTGTACTCTACACAAGTGCTCTCTGTACTTCTTTCTGAAGCCTTGAGAGAGAGAGGGGGAACTTCAGGTGAGTTCCTTACAGGAAATATAAGGAGTCTGACAGTGGTAGTTTCTGAAAACCCACATTCTGCAAATGAAATCTGAAATATCAGTTACAGAGAAGTGTGTCAGTCTGTGGTAGTGGGAGGAGGAGATAATAGAAATAGTTTGGCTTTCTTTAGTTCCATTTCAGGATCATTTGTCACTTCCTGGTTTAGAATTATAGGGCTGGTTTGGGAAACCTCAGTGAGATGGGTCTGGTTTTCATTTACCTCCCATATGGATATCAAGATATAATTCAAGAAGCAACCCAGAAATTAGTTTACTTAATACTTAATGTAGCTATTTTCTTGTGACCATTTGGACACAGGCGACATTTTATGTTTGCCTCCAGGTTGTGTCTCCAAAATAAACAGCTTTCACACATTCACATCCTTAACCCCAATTCCTGAGCCTCCTTGGTCCCCATTCCATTCCTGACCTCTGTATCCCCGCTTCACCCTTGACTTTCACTGGGTCCTTAGGTGTTTCTCCATTCCTGTGTCTCATCCAGTTCTAGACTACCCTATCCTTCACTTCACAGTATCTCTGAGCCACACTCTTTCCCTGATGTTCAATATGGTTGTCAAAGGTTGCTTAAGTCTTGAGTGTGCAATAATATAGTCTTTTGTGCATGTAACCTTATGACCATAATCACAATAATGATCAAAGCAGTACAAGGAATTTGCTATTTTTATCTTAATAAAATATTCATAGTGATATAATAAAGTAACTGTTTCTCAAACAATTGTATATCTTGGTCAGGAAAATAATGTTTTTGGATTTCCCAGAAATAACCAGGAAAGAGATACAATCTCATATGTTCTAGAATCTTGAAACCCATTCTGTATGTCCTGGAATTACCAAAGAAAATAGCAGTGTTGTTTTCTCCCTTTTTCCCCCCTAAAATGGCTCTGTGTTTTCATGCTTGATAAATGATATGTAAGCTGCCTTTCTTTTTTCTTAAATGATATCATAGGGAAAAAAAAAAAAAACCCTAGGGAATGATTTATCTTCACTTTAGTTAAAAAGGACAAAGATCACAAAATTTTGCTATAATTGGCTTAGTGGCAACTTATCTAAAAGAAAAAGGACAGCATAATAAATACAAAATTAACTTCCCAAATCCAGGTAAGCCAACGATTCCTGGCACAGCTCTAGAGCTAAGAACAGTTTGAAGCACAATGGGTTCCCCATAGCTTCCTCCATCTGAGCCACCAGGGAAGCCCAAGTCTTTGCATCAGGAAGATCCCCTGGAGAAGGGAATGGCAACCCACTCCAATATTCTTGCCTGGAGGATCCGATGGATGGAGGGGCCTGGCAGGCTACAGTTCATGGGGTTGCATAGAGTCGGACACGACTGAGTGACACACACTTTTACTTTCCTCCATCTGTGTTCAGCTGTGTTCCTCCTTCTGATGCTGTGTGTTCAGCATCAGCACAGAATCTGCACATGAGCAATAACTAGGCACAAGCTGTAGCAAGAGTCTGAGCTTGACAGTGTTTCAGCACTGAGGCAGGAGCTTACACATTGTTCTGTCCCACTCCTGTCTAGTACTTACTTTCTCTAGTGGTTTTCTTATGTGTAATAGGTCACTAGTAGCTTCCGGCTACATGTAGCTCTTGAGCACTTGAAATGTGTCTGGTCCAAATTGCAATGTGCTGTAAGTCTAAAACACATACCAATATCAAAGACTTAGTAACAAAAAGTTTATATTGGTTATGATTATAATATTATGTATGTATTTTAAATGATAATAGTTTTGATATATTGGGCTACATATTCCTAAAATTTATTTTACCCATTTCTTTTGTAGCTACTAGAAAATTTGAAATTTTCTACTACATAACTACTATTATATTTCTACTAGTCAGTGCTACTCAGACTTGCATACATTGGTTACTCTTGTTGCATTGGTCTTCCCCCAGACTACATATGGGTTCAAGGCCCTGATACAGGAAATTATCGAGGTAACATGATTACTATGAGAAATTACTAATTTGTGTCATTGGATGAGACCTAAATAACTGAGATAGTTATGCTCTCCATGGAAATACAGAAGCTAGATAGAGGAGCTGGTAAGGTAACAGTGAAGGTGAGGTTGAGTCATAGCTGCTTGTTTGACTTTAGATAGCTGTTGGCTGCCTAGGAGCCCTTACCTCCTCACCTCTCTTCTAGACATTTCTTCCAAACTCTGAGAGCAACTAGAATTTGAGAAAAGGATTAAAGAAAAAAGGGTATAGTTAATTTTCTTAAAAAAAAAAATTCCTATTATCCAGACTGTGACAAAAAAAATCCCAGAAATGGCATTCTGCTGGGTTTACTTTTATTGAACAAGCAGTTGAACAGACAGCATTGTGATCAGGAGGCTTCCACAGCACAAACTGGTTAAGATGTCTCTGTGCCCTTAGATCACAGAATCTAGGAGGAAAGAGATGGAATAGACTGAAAGTCAGTGAGGCCATTCTCCCAACAGTTCTGTATTGCTTTCTATAGTAAATAAGATGAGCTCTGAAGAATTCTTTGTATATACAGATGGTGAAGGTAGATAATTCAGAATTGGGGTATACTTTTCCCTCATGGCTTTTATCGACTTTTGCATCATTTGACCTAGACAAGAAGATGAAAAGGTTAGATGTTAGAAACTCAAAGACATTGTAGAAATGCTGGCTATACATTTATGATTGTAACACAGTCAAAGAAATCCATCGATTCCTGCATTCTGCCAAGAATACAGGATTTCAAATCACTTTGACATTTTATTTAATTGATTCAATGAGTATTTATAGAGTATCTAATACATTTTACCTGTTGAGGTGGATGCAAAACTGACCTCTGCTTTTGATTACTTGTGACCCTCATGATAATGAAAGAAGGAAGGTGTCATTCATATCTTTTCAAAAAGGAAGAAATTGAGCTTCAGAGAAGTTCACTGACTTGCCAAGGTCTTATATTTGATCAGGACTTAAGCATTAATTGTTAGAGGAATTAGACTTTACTATTATAGTTTTAGGCCATAAGCATTTAATTAGCTGTCTTTGTGCCTGACTCATCCATGTATATTCTTAAAATCAACATTTAAAACATTAAGTCAACATTTAAAGTTTTTAAAACGGTAACTGTATCTTGTTTGCTGGTACTACCTGGAACACTAGCAGCATTATTATTACAAACTCAAACCTCTGTTTTAGTTCTCACATTGAACCCATAAGGGTTCCTTTGATTTGACTTGGCAACTTATGGTCTTGTTGAATCCTTGAAAGTCTTTGTCATGGAATTAAGCATAGTCATTTCTTAACCTCAAAATAGTATTGATATTTTTCTTAATATAGGAATTTCCTTCCAGTGTAGCTAATCTTTATTTAGTTCAGATAATGCCTTTTCTAGAGCCCTCGGTTTTCAGAATATCCTGACAACTAAAGGATGGTGGCAGAGCACAAGAAATGAAATCAGGTCTACAGCGGACCCAGAACTTAATTCTAGTGAACTTGTAAATGGCAGGATTTCTCCCAGGCTGATTTTCTTTAAAATGGGAAAGATAACAATCCCTGCTCTAAATACAGATCTACTACGAGGATGCAAAAGGAAAGAGCACAGGGAACTCTCTAAACAGTTATATAAATCTTAGAAGTTACCATATAATGAAAAGTATTTCCTAGAATAGGAAGTAAAAGTTGGGTTTTCAGTCTATTTTTCCAGGAAAGTTGTGACTGTCAGGTCTTTCATTCATTCTTGGGATTCTAGACTCTCTCAGAGAATCATCTACTCATGAACTAGGTTCAGGCAATAAGTTTCAGCCTCTAGGATTTACACCCATAATAGTTATCAGAGCAATGCTGGGCCATGACCCACCCATACCACTTTGGCATATCCAGGATCACATAACAATCATACAGCCGAAACTGAATAAATGCCCAGGACACCTCTTGCTCTAAAGATTTGTTCCATCAAATAAAACCATAAGTAATATCCATTATATAACTCTAGTGGAAAGAAAACAGCCTCAAATGAAAGGAAGGAACTTACAAAATGTTTTGTTCTTATCTCTGGCAAGATACTTCATTATTTGAATAAAAACATCTTAGTATTATTTTATGGCAAATTCCTCATAAAGTAGTTTTCATCAAGTTGTCTACATGAGATTATAGCAAGGCATGGTCTAAGGTGTGGTCTGTAGGACTTGCATAAAGATTATTTTTACCTTCCTGTTTTGAGATATACGTGACCAGATGTGTTTGTAAGATGGGGAGATAGTATATTCTGGCAATAAAATGAGAAGCAAACCACTAACAGTTTATATGTAGTAAGATAGCAAACACAATATAGGGACTAGGGCAAAAGTTTAAAACCTCTCTTTATACATGTGTAAAGACCCAGAGTAGATAAATGATTTTTTAACCCAGAAGAAGAAACAGCAAAGGTCTCCTCATTTCATTCCAGTCCCCTGCCTTCCAGCTGCCAGTGTAAAAGCAGAAACACCTAGCTTATAGCTCTTTTGTTTTTCCACTTTCCCATATCAGTGCTTACTGAGTAGTTCTTTTGAATATGGTTTCATCTAGTGTTGCTTGAGATCCTCAAATGTGGTAGAATCATTTTTAATTCCATTATTGCAAAAGCGTTATTGCCAAATGCTTAAAAGTATTTACTAAAAATTTTCAGTAACTCGGTGAGAACTTTGGTTTACGTTATTTATGTGATTTGCCAAAGGTCTCATACATGAAAAACACCAAAACTCTGAATTTATATACTTATCTGGTAACAAAATTTTTCTCTTATTTGAAACTTCCTAATATTTTTACCCAAGTCAAATGTCCTCTTGCTTGAGGAGATTACTCAAATGCCATCACCAGGGACAATGTTAAACTCAATACAGTAGTTCTCTTTACCCCCGAGGTATACATTCCAAGACCCCCAGTGGATGCCTGAGACCATAGATATATTCAGTGTAAACTGAATCTCATGTATATTGTTTTTTCCTTTACCTACACACCTATGATAGAGTTTAATTTATAAGTTAGGCATAGTAAGAGATTAACAACAATAAATCTAAAACAGGACATTATGTCAATGTAGTCCCCCCTCTAAATATCTTATTTCATTGTACCCACCCCTTTTGTGATGATACAATATAATGCTTGTGTAATTGAGATGATGTGAAAGAGGGAGGTTTTGTGACATAGCATTAGGCTATCATTGACTTTCTGAATACATCAGCCAGAGGATCATCTGCTTCAAGCGATCCTGTATCATCAAACTGTGATGGTGTGCATGGCTGGATGTCAGAAGCTGATATCCATGGTCAGGAATCTTTGATAGCAAAAGGTTTTTTTTGAGGAAAACTTTTGAAAGGCTATTGTAGTTAGAAGTTATTGCTCTTTCTAATTCAAAGTGTTGCTGCAAAAGTTGCAATCCTTTGGTGATCATATGGGTAGCTTTAATGCTGGCTTCCATTCAAGCATTATACTCCATAATTTTGCCTTAATATTTGTGCAGCTTGAAACAGTGGCAAATTTTGCTAATGTTTACAATGCTGTTTCTGCTTCAGTTTCCCCTCTGTCTTCCTCTCCCTCTGTTGATGACTCAGTAAGTTCTTCTAGGTCCTCATTCTTGGATACTCGTCAATGGCCTTCAATATGTTCTTCCACTTCATCAAGCACGTCAGAATATCCTTCTCCATTAACTTGTCTTGTCCTGTGAATGAATTTCCTAACTTCTCCATCAATCCCCAGAAAGCCTTTAAAATCATTCACAACTTCACTCCATTAATTTTTTCAGCAAGCATTTACACTTTCTGGTTCTAATTTATCCATTGTAGCTTTGAGGAATGTTTCCTACTGTGTCAGCAGTAGTGAATGATTTCCAGGGTTTTTTGTCCAAGTGAGGGTCTGTATCAATTGCTGATCAAATGTAATTAAACACCAGGCAGGTGTATGTGACTTTGACACATTGAACGATGCTCTGATCAAGGGGCTGAAGCAATGAGATTGTATTTAGAGGCAAAAATACAACCTCAATGTTTTTATTTTCATAGCAGATAGATTCAGGATGTCCAGGTGCATTGTCTTTTATTAGCAGTACTTTAAATTCCAACCCTTCCTCTTCCAAGTATCTTTTCACTTCTGGGATGGAGCATTGGTGGTACTATTCCATAAATAAGAGGACTGTCCCCCACGCTCTCTGATTTTGTTACCAGAACATGGCAGTTAATATTTGTTCTTCAGAGCAGGTGGGTTATTTGCTCTTCACACTTTGCCTGGCTTAATCCCCTGTGGCATTACTACATAGTAGCAGAGCTAGTCTGTCCTCACCTGCTTTTCTGACTTGATGCCTCCTTTGTGCTTCTGCAAATGCGGGTTCTATTGCATATCTTCTTTCAGAGGAGCCTGGTCTCATTTTAATTCAAGACGTGCTTTGAATGATAGTCTTCCTCTTTAATCAACCTTTCAACTCTGCTAGAAATGTGGCAGTAGCTTCTTCATGGCAGATGTATCCACTCCACTCATTTTATATTTTTCAGTCCAGACCTATTCCTGAATCTGTGTAACCATACTTTACTTATAGTAAATGGCTTGGCTAATTTCAGGAGATTCCTTGCTGAAGTCTCATTGTATAGTCTTAATGCTTTTTGGCCAAGCACCTTGTCACCAGTCAGAACTCATTTGCTGTTCATGTCTTCCATCCAACAAATATAACGCCTTTTCCATCTTAACTAAGCACTTATCACATAATGTGTCTTTAACCTTTGCCATTTGAGATGGAGCAGCAAAACTAAAATAAATTTCTTTCTCCTTCTTCACAATTTCATGGATAGAAGATTCAGTTTTACAAAAGACCTGAGCAACCTCAGCACATGATTTTTTTCTTTCCTTATTAAGTTGAGAACTTCCACTTTGCACATAAAGGAACTTGTTGGCTTCTCTTTGGCATATATGAATTGCCAGTGTCACTACCCTTGCACTCTAAGGGGCATTATTTAGCAAAATAAGGGTCTCTGGAACAAAAGATGGTGATATCACAAGAGTTGATCTGATAACCTAGATAGCTACTAAGTGACAATGATGTGACAGGAATGTGCTAGACAAAGGATGATTTACCTCCTGGGTGAGATGGAGCTGGACGGTGCAGAATTTCATCATGCTACTCAGAAGCGCAAATGATTTAAAACTTATGAATTATTTATTTTTTGAGTTTCCCATTTAGTATTTGTGAACTTTGGGTAACTAAAACCACAGAAAACAAAACCTCGAATAAGGTGAGATTACTGTAACATATGTCAAAACATCCTTCAGTTCAGTCACTTAGTCATGTCCAACTCTTCGTGACCCCATGGACTGCAGCACGCCAGGCTCCCCTGTCCTGGAGCTTGCTCAAACTCATTTCCATTGAGTCGGTGGTGCCATCCAACCATCTCATCCTCTGTCATCCTCTTCTCCTTCTGCCTTCAATCTTTCCCAGCATCAGAGTCTTTTCAAATGAGTCAGTTCTTCACATCAGGTGGTCAAAGTATTGGAGTTTCAGCTTTAGCATCAGTCCTTCCAATGAATATTCAGGACTGATTTCCTTTACGATGGACTGGTTGGATCTCCTTGCAATCCAAGTGACTCAAGCATCTTCTCCAACACCACAGTTCGAAAGTATCAATTCTTCTGCGCTCAGTTTTCTTTATGGTACAACTCTGACATGTATACATGACTACTGGAAAAACCATAGCTTTGACTAGATGGACCTTTGTTGGAAAAGTAATGTCTCTACTTTTAAATATACTATCTAGGTTGGTCATAGCTTTTCTTCCAAGGAGCAAGCGTCTTTTAATTTCATGACTGCAGTCACCATCTGCAGTGATTTTGGAGCCCAAGAAAATAAAGTTTGTCACTGTTTCCATCGTTTCCTCATCTATTTGCCATGAAGTGATGGGACCAGATGCCATGATCTTAATTTTCTGAATGTTGAGTTTCAAACCAGCTTTTTCACTTTACTCTTTCAATTTCATCAAGAGGCTCTTCAGTTCCTCCTGGCTTTCTGCCGTAAGGGTGGAGTCATCTGCATATCTGAGGTTATTGATATTTCTCCTGGCAATCTTGATTCCAGAAACATCCTTATAGGGACTTAAATGAAAAGGTCAATTTTTCATGTTGGAGAACAGTTTAATGCAAAGTAGAAAGAGAGAAGCTTTGTCTGCTTCTATCCCTGTCTGACCTCTCTTGGCCTCTGTATCATAGATTACAGAAAATAAAAGCTACTCTAAAGAAGTGTTGGTGACATTATGTACATTGCTCATAAACAGTCTGTTATTAATCCCAGTAAACTGTAAACATTTAGATGTGTTAACTACTATATTTTTATTCCCACACATTTCAGTAATTAATTATCTTCACAATGAAGATAATTCTGGGGTTACCTGACCTACTATCATTTCCCTGGCCAGAGAAACATCCATCACTGAATACAAGGGAACAGCAGCCGAACCACCTGGTTCTAAGACTGAGATTCTGAACGCCAGAGTACTTACACCAAGAGGTGTTGTTTCTTTGACGCTATTCTCCTCACACCTTCCTTTACTGCGTATGTATATATTTGTTTGGCGTATTCTAAAACAGAATAGGAAGTTTCAAAGCTGGGAAAACTCACAGTTATAATGAAAACAAAACAAAACACAACCAAGCATCAATATGAATGACATTTGGGCATCAAATCAGAACTGAAATCAGGGGTAGGAACTGGTATCCGTTTTCTAGTAGGCGTCATTCAGATTTATTCTCCCTCTTCTGATTTAGCTCCAGATTTATGCCCCAGGCCTGGATCTATTTCATTATATTTCATTCTCCTATATGCTATATATTCATGGAATTGTTGAATGTTAGAAATAAACATCTAACACAAAAGCCATTATTTTATAGATAATAAAACTGGATCCCAGAGATGAGTTTGACTTTATTTGATATCTATAATGTGACTTGGGGGTTATAAAATAGGATACATTTTACAAAATAAGTTTTACATAAACATATATAAATTATGTATATATGTTGTAAAACAGAACTATATGGTCATTGTGAATTTTATTCTTGGAAAGAATCTTAAGATATATAAATTTTAATGCCTTTCTCATAAGAAATATTATATAGCAAACATCTACTTGTTTGCTTTGGTCATAGGAGACTAACTGTCTATCAGGATACTTCATCTGGTCTTTGAACATTGCAAGAGTTGAAATTTCTTCCCTCTAGCTTCTTCTAAGACCTCAGAAACCAGTAATGTTCAATCTTGCCTGTGACAGCCTAAATCTTCTCTTTGTAACATGTACTCTCAGTTCTTTAGCTAAACAATCCATCTTGAGGCATCCTTTATCAGTATTTTTATCATGGGCGTTTCTGTAATTTCTAAAGTTTCTTTGATTAGAGTATAACTTATTATAGGTTTAAACAGTTAAATGGAATGCTTGCAGAGCATTGGTTGGACAATTTAGGGCCTGGCATTTACAGTAAAGAGAAATTGAAGGATTTCTGGGAGGGAATAAGACACATATAGTAACATTCATGAATGGTTTTACTCATTCCTTAAATGTTTAAGACATTTAAGAATTAAGATTCCTTAGTTATTAAAACTGTGTAATATCCATGGATGGACTTCAAGAGATTTATGTGCCCACAGATATTATGCATACAGATTTTTAATGTTTCATCATTTTTTTCTTTTATAGAAAGAGGTAACATTCTCCATATTATTAAGGGAATCTTTGATCCCCTTTTGTTTACCTTTGATATAACAGTAGTGTAGTAGACAAAAAGCAAACTGTATTTAAACCCAAATCAACAAGGTTACAATCTGGTCTATTCTACTTCCAAAGCGTTGTCATTTTAAACAGATTACCTGAACTCTCTGAGCCTCAGATTAACCTTCTATACAATGAAAATAATACCACTCTATAGTAAGTAGTGAGGATTCAGTGAAACTGAGAACATTAAAGTGTCTTACTTACAGATATAACACATAAAGCACTCATATTCAAATTTTAGTCCACATATATGAACTGTAGAATGTTTTTTCTTTCATGAGTTAGCTGATTTTAAAGAAATAAATGTAAATTCAAATATCTTTCCAGAATTGAAAAGGAGGATATCAGGCCCATCTTCATATTCTGGGCCTTGTTTTTAGTGTTCTAAGAAGGACGGGATGAACATACAGGGACTGAATGTTCCTGAGGTGGGATGTGGTAGAAAAGGCAAGATTTGCCACCATGCCCTTATTTAAAGCTGGTGAAATGAAGGCTGGAAACAGGTGGAGAATGGAGGGAAATCTGTGACTAGAAGCTAGACATAAGTTACTAGAGATTAGAGCCTGGGCTGACTCTGTAGAGCAATGATTCTCAACTTTTTTCTCTTTACACAAAGTATAGATGATGTTCACACTCCCATGAGTGAACATGGGCTTAGAGAGATTTTCTCTAATTACGTTGTACCCTCACCACTTTTTCCTTTCTCTTCTACTCAGTAAAGTATATGAACAATTTTATTAAAGGGATACCCATAGATATTCTGTTTTATGCATGAACAAGATCATTCACAACATCTGAATTTTAGACTTCTATGATTAGTTGCAGAACCTTGCATTCATGTCAATACTCTACTGTGGGTCAACACTATCATCAAGAACCTCTACACTAGAAGGTGGACTTGGTGGACTTGTGTACTTACAGATTTTCATGGCAGAGCATGCAGGGATTGTTGTATGTCTGGCCGTCATCACCACAGACAGGCTGTAAATTCTTTGGACAAAGGTAACCCATCCTGGGTAATATTCGGTAGTGTTTGCACATCTCAGAATTCTGAACAAACAAAACATAGTAAACTTGCTCAATGGCACTTAAGAGATATGGACTTGGTGAAAACCTCTTGATTTCCTCAATCATGTGTGACTAGATAGTTAGTAAAGGAACTGTAACATAGGTTATACAAACTCATATATTCATTTCACATCACTGTTAGGTAACCTCCTGGGTTTAGCTCCATTTTTACTAAGGAAGTAGCCAAACCCAGATACAAGGAAGAACAAAGCAATTAGAAAGCAGAAATCCTACAAGATAGTGCTGTGCTTTGGAGAAGGCGATTGCACCCCACTCCAGTACTCTTGCCTGGAAAACCCCATGGACGGAGGAGCCTGGTGGGCTGCCATCTAAGGGTTCGCACAGAGTCGGACATGACTGAAGCGACTTAGCAGCAGCAGCAGCAGTGCTGTGCTTAGTCGCTCAGTCATGTCTGACTCTTTGGGACTTCCTGGACTGTAGCCTGCCAGGCTCTTCTGTCCATGGGGATTCTCCAGGCAAGAATATTGGAGTGGGTTGCCATGCCCTCCTCCAGGGGACCTTCCCAACCCAGGGGTAGAACCCAGGTCGTCTTCAGGTTTCCCACATTGCAGGCGGATTCTTTACCATCCGAGCCACTTAGGCACAGATAAACTGAGGTATGCCCATAGGGAGAAAACGCCCATGCATAAAATAATACTTTTTTTTTTTTGTCCTTTTAAATGAAGACATTGGTGATATACAATCTAGAAAGGAAACACTCAAAATAAACGCTAGGTAATCACATGGATTTTTGAGTTCCAGCTCTGCCACTAACTAAAGAAGTGATTTACCCGACTTCTTTGAGCCTTAGTTTCTCATCTGAAAAACATGAATAGTAAATGTCTCATATTGTTGTTTAAGGGAATCAAATCAGATAATGCACTTATATGTATACATAATACAGTGTTTGGCACATACTAAGTGCTCATTATATGACAGTTGTTAGTTTCCTAAGGTAAAAAATACACAAATTTTTCATGTAGAAAAAGGAACATATTTGTTCTTGGTAGTTTTTTAGAAGTGTGAGTTTCACAATGATGATGATGATAATAAATTTATTCATCTTAAAAGCAGGAAAAAGGAAAAAACACAGAAATTTTAAAAATAGGATTATGGAAGACAAATTCAGTGATGTCAATAATTACATTAAATATTAGTAGGACTAACTACTCCAGATAAAGAACAGAGACTCTTAGTCTGGAGAAACAAAATGACTCAACTTATAATATTTAAAAGAAGTATACTTTATATCTTTCTATTTCAACTAATAGGGTGAACATAAAAGGACGGAAAATAGATATGTGCAAACACTCATCACACAAAAGGTGATATATCTATATTAATATCACACAAAGTAGAAATTAGGACAAGAACTAACGGCAGAGATAAAGAAAAGAAGAGGATTTCTAATTATAAAATAATAGATTCCATAATTAACAATCTCAAACATTTATGTACCTACAGTATAGTCTCAAGATAATCAGGCAAAAATTAACTGAAAGGAGAAAAAGGCAAATTTATCAAACTTTATGTTTATATTTAACATACTTCTTTTTGTAATAATACATATTTTGATATTTGTGTCTGTGGTCTTTGAAAAATAATATAATCAGCTTGACCTCAGTGATATTTGTAGATCTCTATAGCCAACAATTGCAGACTACACATTCTTCTTAAGTAGACATGAAATTGTTGCCCAAATAGACCACATTCTGGGCCTTTAAGCCAGTATTGATAAATTCGAAAATTGAAGTCATAAAATGCAAGTTTTAGGGTCACAGTGAAATAATATTAATAATATATATGCTAGTTATGAAACTCCTAGGTATTTAGAAGTTATGCAACATACTTCTAGATAAAAAAAATCTTAAAATCAATTTAAACCTCCATCTCAAGAAGCTAGCAAATAATAGGCAAAATAAGCTCAAAGAATATAGAAGAAAATGAATAAATTTATGAAATAGAAAACAGAAGGACAAATGATTGTTTGAAAAGATTGATAAACTGATAAACTATTTGCAAAATTGAAAAAAGTCAAGAAACACACATTACCAATATTAAAAAGTGGTGCCTTATATATAGATATTAAAAAGATAATGTGAAAATGTTATGAATAACAACTGTATGTCAATAAATTTGACAACTTAAGAAATTCCTTGAAAACTACTTTCTGAAACAGACACTGAGTAGATCATTTAATAGTAGTATATCTGTTGATAATCATTTCAGAGGTGTAAAGAAGTACTTGCTGATTTGTGTTCTAAAATAATTCAAACATCTAAATGTTGGGGTCCTTTAATGGACCGGAAGCTGGTGGTACAGAGTCGATGATAAAAAAGTAAAAGAGAGAAAGAGAGAGAGAGACAAAAAAAGACCCGGGGACCTAAGCTCTGATGAAGCAAAGGTGCTTTAATGATTTCTCTATAAGTATATATAGGCTGTGGTACAAAAAACTTCTTTTGGGAATGATTGAGATCAGAAAACCAAACATACAGCAACCGTTACCAAGGGAACAAGGGGTAATGTTAGTCACAAGGTCAGGAGACAATCCATATCTCAAGAAAGGGGAACGAGACTAAGCAGTTTTGTCCTAAAGAGAATGTTTGCTAAAGGAGACCCAAGCCTGCCTCACACAATGACCTCAGTCCCTGGGAGCAGCGTGCTGTTCCGCTTGAAGAGGGGCAAAGGACTCATGAGAGACAGCACATAGGAGTCCTCCCGTCAAACACTCCCTGACATCTAAAGGGACTGCTTTAGCTTGAGGTGAGTTCCATATCAATAGAGATACTCAGGGAGAGTTTAAACAAGCACCTTCTCTAAGTCACTGGCAAAGGTAGAACTGAGCCAAGTATATCCTTAATAGTTTTCAGGTATCTGCCATCCAAGGTTGAAAACTACCAAAATAAAGGGTGATAAAGAAGCAAAAAGCAGAATTATGCCTCTCTTTTCTTACATAGTACATCAACTCTGAATAAATTATCCACCTTCAAAATAGACCTAGGATTCAGCTACCTTTTATGACCTCCACTCCTAGCACCATAAACCAGCCTCTCTGGTTACTGCTGTGGCTAACTAGCTGTCCAGCTTTTGCTCTTGCCTTCCTGCAATGTATCTTCAATACAGCAGATGCAATATCCTTTTAAAACATAGATCATGTTACTCCTCTTTTCAAAACTTTCATTCAGACTAATAGACAACATCCTTAAAATGGTCTACACAGCCTTACGTGACAGGGCCTCCTGTTATTTTAGTGACGTCTTCCTGTATAACTCTCACTGAGGTCATTCTGTCAGCTGTTCTGGGCTTCTTGCTGTCCTGTAAGCCCCGTCTCAGGGCTTTGCCGTTCCTCTTCCTGGAATGTTCCTCCCTCACTTACATGTATGGAATTCATCTCCCTAGGAGGTGCAAATGGCACCTTCTCAGGGAGCTCTTTTCTGTACAAGATGCTTAAAATTGTATCTCAGCATTTACTATGTCATTTTTCTATTGACTCACATCATCTGTGATCTATGTTTTTTCAATATAAACTCCCTAAGTGTAGAGAGTTTTGTCTGTTTTGTTTACGGCTGCTGTTCTCATAAGGCTTCTCTGGTGGCTCAGTGGTGAAGAATCCGCCTGCCAGTGCAGGAGCCTCAGGTTCAATCCCTGGGTCAGGAAGATCCCCTAGAGAAGGAAATGGCTACCCCCTCTAGTATTCTTGCCTGGGAAATCCCATAGACAGAAGAGCCTGGTGGGCTACAGTCCATGGGTTGCAAAAGAGTCGGACACAACTTAGCGACTACACCACCAGCACCACCATTTAATCATACACATAGTAATGCTTGAAAAATAGCAAGTGCTCAATAATTATTTGTAGCATGCATAATGATGGATAAATGACAAGCTGAATAAAGAATGTTGTTCTCTTCTCCAAGAGAAAGCTCAGCTCAGAACCAGGTTACACAGGAATAAGCATGATGGGATTTCTGGTCTGCTGGTGATACATTATTTCTTGACCTAGGTGTCAATATCACAGATGTGATCACTTTGTAATATTTAGTTGTATACTTATGATAGGTACACTTTTCCTTTATGATTATGATACTGCAAAGAAATGTAAAATAACAGATTTTATTATAATAGTCAAGACACACACACACAAACACACATAGAAACAATAGGATATTATTCAGACATGAGAAAGAAGAAAATTCTTCCTTTAACGACAACTTGGAAGAACCCTAAGGATGCTATGCTAAGTTAAATAAGACAGACAAAGAAAGACAAATACTGTACAATAAAGCCAATCACAGAGACAGAGAATAGAATGGTGATTACTAGGGGATTGGAGAAAATGAGACATTGGTCAAAGGGTATAAATTTTTAGCTACAATTTATGGCGCTCTAATATACGGTGTGGTGATTATAGGGAATCAGTTCAGTTCAGTGGCTCAGTCATGTCCGACTCTTTGTGACCTTATGGACTGCAGCACACAGGGCCTCGCTGTCCATCACCAACTCCCGGAATCCACCAAAACTCATGGCCTTTGAGTCGGTGAGCCATCCAACCATCTCATCCATCCTCTGTTGTCCCCTTCTCCTCCTGCCTTCAATCTTTCCCAGCATCAGGGTCTTTTCAAATGAGTCAGCTCTTCGCATCAGGTGGCCAAAGTATTGCAGTTTCAGCTTCAACATCAGTCCTTCCAACGAACATTCAGGACTGATTTCCTTTAGGATGGACTGGTTGGATCTCCTTGTAGTCCAAGGAACTCTCAAGAGTCTTCTCCAACACCACAGTTCAAAAGCATTAATTCTTCAGCACTCACCCTTCTTTATAGTCCAACTCTCACATTCACACATGAACTGAAAAAACGATAGCCTTGACTAGATGGACCTTTGTTGGCAAAGTCACGTCTCTGCTTTTTAATATGCTGTTTAGGTTGGTCATAACTTTTCTTCCAAGGAGTAAGCACCTTTTTATTTCATGGGCGCAGTCACCATCTGCAGTGATTTTGGAGCCCCCAAAAATAAAGTCAGCCATTGTTTCTCCCTCTCTTTGCCATGAAGTGATGGGACTGCATACCATGATCTTAGTTTTCTTAATGTTGAGCTTTAAGCCAGCTTTTTCACTCTCCTCTTTCACTTTCATCAAGAGGCTCTTTAGTTCATCACTTTCTGCCATAAGGGTGCTGGTCATCTGCATATATGAGGTTATTGATATTTCTCCCAGCAATCTTGATTCCAGCTTGTGTTTTATCCAGTCCAGCATTTCTCATGATGTACTCTGCATACAGCTTTGATGTCCTTGTTTTCCTATTTGGAGCCAGTCTGTTTTTCCATGTCCAGTTCTAACTGTTGCTTCCTAACCTGCATACAGATTTCTCAAGAGGCAGGTCAGGTGGTGTAGTATTCTCATCTCTTTCAGAATTTTCCACAGTTTATTGTGATCCACACAAAGGCTTGCCATAGTCAATAAAGCAGAAATAGATGTTTTTCTGGAACTCTCTTGCTTTTTTGATGAACCAGCGGATGTTGGCAATTTGATCTCTGGTTCCTCTGCCTTTGCTAAAACCAGTTTGAACATCTGGAAGTTCACGGTTCATGTATTGTTGAAGCCTGGCTTGGAGAATTTTGAGCATTACTTTGCTAGCATGTGTGATGACTGCAATTGTGCAGTAGTTTGAACATTCTTTGGCATTGCCTTTCTTAGGGATTGAAATGAAAATGGACCTTTTCCAGTCCTGTGGCCACTGCTGAGCTTTCCAAATTTGCTGGCATATTGAATGCAGCACTTTCACAGCATCATCTTTTAGGATTTGAAATAGCTCAACTGGAATTCCATTACCTCCACTAGCTTTGTTCATAGTGAGGCCCTCTTGACTTCACATTCCAGAATGTCTGGCTCTAGGTGAGTGATCACACCATCATGATTATCTGGGTCATGAAAATCTTTTTTGTACCGTTCTTCTGTGTATTCTTGCCACCTCTTCTTAATATCTTCTGCTTCTGTTAGATCCATACCATTTCTGTCCTTTATTGAGCCCTTCTTTGCCTGAAATATTCCCTTGGTATCTCTAATTTTCTGGAAGAGATCTCTAGTCTTTCCCATTCTGTTGTTTTCCTCTATTTCTTTGCACTGATCACTGAGGAAGGCTTTCTCATCTCTCTTTGCTATTCTTTGGAACTCTGCATTCAAATGGGTATATCTTTTCTTTTCTCCTTTGCTTTTTGCTTCTCTTCTATTCACAGCTATTTGTAAGGCCTCCTCAGACAACCATTTTGCCTTTCTGCATTTCTTTTCCATGGGGATGGTCTTGATCCCTGTCTCCTGTACAATGTCATGAACCTCTGTCCATAGTTCATCAGGCACTCTATCAGATCTAGTCCCTTAAATCTATTTCTCACTTCCACTTTATAATTGTTAGGGATTTGATTTAGGTCATACCTGAATGGTCCAGTGGTTTTCCCTACTTTCTTCAATTTAAGTTTGAATTTGGCAATAAGGAGTTCATGATCTGAGCCACAGTCAGCTCCTGGTCTTGTTTTTGCTGACTGTACAGAGCTTCTCCATCTTTGGCTGCAAAGAATATAATTAATCTGATTTCAGTGTTGACCATCTGGTGATGTCCATGTGTAGAGTCTTCTCTCGTGTTTTTGGGAGAGGGTGTTTGCTATGACCAGTGCCTTCTCTTGGTAGAACTCTTATTAATGTTTTCCCTGCTTCATTCTGTACTACATGGCGAAATTTGCCTGTTACTCCAGGTGTTTCTTGACTTCCTACTTTTGCATTCCAGTCCCCTACAATGAAAAGGACATCTTTTTTTGGTGTTAATTTTAGAAGGTCATTTAGGTCTTCATAGATCCGTTAAACTTCAGCTTCTTCAGCATTACTGGTTGGGGCATAGACTTGGATTACCGTGATATTGACGGGTTTGCCTTGGAAACAAACAGGAAAACTATAGGGAATAGTAATGTGTAATATACTCAGAGTTGGTGAATAGACTTTAAATATTCTCCCCACAAAAAAGAAATGGTAAGTATGTGAGGTGATGGAGATGTTAGCTAACACTATAGTGGTAATCATTTTACAATCTAAGTCTATCAAATCAATATGTTGTACACAAGTTTACATAATGTTACATATCAACACACATACACTAAGGGCTTTGCAATGGCTCAGCAGGTAAAGAATCTCCCTACAATGCAGGAGATGTGGGTTTGATCCCTGGGTCGGGAAGATCCCCTGAAGAAGGAAATGACAACCCACTCTAGTGTTCTTGCCTGAAAAATCCCATGGACAGAGGAGCCTGGCAGACTATAGTCCAAAGGGTCACAAAGAGTCGGACACAACTGAGCAATTAAGCACACACCCAGACACACACACACACCACAATAAAGCTGGGGGGAAAGGAGCAGATTTTGTGGCTAGTACTTCTCCATGCTTAGGCATCCCTAGTCTGATTTACTAGAAATATGTAATTAGTATTTTGTTAGATAAATTAGATAAAATTCATGTTCGATACCTTTCTTTCTTCTTTTTGGGTCATCAGACTAGGTGCTAAAGTCTCCTTTCTAGGGACCAATGTGAGATTGCCCATTGTGAATGAATATACCTCATGCTCTTATATCTTCTTCTTTCTACTCCTGACCTTGACAAAGCTCTAAAAACTCAATCCCAAATAGGGTCAATGTAAATATAAGTATGTCATTTTACACTTCTTTTAAATATATAAAACGTATAAATATGTTCAGTGTCAATTTCCAGGTTATTGGGAAAAGGACTAGGTTTGGAGGGGGAGTAGGAAGGGGTTGGGTAAGGAGCCTTTCTGGTCTGCTGAAATTATAGGGTTGAGACTCCTAACTACTTATTTGACTGAATGTGCCAGAAGTTACATGCATTGTACACCCACTTTTTAAAATTTCAAAATAAATTCATTTAGAGCAAGACTAATAATCTCAAAGAGCACAGCATAATGCACAACTGAATAACCTGGAGACTTTTACTAAGCATGAACTCCATGGATTCCTTGAAAGGACTTGAGGCTGTACTGAATCAGTCTTTCCTAGGCCTTTACACGAAATGAGGTTTATGGAGGGCAAGTGGCAACAGCACTGCCCCCCTATCCCCAAAATAAGTGAATTAAGTTAATAAGTAACTTTTTAGAAACAGCAGTTCTTACCAGAGAAGAAATGGAAGACTCTGAGCTGTCTTCCTCTTCAGAAGATCTAAAGTGGGATGGTTTTTCTTCAAGTCTTATCCTTTCTAAAGCTTCTTTTTCACTAGAAAAGAAGACAAAAGTAAATTTACATCCACAAAGACTGGCTCCTGTAATGCCTAGTTGGAAGTTAAACATTTCTAATAAAATATGATGGAACCACAGAACATTGAATGAGAAAGTGTCCAGGAAGACATGTTAAGAAAAGTACACAGCTGGGAGGTGGCTTGGCAATCCCTTCACTTAACAGATGTGTGACCTTGGACAAGTTGTTCAGAGTATTCCTTTCTCCAGGGGATCTTCCTGACCCAGGGATCAAACCTGGGTCTCCTGCATTGCAGGTGGAGTCGTTACCATCTGAGCCACCAGGGGAGTCCCATAAAAAGATGATAGTTTTGGTAATTCCTTCCTCAAGGGATGTACTATGAGGAGCTAATATATACATATATATATAATATATATAACTGTTGTGTTCATAGTGCTTTTTTCAGAACCATCATCATCCATCATGTCCATAGGTCCCCAAATATAGTTGTTCATCAGAATAAACTAGAAACCCTTTCTAAAAAACAAATTCCTTAGCCTTGGAGACTCTAACTTATTTTGAAGTACTAATCTCTGTGTGTGTGTGTGTAAGACCTCTCTTAAGTGTGATCTAGTTGTAGAGCAGATTTGGAATAATTTCTTGTAACTATGATACTGAGGGTTGGAAAACATTTTTTTTAAGTGACATAGCTAGTAAATATCATGATTAGCACTTCCATCTGGATTTCCTGTCTTCAAGTCCAAGTGTTCTTTCTCCTGTCCCGGGTGTTGTCAACTTAAAAGCGTTTTTGCATCTAAAGACTTGGTTTAAAGCCTGCACGGATTCATAAGCACATGAGTATTTAATCAACAAAATGCAGTCCCCTCACTAGCTGAGGGGGTACAGGATCCTGTTACTCACAAGATATGTCTGCACATGTAGCACTTGTTTTTGTATAACTTTCCATCAGCACCAAGAACAGGGTCATTCTCTCTCGTGCACATGAGCTCGTCATTCCTCACATGCTGCCGAAAGTTACTGCACTCATCCTAGAAAATAAGAAAAGGGAAGTGGGCATGGCTTTTTCCCTTTGTGACTTAGTTACTTTCTTAAACTTGGTTTTAGGAATTCCTCTCTTGGCTCTGGTCTCAGACTCACTGCACTTATCCTGGCAATGGAGGCCAAGGAACGCCCAGACTGTCTAAACTTCCCATCCTCTGCTTCATTCCGAACCTCTCTGCACTGGTCCTGGAAATATAGGGAAACATAAAACAATACTTGAAAGACCTCCTCGTCTTGCTCGCCCTTTCCACCAATCTTGCCTTTCCTCTACTTTTCACGGGAGATACACTCTTGACCAGAGGACAATCCCACGGTTGTCTAACTCTATGAATGTCATTATCACTGGTAAAAGACTGATTGAAGATGTCTCTTTGTGATCTTGAAAAGCAAATAGAAAAGGCAGCATCATGCACGTGCACTGTTGATTCACTGATGCTCAGAAGACCCTCTGGAGAAAATGGGAAAGGCATCAAGGAGAGACGCTAAAAGAGAGACTTTGAGACTAGTTTATTTTACATAAATTGTTAAAAATCAGTGTCAACAAGTAACATGAAGCCTCATTTCACATTTAAAGTGTCAGACATAAGCATGCAGTTGAGGTGGTAAAGAATTTTACCCACTATTTTTCAGTCCACAATTCTCCCAAACAGGAGAGACCAAAGCGCAATAATCGATACACACTGCAGGAGAATTCTCTATAAAATTGAGAAAAAACATTAAACTTCAAAGCCAGGAGATAAATCTTATTATAACCCAACATGACAATATTGGCAAAATCAATTTTCTTTGAAGCAGAAGATTAGCAACTTTATTATCCAAAAAGTGAAGGCGAAGACAAGAATCTGAGGATGAAAAGTAAAATAGTTATCTTCATATCTTAAAAAATAACCTTTGCATCATTTGAGGGCTTGGCTCTTGATCTTTCTTCTTCATTCTTTTTTCTTTCATTAGCTTCTCGCTCACTGAAAAATGAAAGGGATAGAGTAGTTTTTCCAAAGTTGTTATTGAATTGTTTAACCAAATATTTCTTTAATTCTATTTTATTTTTTTCTTCTTTTTTTTTTAATTCTAAACATTAGAATATCTGACATGGTTTTCTAGTATCTAAAAAATACTTAAGATACTTTTTAAACAAATAAGTTCTAATCACTGGGGTTTTCATAATATATTTGTGACACTGCTGTCAACTTTCATAAACCTAGTTTCTATACTATTATCTAGAGTGATATACATCTGAAGGGTCATTACATTTTTTTCCTAATAGGATTATTTATGACTGTCAGGTAGACAGTTGCTTCATTTCTTTTTATTTTCTTACTGAATTACAATAAAACTCTCCTATATTCATTGTTCTTTATATTGCTATTATGCTTTAAAGTTTATAAACATTTGAAAAATATTTTCTCCTTGAATCCCTACCAAAACTCTATTGTGTAGTTATTATTCTCTTTTTATACAGGGGGAACTGAGGCTCTGCTGAGTGAATGGATCTGCCCCATGTCACTTATCTGAGATGCTTCCTCTTTGAAGGTCAATGATGTTGGCGTGATACAACAGGGTCCTCACCTATCCCAGCTGCTCGTGGTATGACTATGCTTCTCATAATATTCAAAATAGAAATTTCTTATGGAAGTGCTTTGGAAACTTACTGTCCTCTTCTAAACTGAGGAGCTATTAGTATATATTTTTAATGTGTGATGCCAAACACCATAAGTTTTAAATCAAAAGGAACTGATTTCTGGGAAGCAGACACAGCATATCAAACTGATTCATAAACCTCTCTACTCACAAGATGCTCTGACACATAGCACACTTGTTGGCATGCATCTTGCCATATGGGCCTCGAACAGGGTTGTTTTCTTTGGTGCAAATAAGCTTTCCATCTCTCACCATGTTCCGGAATTCATGACACTGATCCTGCCAATAAGAACAACAACAAAAAAGAGATGTTTCTACAATCATCTGATCTTTAAAACAGAAAATATGATTGGTTGGTTATATGTAAACTCATAACTCTTAAGGAAAATAAAAATCTAGAGAAAATAAAATTTTAGAGATGAAATGTATTTTAAAGCAGCAGTTCCCAACCTCTTTGGCACCAGGAAAGAGTTTGTGGAAGATGATTTTTCCATGGACTGGGGCTCAGGGGATGGTTTTGGGATGATTCAAGCACATTACATCTATTGTGCACTTTATTTCTATTATTATTACATTAGCTCCACCTCAGATCATCAGGCATTAGATCCCAGGAGCTGGGGATCCATTTTACGGGCACTATATTCGGTATCTGCTTAAGAAGTCTGAATCCTCTCCACAGCATCCGTTTCAAATACTTATTGGCCCCAGTGGAATTTCACTACCACCTAAGGCAGCCTGTGCCATTTTTATATAGTTTCATGGGGTTGAACCCCAAACCTGTTGCACTGCACCTCAACTCATTACTTCACACATTAAAAAGCCTTGGAATGAAAGACATCCTTTGGCAAGGCGGCGTATAAACACCTAAAGTTTTAGCTTTGTTCCTCAAGAACAACATTTTTTAAAATTGTTTCATTAAATCTGTATTATATTCTTAGCATTTTGTTGTGTGTGGTAATGGATTTCTTTTGGTTGTCATTAAAAAATCTATAAGATAAGCACACATTATCCCCATTTTACAGATGAGAGGAAAAAAGTTCACAGATATTAAGTAATTAAAATCAGTGTTGGAACAGAGGTCAGAAACCTATTAATAACTAGGCTATAGATTCCTTGCCTTCTTTGCCTTTACATGGTAGAAGATAAGACTCCTGGTACATATCTAAGAACATGGAGCTAGCCGCCTTCTTTACTCATTGAAAACTAAGAACCTTAAAAAGCAGGCAATGGAACTGGGTCCACAGGGTTTGACTCCTGTTGAAAATTTTGAACATCCATAGAAGTTTGTCTTAAACTTTTTTTTAAGCCCAAGGAGCTACAGTATATGGGAAGATTATCTTTAAAAATACTACCAATAACCTAGGTTGGAGTTACCTTTCTTTAAATTGTGGTACTATGAACAACTCCAGACCTACTTTTCTCTGTTTAGTAGCATTTTAACTATTCTCTGGAATTGAATACCTAATCAACATATGAAATGTCTCATAGCCATCATTTTTAAATGTGCTAGAATTTTTTTTCCTCTTCCAGGTACCTAAAATGCCACATACATCTGTGTCTATGATAGCACCCATGTGAGTATATTGCAGCCTTTGCTCTTTGGGTGAAAATCTCTAGCTCTTCTATTTGTTATCTGTGAGTAGTTAACTTCTCTGAGTTTTTTCCTCAACTGTAAAATTGGAACACCACCACCTACTGCATTGATTGTGGGCAGATATGATGGGCACAGATTTAAATCTGTGGGCAGATTTAAATATGATGGTGCATGTACTTTGTAAAGCTTATTTTGGTTTGCATTTGTAGATAAGACTGCAGCTTTCTTTTTGCCACAGGCACAAAAAATATCTGGGTATTTTCTGTACGTACACATAGTTTTTTCCCTTGTTTGAAATTCCTGAAATAGATACTTTTAAAGTTGAAAGCAATTGACCAATCTAGAATAGATGTCCAGTAGAGATCATTTGAAGTTGTACAATTAAGTATTTTCTCAAAGCCATTGATCTCCCAACATATGGGTAACAGATATTCCCAATATATTTTTCAAAAATGGCCACTACTACTACTGTTTCATTTTGTTTAGTCAGTATAAAACTAATGAAAAGTTTCCTCTTTAATGGGAAAACTTTCCTGGGGAAATTTCACTTTTTACTTTTCTCAGTCCATAGATGGATTGGAAGAGGTTGCAATGTGTCATAGTCTATGTGCTGGTGTTTTAAAGCACTGAACCTTATTTTTAAAACCCCAAATTGAACACAAGATGGCACTAGAGTACCAAGTCAAGAATTTACCATCTGGAGCGCCAAGCTTTTGATCCTTTTCTTGTTTGTAAATTTGGCATCTATTTGCATAATTGTTTTTAAACTTCAGGGGGGAGATCAAGTTGATAATAACAATAATTTGACAATTGCCATTGTTCCTATAATGTGTGGTAACTGCAACAGAGTTGCTCTTAGGACAATTAAGTTCCATGCTATTTCTTGAATATCTGATCATGTCTTTCTTGTTTATCATCATGTTCACAACATCTGGGACAGAGTATGTATTCCATAACATGCATTCTGTTTATTTGTTGAATAAACTAAGCTTGCAACCTCTCATCCAAATTAAAGTATAGCATGCTCAGGTGGCACTAATGGTGAAGAATCCACCTGCCAATTCAGGAGATGCAAGAGATGTGGGTTTGATTCCCAAGTCGGGAAGATCCATCCCCTGGAGAAGAAAATGGCAACCCACTCCACTATTTTTGCCTGGGAAATCCCATAGACAGAGGAGCCTGGAGGGCTGCAGTCCATGAGGTTGCAAAGAGTCAGATGTGACAGCAATTGAAAACAAGATATGTCTAACGTATGTTACCTGTTTTTCATTGTCCTTTCCGGTTGTGTTTCTCAAGTATTCCTCCTCTTCCTTTTTTTTTTCAGCTGCTTCCCTTTCCCTTGAAGAGAAAAATGAGAAGAAACATTTCAACCAAAATGAACAAACACTTCAGGTATGCTCTAAAAAAAAAAACTGTTGTCTTGAACGGATGAGTGATTATTTAAGACTCAACAATTAAAAGCTAATTTCTGAAACATACTCACAGCTTTTCCTTACACATAGCACATTTGTTACCATGTGTCTTGCCATCTGGACCACGTACAGGGTCACTTTCTCGGGTACAAATAAGCTTTCCATTCTTCATTTGACTTCTAAACTCATCACATACATCCTGAAAAGAAGGAAAAATTATATTGGAAATGGCTATTTTCACATAGTATTTAACTGATCTTGAAAATTTTGAAGATTTTGACTCAGGAGTTGGGCAGCCACCTAATCTTGCTGTGGGAGGCTCTTTACTGGACCACAGACATGTCCAAGTGGTAATTTCTGAAGATGAATTCCATCATCAACCTTAATTCCTGCTTGCCATGTAAGGCTTCATATTCCAGAAATGATCACTTGGATACCTCTGTGATCCAGTGTAGAGCCTCCCCACAGCAAGGTTAGGTGGCTTTATAACCAGGTTACTTTATAATGGGAAGATTATCCTGGATTATCTGGGTGGGCCCAGTGTAATCAAAAAGATTCTTATGAGTGAAACAGGAAGGCAGGAAAACCAGAGTCAGAATGATACAACATTAAAAAAAAAAAAAAGTCTACTGGCCCCTGCTGGTTTTAAAGATGACCACAAACCAAGGAATGCAGGCGCTTCTAGAAGTTAAAAAAAAAAAAAAGGCAAAGAAAAAGATCTTCCCCAGAACCTCCACCAAGGAAAGCAGACTTTCTCTGACACCCTGGCTTTAACATAGTAAGACCTGTTTAGGACTTCTGAACTCCAGAAATGTATGATGCTGAATCAAGGTTGTTTTCAGCTACTGTTGGTAATAATTTGTTATAGCAGCCAAACCTCATTTTCCCCATCTATAAAATGAGATTGGGAAAATCTTAGTTGACCAGGCTATTGAGATAATTAAATAAACTACTCTCTATAAAAGTGTTTCATAAAGTGTTAGGCTGGAAGATTTCCATTTGGTGTTAAATTTCCACATTGAACAAGTTATCAGTGATATTCACATTCATGATGACTTCTGAGCTTCTAAGCACAAGATCTTGACTGGCAACCCTGGCATGCTCTTTCCACATTTTTGATAGTCAAGTAATTACTTACAGAAAGACCATTCTTGCCAAAACCTAGTTAATAATTCACCTTTTCTGATGCTGAATCAGTCCCATTTGATCTGTAGCCAGATTGCTTGTTTTTCCCCTCTGCTTCTCTTTGCCTAAAAAAGAAAAGAGTTCAGTAGTCATGTTGTTAACACATACCCAGGTTTGGAAGAGGCCTGAGAATTTATGTATCCTAATCCACCTTCTTCACAGAGAATCTCTCTGCATCTCTCAGAGATGGGCAGTCACCTTGAGTATTAAGAAGCTCCCCATTACAAGATAGCTATTCTAGCGAGATCAACTGAGTTAATCTCAGTCTCCTTTATATATGTCCAAATTAATCTCCCTGCAGCTTTCATCCTTACTTCACATCCTCAGGAAAGCATGGAACAAGCCTGCTAAACCCATTATCTCTTCCTGACATTAATCCTTTAGATATTTAAAAGCAAGCTTCAGATCTCCAAGTCCAGCTTTCTCAGTTCTTTTACCTTTTTGTCATAAGTTGTAGTTTTAATTCCTTACCAATTCACCATTCTTGTTCCTTGATTTGTAGGTCAGTCTAAGCTTCCCTGGTGGCTCAGATGGTAAAGAATCTGCCTGCAGTGCAGGGGACCCAGGTTTGATCCCTGGGTTGGCAAGATCTCCTGGAGAAGGAAATGGCAATCCACTCCAGTATTCTTGCCTGAAGAATTCCATGAGCAGAGGAGCCTAGTAGGCTACAGTCCATGGGGTCACAAAGAGTTGGACATGACTGAGTGACGAGCACTAATATTTCAATTTATCTAGGTTACCGTTGGATCTCAAGATAGAAGACAAGTGATATAGGAAGAACCTTAGGATTATGGTTTTTGGGGTTTAATCTTTTACCTTTCTGATAAAATATTTATGCTAGTGGTTCCTAATTTTTCATGTACATTAAGAATCACCTGTGAGATTTTAAAAATCAGATTCACTGTCAATCCCAACAGTTTTACTGACAGGGTCTACACTGAGATTCAGTTATCCGACTTTTAATAACCCAGGTGATTCTGATCCAAGATCCAAATCATACAGAACTATGGTACATATATATCTCTTTCAAAGTTTCATTTGGCTTTATGCTTAAAAGGAATGTATATGAATATATATAACATGAGTATATGTGTGTGTGTATTTTAGGGAGCTCCCTTTTCATATATAAGAAATAGGTTTTTATATGACTCAGGGAACTCAAACTGGGGCTCAATTTGAGTTTCATTTCTTTCAAACAACCTAGAGGGGAGGGAGGTGGGAGGAATATTCAAATGAAAGGGGACATGGGTAAACCTATGGCTGATTGATGTTGATGTTTGGTAGAAACCTATAAAATACTGTAAAGCAATTATCCTTCAATTAAAAATAAAAATAGGGAAGTGGTAGTCACTGTATCCTGAAGATTCAAACAAATATAAAGTCATGAAACCTTAACAAAATGCTAGGAAAAAGAGACTACCTGTAATGATTCAGTCTGGTGGAATTTACAGTCACGGATCTGATCAAAAATCTCCAGTGGCTTACAGTTCACAGAATTGTGACACAAAAGAGAGTAGGAATCAGCCACTGGTTAGCTGCCCTTGCTTGGGCTCATTGCTCCTTAGGGGATGCTAGAGAAGGAGATAATATTTGAGAATTAACAGAAAGGGTAGTTTTCATGAAAGAAACTACAGGCAAATGAGAAACAGCCATTAATTCAGGAGGAATATGTGGCTATCTTTAGACAAGCAGGTTGAGAAAAGTACTTACAATATCTCTCTACACATGGTACACTTGTTGTTGTATGATTTGCCGTCTGCATCACGGACAGGATCACTCTCGCGAGTGCAGCTGAGTTTTCCATCTTTCATTTTTTCCCGATACTCAGCACATTGGTCCTGAAAAGGGAAAAGAGAGCAGGCCTCCTGGATGACTTGGTCTGTTGTATGTTTATTAAGTTTGTTAAATAATCTGAGTCAGAAGTTCTTATCTATCTCCTCTTATACAGCATGTAACACCTAGGATTGCTGTCAACAGAAGAGGGGCTGGAATCATCCATATTCTAAGAGGTCAGCTCTCATGGGTAATGTTGCTTTTAAGGTTTTACACAAGGAAATTATAAAGCTGGCTGGGATTTAATCGCATAGATCAAGGGTCATCAGACTATAGCCTACAACACTATCTGTCCTGCTGTCCTTATATAGGAAGTTTTATATATAAAACTTGAAACACACCTTCACTCCTTCATTTAAGTATTATTTATGGCTGATTTCCCATAGACATGGCAGAGTTGAATAGTTGTAACAGAAACTGTGTAACCCGCAATGCTTAAAATATTTGCTATCTGGCCTTTTACAGAAAAGAAAAAAAAATTGCTGACCTCTAATGTAGATAGGAGAGAGAAAGAAGTGCTAGGAAAAGGCATAAAATCATGTAAAATGCCAAAGAAGTCAGGCTTGAGTAAATTATAGACAAGATAGACAAAGGGTCTTAACAAGTCTATACTTGAGAGTAAGAACTCAACCTCCTACAGGAGAAAATATGCACAAACAGAAAAGCCAAAATTTTTCAAAGGCAAACACTGGGCCTATGTCAGATCTGGAGGCAGAGAGTCTTGACATCCTCAGGTCATATGACTAGAGATAAGATGGCTGTGACAAGGTCATACAGCTAAAGACAAGGTGTCTGTGATCTTAGTAGTTGTGTTCACGTGCCTGAGGAGTGGGCTTGTATGCAACATTGTCATAAAGACTTTTAAAACGTCTCAGGAAATGTGCCAACACTTGCCTAAGTTACTGTATCCCTATAAGAGTACTGCTAAGTAAGAGAAAATATAGAGTTGAGTGAGATGAAGTGATTTATTCGATGCTTTGCAAGTCCAGGTGGCAAAGGTAGGATCATACCCCAAACTATCTGACTCAAAAACCTATGCTCTTTCACCATATTATCCTGTCTTGGAACAATAGCAAATATACCTCCAAAAAGTGGCTCCAGTCAGAAAGAGAACATAATGAAAGGAACTGAAGAGCACAGGATGTGGAACATCATTACATTTATGCCACTTACTCTCCTCGGATCATGTATTGGTTTCAAAGCTAGATGATAGAAAGAGTCAGGAGACTGGGATCAGGACATCATGTTAATTATTTTCAAGTGCAGAGAAGTCAGAGTGAGCCCTAGAGAAACTAAAAATTGCTTGGATATTACTCTGCAATCATAAGGGGAAGTTCCCTGTCCTTCCAAGGAAGCTCTCCAGCTCAGCACTGTGTACGCTCATAGCCCTTGACCACAGGCTCTGCCCTGGCCCCAGTACCACTGAGTGGAGCCCACTCTGGTTGTGGAACTCAGAGGCGGCTCTCACCTTTGCTTTCCCTTGTCCACCACCACTGGAGTCATGGCCTGCAGCATTCCGCTGATCTTCCTCTTCTTTTCTCTTTCTTTCTTCATCTTCTTTCTGGCTGAAAATTAGAAGGTGGGAGGTAGGGAATAATAGATTACAGAGAGTGGAATGCATTTCTATGAGTTTCTCATCCTATGACCCAATTAGATTTTTATAGAATTCACCAGCATTTATTGAACATCTGTTACATTGCAGGCCCTCTTCTTTGAAAATAGAAAAATGCATTATGTTGCATCCTTTTGCCTGGAAGACTCTTATTGCAGTAGGAAAAAACCAACATTTACGGAACCACAAGCAAGACTTGGTGAGCAATTAATTAGCATTTTGTAAATGCTCATGTGAATCTCCAGAGGGATTTCTCTCAAATACCTCATATCAAAGAGGTCCCAATGTAATTATCTCCTCTACCAAATGTGTTCTTTCTTCTTCAGAAAGAACAAGACCCTGAGCCATCCCTAACTGTTCCCTCTTCTTTAGCTCACATAGCTGTTTACATTGGTTTCACTTTCCTGTGTCTCCCATGCTGATGTACTCGCCTTCTGTTCTAGCTCTGTGCTCTAGTTACCTCTTGCTGGATTACTCTAATTCCCTACTACCACCAACAGCATCCTGAATTTTGGTACCTTGCTTTTCTTTTTACTGCTAACATGAATCTTCCAAAAAAAACCCACATTTATGCCACTTACTTTCCTAGCTGAAAAATTTTAGCAGCTTGCCACTATATATAGTATTGACTTCAAAATCCATGATCTGGCATTCAAAGCTGGTGAAGTGGATAAGTTCTAACTAACATGACTTGCTCTTTTATGTACATACTACACCTTCCCTAATTTTAGATTTTACCTATGCTGTTCCCTGTTTTATCCTCATTCCTTCCTGTACTGTTCACTTATTATCCAAAGTACCAGATCCAGTTTTATCCCTCCATAAAACTTTCTATTAACTCTCCCTTTCCTGAACTACCATAACACATTGCATACATCATTTTTCATTTAGCAATTACTCCTTTGTATTATATTAATTTATTCCCATGTCTAATCCTTACTGAACTATATCATTTCTGGTAATACTATTTCATTCATCTTTCTATAACCGTCATACACTTAAACATTCTAGATGTTCATCAAATGACTGTTAAATGACAAATATTTCAGATGTACTTCCAAACCTTGTGTAAACAACTATCTTTAATTTCCTAAAAAATGTGATCTTTTAAAAAATGTAGGTAGAGGAGTTAGATTGATAGTAAGATCTGTGCGTTCTTTCCGATGGGGATTACAAAATAATCCAAAGAAGGGATCCACCTGACAGCAAAGGACTTAGAACTTTATCAAGAAAGATGGTGTGATCCGCTGTGAGGCGGTGCCCCAGAGCTAATGGACAGTGTAGTGTAAAAGCTTGGTCATCTGTTTCTAGAATTGTGAATCTGAGCCTCTGTAAAGAAAGAGTTGCCCTAAAATGATCTGCACATGATCATTTGTTGCTTTTACAATACATGTGAGGAAAGGACCAACACTATATATTATCCTCCCGGCTCTGCCACCCACAGCATGGACTTCATCTGCACACTCACAAGACTGCTTTGCACATGGCGCACTTGTTGCCGTGGGTCTTGCCATCTGGGCCACGCACAGGGTCATTTTCTCGAGTGCAGAAAAGATTTCCATTTTGAAGAAGGCTCCGAAATTCACTGCATGCATCCTAAAAGAAGGAGAAAAGGCAAGAGCTTGGATATTTTCTTGAAAATAACTCTGCTGGGTCCCTACTAAGTGCTTCCTGGGGGGAAAAAAAGGAAAATGAAAATGACCTATGAATGTTTCTTTCTGGCAGTTGTTTTGTTCAATTCCTACAAAGACCACAGGACTTAAAAAGAGGTTCCTGTTTTTTTTCCCTTGAGATTTAGCTTTCAAGTCCAGACTGAACCTGGCAGTCACACACAAGCAAGAATCTCTTAATAAACTGGGTTCTCAGAGGATTGGATACAGTTCTTAATCAAGACTTTATCTCTATTATATTATAATGCAATAAGAACACTGTACATAGCATAGAATTCGAAAGAATTAGGGTTTAGGTAGAACTTGGAAGTTCACTTGATAATCCCCTTTATGTCATACCAGCCAATAAGTTGTGTAATTTGCACTGGAACACCTGTAGTGATAAGGAGTTCATTAGTGTTAGTCGCTCAGTCGTGCCCGACTGTTTGGGACCCCATGGACTGCAGCCCACCAGGCTCCTCTGTCCATGAGATTTTCCAGGCAAGGATACTGGAGTGAGTTGCCATTTCCTTCTCCAGGGGATCATCCCAACCCAGGGTTCGAACCTGGGTCTTCTGCACTGCAGGCAGATTCTTTATCAACTGAGCTACAAATTCCAGAATTTCTATTAGGTCATTCCCAGAGATTAGCCATGTGCCACTTAGAAGGATCTTGGAAAGGAACTCTAATCATTCCGATAGGATCCTTATTCATGGGGTTTTATTTTTCTAAGATGTCATTGCAAATAGGATGCGTATGTTCCTTCAAACCAGTAGGCAAAGTCAACGTATCTTACTTCACTCAGAAAAACAGAGAATATTTTTTTTCTTCCACACAGACTCCTTCAAATATCTGGAGAAAGTCCTCTTGTCCTTCTCCCATAGCAAAGCACCCCCCAATACTTCAATCATTCTGTTCCAGTCTTTTTCAGTCATTTGCATCATTTCTCATTCTGATTTCTTTCCCTTTCCTAAAGAATTTAACATGATATTCCAGGTGTGTCCAGACAAACCCAGTGTGTTGACAGCTATTTAATATTGTTGGTTAGAATTCTAATCTGTTGCCCAGAGACCTTGGGTGAGGAGGGGTCTTGCCCTGTCTGTGCCTCAACTGCCTCTTCTATAAAATTATATATATATATATATATATATAAATTAAAATAATATTTATTCCACACAGTTAAAATAATAATTGCCAATATGAAGTATTCAGTACATGTGCTGAATTGTTATGACAATAATGTGAGATAATATATTTCTACACATATCTAAAATGACTGACATCTCAGAAGTACTCAGTAAATTTATGAGGAATTGAGATAGAATAAGCAAATACTTAAGATCATATAATTAATTACCGATGGCAAGTAAGATTATATTTTTTTCTGTATCTTTTAGTTCAAGTCAAAACTCAGTGAAGACAAGAGTGAGCTTTTCCTAGCTCTGCTGCAAGGTTCACTACCAGGTTCCCTAACTGGTCATATTTAGCAAAAGAATATGAGAGGATAGTTTATTTGTAGTAGCTAATGTGAAATCAGAAATCATCTGATGCTCAAGACTAGTCTCCTGTTGATGTTGAAAAGGAAAGCATATGAGCTAATATTTTAAAAATTCAGATTCTCAATTGTGGGAAATACAGTTGTAAAACAAACAAATCATTCATAATTCCAAGTGATATTTCATTAGAGATTATTTTTAACATCAATAGTTTTTGATGGGGGCAAGGAAGTGACTACAACCTGGAAAAATCTACCTGGAGTCAGTCCTTTTGGAACCAAGAAAATATTATTTGGGAATGTTGCTCTAATTTTTGCCCAAATGCTGGCCCCAGAAATAATGAAAGCAAGGGACACTTCTGGTTTGACCAGATGTGTTCATCTAAAGCTCCATGTTGTATAGAAGTAATGCTAGGATTTGGTGTCATGAAGTCCAAGTTTGAATTCTGTTGTTCCCACTTTTCAAGATTCTGATACCGATACTCTCATTACCTTTGTACACAAGTTCTTCCTCTGGATTTTAAATCTTCATTTAAAAATAGGGCAAAGGAGTAAATTAGAAGCTTGTAGACTATGGCCTGTGAGCAAAACCTGGCCCACCACCTTTTTGTATAAATAAAAAGTTACTGGAAATTTTTATTTATGCAAAATAAATGCCCATGTATTTGCATATTATCCATGGCTGCTTTAGAGCTACAGTAGTAGAGTTGAGTAGTCATGACAGAGACCAAATAGTCGCAACCTAAAATATCTGCTGTCTTACTCTTTAAGAAAATTTTATTAACCCCTGGACTAACTGAACCTTGAGTTCTTGCACATAGGCCTTCAGTGATCCCATGAGTTATTTTTAAAGAGAAACTACAAAGCTTCATTGTAGTATGAAGCTTCCAGGATAACCACCTTTTCAGCTTCTCTCTTAGCTTTTCTGGATTTAGCTGCTGCTTTTTCTTTTGCTTCTTGCTGGCTGTAAGAGAAAGGCAGGGGGATCAATCCATTCCTAGTACCCAGTACATATTATCCTAAAGGGGATCTCTCTAGATAGATATATTCCATTACTTCTACACCTCTTATTTTTAGTGTTACCTAAAGACACAGGTGTTGTGGCCAACCAGTAAATGAATTTTCACTGCTCTACTTCTTTTGGAAAACAAAGATGTGGTCCTTCTTCCCAGGAAGCAATGAGGATACTTAAAAAATTGATGAGACGATAGGGTACTTTCAATGTGTTAGCACCCAATGATTACATCTTTGGATTATTCATGATAGTATGTACGCAGAACAAAAATGGCCAATCCTTGTAGGCCATTAACTCTGGGGGAATTTCCCCCTAGTACACGGTCCCCCCTTAATAGCAATTCAGGTACCTTTCGGAACACTGAGAACATTACAAAGAAATGCACTATAGACAGCTTTGTAATCGTAAATCCCCGAACTCAGTGAAAAGGTCGCCTTCACTGTCTGCCTCAGAGAGGAAGCCTTCAACATGCTCTCTCTCGCCCACCACAGGCCTGTCCTCTCTGGTGCTTAGGAGGAGCAGTGACCGCAGCCTACTCACAAGAAGGCCTCACACATGGAGCAAGTGTTGCCATGGATTTTCCCGTCGAGGCCCTCAATGGGGTCGTTCTCTCTGGTGCACGGAAGTTGTCCATTCCTCATGTAGTTACGATATTCACTGCACAGTTCCTGCCAAATGAGGGAGGGGCTAAGCATCAGGTAATGAAATACTGAACGCTTCCTCCATGTTACCCCTTTGAAAACTAGGATGCCCCAAACATAATGGATGCATCAAGATGGTGACACAGAAGGTCGATACTAGACAAGACACTTTTCAGATGCTGAGTTTTCACATTATTTGGAATATAAGATTACTGTCACTTATCTCATTTGAAAACCTTCAACTTAATTCAAATATTCTTCTGGGCTAGGCACTGATGCATGAGACAAGTGCTCGGACCTGGTGCACTGGGAAGACCCAGAGGGATTGGGTGGAGAGGGAGGTGGGAGGGGGGACTGGGATGGGGAATACATGTAAATCCATGGCTAATTCATTTCAATGTATGACAAAAACCACTGTAATGTTGTAAAGTAATTAGCCTCAAACTAATAAAAATAAATGAAAAAAAAAAAGATTCACATGCCAACAGCTGTGATATACTGAATACATAAAAATAGAATAAAATAAAAACAGTAATTTATTGTCCCTTTCATAAAGCAGTTTGTGATTGGCAGAATATTAGCTCCTGACCCAAAATCTGTCCAAGTCTTGATATCCAGGACCTGTGAATATGTTACAGAGCAAAGGGGACTTTGCAGATGTGAATAAGTTAAGGACCTAGAGATGGAGATATTATCATGGATTATCTTAGTGTGCCCAATGAAATCACAAGCGTCAAACCTTAAAACTGGACGAGTTAAGACTGCACAGTGAGAGGGAGCTGTACTTACAGGAGAACAACAAGAAATGCAGTGTTTAAGGATGATGGAAAAGTCCAAGACCCAAAGCACATGAAAGGCCTCTAGAAACTAGAAAAAGCAGAGAGACAGGCCCTCCTGTGGATTCCAGAAAGGAACACAGCCCTGCCAACCCTGTGATTTAGCCACTTGGGTCCATGTCAGAGTTATAACCTAAACAATTATAAAATCATAAGTTTGTAATGTTTTATGCCAGTACGTTTCTGGTAATTTTTTCAGAGAAACCATAAAAAAACTAGTACATGGGGTCTGTCTCTCCCTTGCCCAGAGAGAATGGGGTGTTCATGCGGCTCTAAGGATCTGAAACAGTTACCTCTACTGCTTCTCTCTTAACTTTCTCAGTCTCGGCTTTCTCCTTTTCTTCCTTGCCAGCATTTTTCTTCTCTTCTTCAAGTCTGCTGCAATTTAAAAAAAAAAAAAGAAGAAGAAGATACAAACTAGATTCAGTTTTCCATTCTCTTTGGTAATATATTTTAAGAAGGAATGAGAGTTTTCCAGACCAAAAATCAGATTCAGTCTTCAGTACAAATTTATCTGATCAAGAGGTGCTAATACTTTGCCCAGTAATGAAGATAGCTTCAGCAGTTAACAATTGCCCTTAAAAATACAAAACTGATATTTTTTTTATCAGTATGTGACCCTTGGGTGGACTTTTTCTACCAGGCAGTGACTTCAATCAATGATCTGAAAAAGAGCAACAATTGCCTTGATTTTTCAAAATTGCTATCTAAATAATTACAATTATAATGATGAGACTAAGGAGTGATACAATTTGATGATGGACCCATAATCAAAATAAACCATGTCTCACTGTAAGATTAAATTAAATTTAATTAAATTTATTAATTTATTTCATAAATTTAATGTAATAATTTAAATATTATTTTAATGGATTAATATTTAATTTTGAATTCAAGTTTTAGAGTATAATAATGATTCAAGTCCAAGAAGATTTGACAGCTTATATTTTGAGGGAAATCATAAGCCTAAGATTTTGGCATTCTAGCTATTTTCTACTGACCTGTACCATTATCAGAACTGGAAAAATCCTTAGCATATATCACATCTAGTATAGTCATTAATACAGCACTAGCATATCAAGCATGTGAGAGGAGAGCCCTGATTTCTTGAATCTCAGGCACTGTTTAATCTACTGGCTGCCTCTATTAATCTCTCCTCTAAGGAACCATGTGAATATACTTATATTAGACCAAAACATGTGAAAGTTAAGGGTCAATAACTCTGCACCTCTTTAAACAGATGTACTATTTAAGTATTTTTTTTCAGCATTTGTTTTAGTGTGGGGCTCACTAGAGCATTGAGAATCTAAGGAGTAGAATCAGAGGTGATAATGATTGCACTTCTATCTTGTCCCACACAGTGGAGCGCTGGCCCCACTCAGGAAAACAGTGACCCAGAGGAACATGGATGTTGCTTAAAAAGAAGACAGTTCAGTAAACATCTATTATGTGGCCCTAAGTCTTAAGGCTTTCAATCTTTACAATTTCATATGGTAATAATGCATATGGTAATGCCCCTGAAAAGATAAATGTAATCCATTCTATTCCATTTCTTGTTCAGGCTATTTTAGAAGTGTTTTCACACTGATCACAGAGACCTCTGTTCAGCTCGTTTTCCCTTAACCAGTATCTGAATACACTCAAGAGTCATAAAATGTCAGCGATGGGAGAAGAACCAAAGAGATAACCCCACCCAGATCAACCAATTTCTGCTTTTTGTTATGAATGAGGATTGTCAAGTGTTAAAAACAGTTAATCTCACCCAGATCAATCATCAAACTTCTGGTCTCTTTTTGTTAGAAATCATGATTGTCAGGTGTAAAAAAATATTTGCATTAAATTAAGACTCTTCCTATGCCTCAGATAGAAGATAGGGAGATAGCTGAATAGAGAAAAACATTGTCACTGTGATTCAGTGTTACTTAATGTCTTTTCCACATGCTTTTAGAATTGTCTAGCATCCAAGTAATAGTCTATATTCTACACATTTATGAAGAAACTGAGACACAGGGCTGATAAATCATGAAGAGATTGAAGGGGAGAGAAGAGCTTGGACACTCACAACAGGCTTGCGCACAGGGCACACTTGTTCCCATGCATTTTGCCATCTGGGCCACGGACAGGGTCATTCTCCCTGGTGCATATGAGCATTCCGTTCCTCACCTGGTTCCGAAACTCACTGCAGAGTTCCTGGAAAATGAAGAAAATATGCTCTCAGAGAATGGTTTTCTACTCTCTCTACACTTCTGTCTGTTTTGAAGAATAACTAATGCAGAGTAAGAAGAAAAAAGAAAAGTGATTACATGTAGCAGTAAATCAAAAGCATTTAAAAAGTTTCTTTCATGGACTCAAAATTGTGCTGACTCTATAGTGGATCTGAAAATGTTTAAGTCAGCATCCTCTTGAGGGTGCTTACAATAGAGGTGCAGAGGAAGGCTGATAAAATTGGTGGAGACCAATATAAAATATATATGTTTATGATGTGTCACACATCACAATCTATAAAAGGTGCTGCTGCTGCTGCTGCTGCTAAGTCGCTTCAGTCGTGTCCGACTCTGTGTGACCCCATAGACAGCAGCTCACCAGGCTCCGCCGTCCCTGGGATTCTCCAGGCAAGAACATTGGAGTGGGGTGCCATTGCCTTCTCCACTATAAAAGCTAGGAACACCAAAGGGGAGGAGACTCAACAGGCCTAGAAGGGGAGGATTCCTAGAAAAACTTAGAATATTATTGGGCCTTCACGAGAAAGAAGGAAATCCTGCCATTTACAATTTGGGTAAAATGAGTGTATTCTCTCTGACATAAATCACAGCAAGATCTTCTATGACCCACCTCCCATAGTAATGGAAATAAAAGCAAAAATAAACAAATGGGACCTAATGAAACTTAAAAGCTTTTGCACAATGAAGGAAACTATAAGTGAGGTGAAAAGACAGCATTCAGAATGGGAGAAAATAATAGCAAATGAAGCAACTGACAAAGAATTAATCTCAAAAAATATACAAGCAGCTCATGCAGCTCAATTCCAGAAAAATAAACGACCCAATCTAAAATGGGCCGAAGAACTAAACAGACATTTCTCCACTAGTATAGCCACTATGGAAAACAGTGTGGAAATTCCTTAAAAAATGAAATAAAACTTCCATATGACCCAGAAATCCCACTGCTGGGCATACACACTGAGGAAACTAGAATTTAAAGAGACACATGTACCCCAATGTTCATTGCAGCACTGTTTATAATAGCCAGGACATGGAAGCAACCTAGATGGCCATCAGCAGATGAATGGATAAGAAACTTTTGGTACACATACACAGTGGAATATTACTCAGCTATTAAAAAGAACACATTTGAATCAGGTCTAGTGAGGTGGATGAAACTGGAGCCTATTATACAGAGTGAAGTAAGTCAGAAAGAAAAACACCAACACAGTATATTAACACATATATATGGAATTTAGAAAGACGGTAACAATGACCCTATATGTGAGACAGTAAAAGTGACATAAAGAACAGACTTTGGACTCTGTAGGAGAAGGCAAGGGTGGGATGATTTGAGAGAATAACATTGAAACATGTATATTATCATATGTGAAACAGATCACCAGTCCAGGTTCAATGCATGAGACAAGTGCTCAGGGCTGGTGCACTGGGAAGACCCAGGGGGATGGGATGGGGAGGGAGGTGGCGGGGGTGGTTTCAGGATGGGGGACACATGTATACCCATGGCAGATTCATGTCACTGAATGGCAAAAACCACCACAATATTGTAAAGTAATTAGCCTCCAATTAAAATAAATAAATTTTTTTAAAAATTAAAAAAAACTCCCACCAATGCAGGAGACATGGGTTCGATCTCTTGTTCTGGGAAGATCCCACAGGGCAACTAAGCCCATATGTCACAACTATGGAGCCTGTGCCCTAGAGCTTGGGAGCCATAACTACTGAGCCCATATGCTGCAACTGCTGAAGCCTATGTGCCCTAAAGCCTATGCTCTGCAACAAGAGAAGCCACCACAATGAGAAGCCTGTGCACCACAACAAGAAAAGTCCGAGCAGCAATGAAGACCCAGCACAGCCCCCAAAATTTAAAAACAAAATTTTTTAAAAAATGAGTTATGAAGCTGAAATGATATAAATTTAGTAGGCATTATAGTGTATAGCAGTAAGACTATGTGACAGAGTATTGTTAGCCTTGACCTCTCTCTCCTTTAGTCTCCTTAACTGTCAATTTACTACTGTATCAATAAACATCATATGTTAGATCAATAAATGTCATATCATAGAGTCAAAAAAAACTTGAGCGTATTATGCTAAGTAAAATAAGTCAGAGAGAGACAAATACTATATGGTATCACTTATCTGTAGAATCCTCAAAAGCCAAAATTCACAGAAATAGAAAGCAGATGGTGGCTACATGTATGTTTGTGTGTGTGTATGTGTGAGCATGAGAGAAGGTAGTCAGAAGTACAAACTTGCAGATATAAGATGAATACATTCTAGTTCATGGTGATTATAGTTAAGAATACTGTATTATATGCTTAAGAGTTCCTAAGAGATTCCATATTCTCCATACAGAAAACAGTTGCAATTATGTGACATGATGGAATTTTTGCTAATACTATGGTGACAAATATTTTTCAATTTATAAGTGTCCAGCATATACACCTTCAATTTACCCAATGTTATAATCCAATTGTATCTCAATAAAGTTGGACATTTTAAAATTAAAATAATGTGCCCAAAAAACAAACATTATGACCCTTCTTTTGTCTTTAAAAGGCTGAAAAAGAAAAGACATTCCTAAGCTAAGAAATACATATCTGAAATAAAGATATGTGGAGAGAAAAATATAGGTATGATACCTAGAGAAACTGACAACTTTCTGGGAGTTTCTCGATAAAGCACAGGGATGGGAGATGCATATTTGAAACAGAAGAATAACAGTGGCAATGGAGAGAAGGAAGATTGTGTTAAGACAATTCAAAAAACCTATGAGGATTTATAAACTCTTCAGACATTATAGATAAAACACTTCCAGTTCTGAATTACTAACAAAAACATGGTTCCAAGTAACAAAAAATTATTAAGAAAATGAGGCAGTTTAGAGGCAAACTTTTAGGCTGTGTCAACTATCCCCCCGCCCCCAAAAAAACAATTAGAGTTATACTTTGGCAGCTGTTGTTAGGAAATAGAATAAATAAAGGTAAACCTTGTGTAAGACTATGTGAGAGTAGACAGAGTTTGCTCTGCTACTTGTAAATTGTAAAATTATAAAATAATGTGAAGTTGATGTAAAATAGTCAAAGGATTACTGAATAATCATAATTGAAGGTGGGAATACTGGTATTCCTCCATAGCTGGATGATGACAAGCATAAAATATGATAATATATGTGCACTTTGTTTTGTAAATTAAACTAATGTGAATAATAGGGCTTTTGTATCCTGTCTGAAATAAATAAGAGGGAGAACAATTAGAGATTCAGTGTTGTCATCTTTGAAGATGATGGAAAAAGTCCAGGAATCAAGGAACAACAACAGCCTCCAGAAGCTAGGAAAAGCAAAGAACAGGACCTTTTATAGAGATTCCAGGAAGGAAGCCAGCCCTATTACTTAGCCCCTTGCGATCCATGCCAGATTATAACCTAAATAATCATAAGATTATACATTTGTGCTGTTTTAAGCTACCAAGTTTGTGGTAATTTGTCAGAGAAACCATAAAAAAAAAACCTAGAATGCTGGTTTTAGTTTCTTTGGATAAAATACATAGATGCATGTATATGTTACAATTTTAAAATGGTATAGTTGAGAAATAATAGAGCTATTACATCTATGGAATAAATGGGGAAAATCTTTAAGGAATAGAAAATACTTAATCTGAGTCATGAGAAATGGTCAGAACTTTGACAGCTGGTGGAGATGAACACTCATGACCGAGTAGGAAGAAAGCCACATAGGTTAGAATTCATTGTATGTACAATACTAAGGACCTAATATGTGTGTAGGGCTTTGCTGTTATTCTTGGGTAGGTTTCTGGGGACTCCATAAACATAATATACATAATGATAACTATATTATTATTTTATAAATGAGATGAAAATGCATAGATGTTGACTGTGTGACCTTACTGTTAGGGAGATGGAGCCAGTATTGAACCCTGACAGTCAGTCCAGAGCCCAGGGCTCTAACCACACTGTTCTTGAGTTCACAGGCTGGAAAGCCAGGAATCAATGCTTGGCATGTCCACGAGGCGACCAGGTGACCAGCATGGCACTGGATAGAAGAGCAGGAAACTGGGTCTGAGAGCTGACAGAGGTCAGATTCCTTATAACATTGTTGGTCACTAGAAGGACATTGGTTCTTACTCTGAGTGAGATGAGAAGCCACTGGGTGGCATAAATAACCTGCCTTACATCTGTAAATAATTAGTCTTTCTTCAAAGTAGGAACCAAAGATGAGAGCAGAAAAAACAGTCCAAAATGAGATCTTCCAAGGGAGATAAAGGAAAGGAGTGCTGAAGACTGGAAGCACAGCCTTCAGAAATATCACACATGGAGGTTGGGGGCAACATCCAAAGAGCGTCATAGGCTTCAGAGCCAGAACATGTGGTTCAGTTGTTAGCTCCCAAGTTACTGTGTGTGTGTGTGTGTGTGTGTGCACGTGTGTGTGTGTGCATGTATGTATGTACACACACACATATAGTCACTAAATACATATTTCCTAACTTGTTATCTAAGCCTCCAGTTCCTTTTTTAAAAAAAAAATACAGATAATAATCTATACCTTGAATGGTTACTACAAAGATCAGTTATAAAATTGTTATACAACATGTCATACAGTAGCCACTACATAATTAATAGCCATGACCATCATCATTGTTGTCATCTTCATGTGAGATGTTGTAGAATGTAAACTTGAGGCTTAAAGATGCTTTTAAGTAATTTTCGCAAGATCTTACAGAGAATTAACAGGGATTTTGTCTTAAACTAAACATTCTAATACAAAACAATGTGAAGAAAACTCTAAACTCTACCTCTGTTGGTTTGCATTCAGACACATCTTTCCCGGGATTACTATAATTCACATGGTCAGTGGAGGAAAGTGCATTTATCTTCTTAAATGCACAAGCACTAGATCAGATATGAGATAGATAAGCTGAGTAAAGAAGAAGGGACCTTCTTAAGTATGGGGATCCAAATATAGCTCCTCAGTTTGCAGAGTCACTGAGGACAGCGGAAGCAGGAGCCTTGCCCAGAGAGAATGGAATATTTATGTGGCTCTGGTGACGTGAAACAATTACCTGTACTGCTTCTCTCTTAACTTTCACAGACCTAGCTTTATCCTTTTCTTCCTTGCCATTATTTTTCTTCTCTTCTTCAAGTTTGCTGCAATAAAATACAGAAGATACAAGCTAAATGCAATTTCTCATTCTCGTCAGTAATATATTTTAAAAAGGAGTAAGAATATCCCAGACCAAATGTCAGATTTAGTCTTCAGTACAAATTTATCCAATCAAGATGTACTAATACTTTACCCAATAATGCAGATAAATTCAGTAGTTTAAAATCATCCTTAAAAAAAAAAAACCTAGTACACTTTTTTATCAGTATGTGAACCTTGGGTAGTGTTTTTTTCGGTGAGTCAGTGACTTCAATCAATGATCCAGAAAAAAAGTCACAGTTGCCTTGATTTTCTTTTTAATTTTTAATTAAAAAAATTTTTAATTGCTTTTTATATCTAAATAATTACCATATTAATGATGAGAGCAAGGGGTAATACCATAGCAGATGAGGGGGTCATAATGGCAATGAATCATATTTTAATATAGAATTTAAAGTTTTAATATTTTCATGGAATTAATATTCAAATTGAAATTCAAATTTTAGAGTATAATAATGATTCGAGTCCAAGAAGATTCAACAACTAACATTTTGAGGTCAATCGTGAGCCTAAAATTCTGACATTCTTGTTATTTCTACTGATATATAGCATATCAGAGCTGGAAAAATCCTTAGCATTTATCGCATCTAATATCATCATCTAATACAGCACTAGCAAATCAAGCAGATAAGAGGAGAACCCAGATTTCTTGACTCTCGGGCACTTTTTATTGACTCCCCCTGTTAATCTCTCCTCTAAGGAACTATGCAAATATACTTAGACCAAGACATGTGAAAGTTAAGGGGCAGTAACTCTGCACTTATTTAAACAAATATTATTTAAATATTTTTCAGCATTTTAGTGTGAGGCTCACTAGAGGACTGAGAATCTAAAGAGGAGGTGAAGCAGAGGTGGTAATAATCCACCTCTGTATTGTCCTACACAGTGGAGCTCTGGCTCCACTCAGAAAAATAGTGGCCCAGACAGAAGACCTGGACATGGCTAAAGAAGGAGACTTTTAGAAAACATCCATCATGGGGCCTGCCTCTTATAGATTTCACTCTCTTACAGTAAGCCACTTATCAAAGTATTTATTTCACCTGCACATGGTAATGCCCCTGAAAAGATAAATGCAATCCATTCTATTCCATTTCTTGTTTAGGCTATTTTAGAAGTGTTTGCAAACTGACCCCAGAGGCTTCTGTTCAGCTGGTTTTTTCCTTAACCAGTGTCTGAGAATACTCACAGAATCATAAAATGTCAGGGGTGGGGGACCAAACAGTTAATCTCACCCAGATCATCAAACTTCTGGTTTCATTTTGTTACAAATGATGATTGTCAGGTGTTAAAAACATATTTGCACTAAATTAAGACTCTTCCCATGCCTAGCTAGTAGATAGAAAGATAGCTGAATGAAAGATGTCTTTGTGTGATCCAGTGTTAATGTCTTTTCCATGTGCTTTTAAAATTGTCTAGCATTCAAGTCACGGTCTATAGTCTACAAATTTATGGAGAAACTGAGACTCAGGGCTGATAAATTACAAAGAGAATGAAGGGGAGGGAAGAGCTTGGACACTCACAACAGGCTTGCACACAGGGCACACTTGTTCCCATGCATTTTGCCATCCGGGCCACGGACAGGGTCATTCTCCCTGGTGCATATGAGCATTCCGTTTCTCACCTGGTTCCGAAACTCACTGCAGAGTTCCTGGAAAATGAAGAAAAAAACTCTCAGAGTGGTTTTCTACTCTCCCTACACTTCTATCTGTTATGAAGAAGAAATAATGCAGAGTTAAGAAAAAAAAAGTGATTACATGTAGCAGTAAATCAGTAAGCATTTAAAAGTCTTCTATCGTGGACTCAGAATTGTACTGACTATATAGTGGATCTGAAAATGTTTAACATCAGCATTCTCTTGAGGGTGCTTAGAATAGAGGTTCAGAGAAAGACTGATAAAATTGGTGGAGACCAAAATAAAATATATATGTTTATGATGTGTCATACATCACAGTCTATAAAAGCTAGCAAAGATCAAAGGGGAGGAAATTCAACAGGTCTAAAAGAGGAGCCTTCCTGAAAAAACAGAATATTACTAGGTCTTCATGAAAAAGAAGGAAATCCTTCCATTTACAACAATTTGGACAAAATTTGAGTGTATTATGCTAAGTAAAATAAGTCAGAGAAAAACAATTACTGTATAGTATCACTTATCTGTGGAATCCCCAAAAACCAAATTCACAGAAACTGAATTAGATGGTGTTTACTGTGTGTGTGTGTGAGAGAGAGAGAAAGTAATCAAAAGATACAATCTTGCAGTTATAAGTTCTAGTTCATGGTGATTATAGTTAACAATACTGTATTATATATGTAAAAGTTCCTAAGAGACTAAACGTTCTCCACACAAAAAACAAATGTAATTATGTGGCATGATGGAGTTGTTCACCAAGGCTTTGCTGGCAAGCATTTTCCAATTTATAAGGTACCAAATCAACAAGCTATACACCTTCAACTTACCCAATGTTGTAATTCAATTATATCTCAGTAAAGCTGGACATTTTTAAATGAATGTGCCCCCCCCCAAAAGAATATAATGAGTCTCCATTTGTCTTTAAAAGGCTGAGAAAGAAGATAAAAAACATTTTCAAGCTAAGAAATAATGACATATCTGAAATAAAGATCTGGGGAGAACAAATAGGAAAGTATGATGCCTGGAGAAACTGACTGACATCTTTCTGAAAGTTACTTGATAGATAGAGTCCAGGGTTGGAGGATGCATATTTGAAACAGGAGAATAACAGTGGAAGTGGAGAGAAGGAGGAATGTGTTAAGATTAATCAAAAAACTTAGAGGATTTTAGAAACTGATCAGACATTCTGGATAAAACAAATTTTCAATTCTGAATTACTAATATTAATAAAAAGATCATTGCAGGTAACAGAGCTATTGAGAAAGTCAGTATAAAGGAAAACTTTTAATTTCTGTTGACTCCCCTCCCCCCCAAAATTATTAGGCTTATAATTTTGCAAATCTTGTTAGGAAATAGAATAACGATAAACTTTCTATAAGACTATTTGAACTGTGATGGTGGAGAAGACTCTTGATAGTCCCTAGGACAACAAGGAGATAGATACAACCAGTCAATCCTATAGGAAATCAACCCTGAATATCCATTGAAAGGACTGATGCTGAGGATGAAACTACAATACTTTGACCATCTGATGCAAAGAACTGACTCATTTGAAAAGACCCTGGTGCTGGGAAAGATTGAAGGTAGGAGGAGAAGGGGACGACAGAGGATGAGATGGTTGGATGACATCACTGGCTCAATGGACATGAGCTTGAGTAAACTCTGGGAGTTTTTTATGGACAGGGAGGCCTGGCATGCTGCAGTCCATGAGGTCACAAAGAGATGGACACGACAGAGAGACTGAATGGAACTGAAATTATATATAGAGAGAGTTCCCTGTGCTATACAGTAGGTTCCTGTTCAGTTCAGTCGTCTTCCGTGTCCGACTCTTTGTGACCCCATGAATCGTAGCACGCCAGGTCATGGTGGAGAGGTCTGACAGAACATGGTCCACTGGAGAAGGGAATGGCAAACCACTTCAGTATTCTTGCCTTGAGAACCCCATGAACAGTATGAAAAAGCAAAAAGATAGGACACTGAAAGATGAACTCCCCAGGTCGGTAGGTGCCCAATATGTTACTGGAGATCAGTGGAGAAATAACTCCAGAAAGAATGATGGGATGGAGCCAAAGCAAAAACAACACCCAGCTGTGAATGGGACTGGTGATGGAAGTAGGGTTCAATGCTGTAAACAGCAATATTACATAGGAATCTGGAATGTTAGGTCCATGAATCAAGGCAAATTGGAAGTGGTCAAACAGGAGATGACAAGAGTGAACATTGACATTCTAGGAATCAGTGAACTAAGATGGACTGGAATTGGTGAATTTAACTCAGATGACCATTACATCTACTACTGTGGGCAGGAATCCCTTAGAAGAAATGGAGTAGCCATCACAGTCAACAAGAGTCTGAAATGGATACAATCTCAAAAACAACAGAATGATCTCTGTTTGTTTTCAAGGCAAACCATTCAATATCACGATAATCCAAGTCTATGCCCTGACCAGTAACGCTGAAGCTGAACAGTTCTATGAAGACTTACAAGACCTTCTAGAACTAACACCCCAAAAAAGATGTCCTTTTCATTACAGGGGACTGGAATGCAAAAGTAGGAAGTCAAGAAACACCTGGAGTAACAGGCAAATTTGGCCTTGGAGTACAGAATGAAGCAGGGCAAAGGCTAATAGAGTTCTGCCAAGGGAACGCACTGGTCATAGCAAACACCCTCTTCCAACAACACCAGAAGACTCTACACATGGACATCACCAGATGGTCGACACTGAAATCATATTGATTATATTCTTTGCACCAAAGATGGAGAAGCTCTATACAGTCAGCAAAAACAAGACCAGGAGCGGACTGTGGCTCGGATCATAAACTCCTTATTGCCAAATTCAGACTTAAATTGAAGAAAGTAGGGAAAACCACTGGACCATTCAGGTATGACCTAAATCAAATCCCTTATGACTATACAGTGGAAGTGAGAAATAGATTAAAGGGACTAGATCTGATAGACAGAGTGCCTGATGAACTATGAATGGAGGTTCATGACATTGTACAGGAGATAGAAATCAAGACTATCCCCAAGAAAAAAGAATGCAAAAAAAGCAAAATGGCTGTCTGTGGAGGCCTTACAAATAGCTGTGAAATGAAGGGAAGTGAAAAGCAAAGGAGAAAAGGAAAGATATTCCCATTTGAATGCAGAGTTCCAAAGAATAGCAAGGAGAGATAAATAAGACTTCCTCAGCAAAGGAGAAAAGGTTCCTGTTAGTTATCTATTTTATTTATAAAAGAAAAGAAAGTAAAAAAAAAAAAAAAAAGAAAAGAAAGTGAAGTCGCTCAGTCATGTCCGACTCCTTGAAACCCCATGGATTATAGCCCTCCAGGCTCCTCTATCCATGGAATTTTCTAGGCAAGAGTATTGGAGTGGGTTGCCATTTCCTTCTCCAGGGGATCTTCCTGACTCAAGGATTGAACCCGGGTCTCCCACACTGCAGGTAGATGCTTTACCATCTGAGCCACCAGGGAATCCCAGTTTTTATATATAGTAATGTGTATATGTCACGCCCAATCTCTCAGTTTACCAGCCCCCACCCCCAACTTTGCCTCTTGGTAACTTTAAATTTGTTTTCTACATCTGTGACTCTATTTCTGGTTTTTAAATTGGTTTCTTTGTACCAGTTTTTTAGATTCCACATATAGGCAATATCATATGGTATTTGTCTTTCTGTGTCCCATAAAAATTAAACAGGGGAGCATTTATTATGAGATACCTAGAGTGTTATTGTAGAGAAATCGTGTCAGGGTATAAGATAAGAATTTGTGAGAAAATTACCTTTGTATCTTCTCTTTTAGCCTTTGCTCTTGCTCTGTCTTCTTGCCGACTGTAAGAAACAGGAAAAAAGAGAAAAGAAATGAATCAATATGGTAGATTCTTAACACTCACAGGTTGATCATTCATTGCTTTCATTATTCTCAAGCAACTCCAATGATCCAGTTATAGTAGGTGTCATTTTATTGGGTAATAATTAGAATGATTTAATCTCAAGAGAATGGTATTCAAGAAATAATCACTTAATTAACAAGGAAACCTATTTAGCTTCTCAGCAAATAACTTGCAATAGGACTTTCTTACTTGCTGATTCTTTTGCATTTGCAAAAGGTGCAAAACTCTTCATGCAAGTCAAGGTGTTAGTGGCTCAATCATGTCCAACTCTTTGCTACTCAATGAACTGTAGCCCACTGGGCATCTCTGTCCATGGAATTCTTCAGGCAGTAATGCTGGAGTGGGTTGCCATTCTCTTCTCCAGGTGGTTTTCCAGACCCAGGGATTGAACTTGGGTCTTCTGCATTGCAGGCAGATTCTTTACTGTCTGAGCAACCAGGGAAGTCCCCCTCCAAAAAAAACTCTTTATAAAGTGGTAATATTTAGCTTCTGGGAGGAGTATAGCATGGTGATTAAGAAGAAAGACTCTGCAGCAAAATTGAACAAGAAACACAGAAAGTGTCAACCTGGCTGTGTCTCTGTCATCTTTAAGTGCAGGAGATAGAGTGGAAGGATAGAAGTAATAAGACTACTTCTCTCATAGGACTGTTGTGAGCATTACATGAGTTGATACATGCAAAGCAATCAGAATAAGTATCTGGTACATACTAAAGGGATTGATAAAAGTGATCAGTATAATCAGCATTGTCAGCATAATTGAAAATTAACTCTCAAAGAACAGGCATATGTTTAAATGAGAGTAACAGCTCTTGGGGGAGGAGCCAAGATGGCGGAGGAATAAGACGGGGAGACCACTTTCTCCCCTACAAATTCATCGAAAGAACATTTGAATGCTGAGCAAATTTCACAAAACAACTTCTGATCGCTAGCAGAGGACATCAGGCACCCAGAAAAGCAGCCCATTGTCTTCAAAGGGAGGTAGGACAAAATATAAAAGATAAAAAGGGAGACAAAAGAGCTACGGGCGGAGACCCGTCCTGGGAAGGGAGTCTTAATAGAGGAAGTTTCCAATCACCAGGAAACCCTTGCACCGGCGGGACTGGGGGAAGTTTTCGGCAATCTAACTGGGAGGAAAAATTAAATAAGGCCCACAGATTACATGCCTAAAAGCAACTCCCAGCAGAAAAGTACCCCAGACGCCCACACAAGCCAGCAACAAGCGGGGGCGGAATGGAGAGGAGCGGGCAGCACTGCTTAGGGTAAGGACCGGCCCAAAGACCCTGAGAGCAATCGGAGGGAGCTTTTTTAACTGTGGGATAGCAAGGGACAAAATTAACCTGCCAGAACACACTGCCGGCGGTTCGCAAAACAAAGGGACTGAGAAAGGCCAGAGAAGAGCCGGCCCATCCCCGCTGGAGGTTGGAGGCAGGGGGGAGGGGAAAAGGGCAAACTCAGCCCCTGAGAAGCCACCCCCTCCCACACTGCAAACAGGCCCCCGGTTCCTATCTAAAGACTTCCTGAGACCCGACTGGCGGCGCGCGCTGGGGCCGCGGAGGGAAAAAGCGCGCCGTACCCGGGGAGAGGGCGCCCAAGCCAATGGCTGCCTGAGCTGCCCGCCGCGGAGGGAAAAGGCGCGCCACATCCGGGGAGAGTGCGCCCAAGCCTCTGGCTGCCTGAACCGCTCAGGCCGGGGAAGGCACAAAACGCAGGCGCAACTGAATCCGCGCTTTTGTGGAGTACCCGAAAACTGGAACCGCACTCAACGCAGGGCCCGCTCCATATAGAGCCGCCGGGAGCCTGAGCAGTGTAGACCGGGAAAGCACTGACACCCGTGAGCGGGGCAAACCCAGTGTGGCCGGAACACGGTGAGTGCTATCCACACAGAGCGGTATCTGTCTGCAGCGCCCCGCCCTCCCCGTAGCAGGACTGAACTGAACTAGAGAACCTAAATAAGAGATCACCTCCGCCCGCCTGTGTCAGGGCGGAAATTAGACACCGAAGAGACGGCAAACAGAAGCCAAATAAACAAAGGGAACCGCTTCAGAAAGGACTGGTGCAACAGATTAAAATCCCTGAAGGTAACACCGACTACACCAGAAGGGGCCTATAGATATCGAGAAGTGTAAGCTGGAAAGAGGAGCTATCTGAAATTGAACTGAACCTACACTGACCGCAACAACTCCAGAGAAATTCCTAGATATAGATGTATATATATTTTTTAATTAAAAAAAAATTTTTTTTCTTTCCTTTTTTTTTATTTTTTATTTTTTCTCTTTTATTTTCTTTTAAAATTCCCTATTACTCCCCCATTACTCCTCAACTTTCATTTTCATATATTTTTACAATTTTTTTATTAGGGAAAAAAATATTTTTTTTTCTTTTTCTTGTTTTTCTCTCCTATTTCCTTTTAAAGTCCTCTAATACTCCTCTATTATTCCTTAATTTTCATTTTCATTTCACTATAACCTTACCAAAAAAACAAAAAGAGAGAGAGAGAGAGAAACCCTATTTTTAAACAGAACTTCATATACATTTCTAAATTTTTTTTGTGTTTTTGTTTTTAAATATTGTATTTCAAAGAGTCTAACCTCTACACTAGATTTTTAATCTTTGTTTTTCAGTATGTGATATAAATTTTGGACATTTAAGAATCCAATATTCAGTTCCCATTTCTATTCAGCAGTGTGGTGATTACTCTCCCACTTTTGACTCTCTGTTTTCTACCTCAGAACACCTCTATTTCCTCCTTTCCCCTTCTCTTCCCAATCCAATTCTGTGAATCTTTGTGGGTGTCTGGGCTACGGAGAACACTTTGGGAACAGATAACTGCGTAGATCTGTCTCTCTCCTCTTGAGTCCCCTTTTTCTCCTCCTGCTCACCTCTATCTCCTTCCTCCCTCTCCTCCTCTTCATGAACCTCTCTTGGTGTCCCTCACAGTGGAGAATCTTTTCACCATTAACCTAGAAGTTTTATTATCAGTGCTGTATAGTTGGAGAAGTCTTGAGACTATTGGAAGAATAAAACTGAAATCCAGAGGCAGGAGACTTAAGCCCAAAACCTGAGAAAACCAGAAAACTCCTGACTACACGGAACATTAAGGAATAAGAGACCATCCAAAAGCCTCCATACCTACACCAAAACCAACCACCACCCAAGAGCCAATAAGCTCCAGTACAAGACATACCACGCAAATTCTTTAGCAATGCAGGAACATAGACCTGAGTGTCAACATACAGGCTGTCCAAAGTCACACCTAACACAGACCCATTGCAAAACTCATTACTGGACACTCCATTGCACTCCAGAGAGAAGAAATCCAATTCCACGCACCAGAACGCTGACACAAGCTTCCCTAACCAGGAAACCTTGACAAACCAATCGTCCAACCCCACCCACTGGGTGAAACCTCCACAATAAAAAGGAACCACAGACCACAAGAATACAGAAAGCCCACTCCTGACACAGCAATCTAAACAAGATGAAAAGGCAGAGAAATACCCAACAGGTAAAGGAACATGAAAAAAGCCCACCAAGTCAAACAAAAGAGGAGGAAATAGGGAATCTACCTGAAAAAGAATTTAGAATAATGATAATAAAAATGATCCAAAATCTCGAAAACAAAATGGAGTTACACATAAATAGCCTGGAGACAAAGATTGACAAGATGCAAGAAATGTTTAACAAGGACCTAGAAGATACAAAAAAAGGTCAATTAAAAATTAATAATGAAATAAATGAGATAAAAAACACTCTGGAGGGAACCATGAGTAGAATAACAGAGACAGAAGATAGGATAAGTGAGTTAGAAGATAAAATGGTGGAAATAAATGAAGCAGAGAGGAAAAAAGAAAAAAGAATCAAAAGAAATGAGGACAACCTCAGGGACCTCTGGGACAATGTGAAATGCCCCAACATTCGAATCATAGGAGTCCCAGAAGAAGAAGACAAAAAGAAAGGCCATGAGAAGTTACTCGAGGAGATAATAGCTGAAAACTTCCCTAAAATGGGGAAGGAAATAGCCACCCAAGTCCAAGAAACCCAGAGAGTCCCAAACAGGATAAACCCAAGGCGAAACACCCCAAGACACATATTAATCAAATTAACAAAGATCAAACACAAAGAACAAATATTAAAAGCAGCAAGGGAGAAACAACAAATAACACACAAAGGGATTCCCATAAGGATAACAGCTGATCTATCAATAGAAACCCTTCAGGCCAGAAGGGAATGGCAGGACATACTTAAAGTAATGAAAGAGAATAACCTACAACCTAGATTACTCTACCCAGCAAGGATCTCATTCAGATATGAAGGAGAACTCGAAAACTTTACAGACAAGCGAAAGCTGAGAGAATTCAGCACCACCAAACCAGCTCTTCAACAAATACTAAAGGATCTTCTCTAGACAGGAAACACAGAAAGGTGGTATAAACATGAACCCCAAACAACAAAATAAATGGCAACGGGACCATACCTATCAATAATTACCTTAAATGTAAATGGGTTGAATGCCCCAACCAAAAGACAAAGGCTGGCTGAATGGATACAAAAGCAAGACCCCTATATATGCTGTCTACAAGAGACCCATCTCAAAACAAGGGACACATACAGACTAAAAGTGAAGGGCTGGAAAAAAATATTCCACGCAAATGGAGACCAAAAGAAAGCAGGAGTCGCAATACTCATATCAGATAAAATAGACTTTCAAATAAAGGCTGTGAAAAGAGACAAAGATGGACACTACATAATAATCAAAGGATCAATCCAAGAAGAAGATATAACAATTATAAATACATATGCACCCAACATAGGAGCACTGCAATATGTAAGGTAAATGCTAATAAGTATGAAAGAGGAAATTAATAGTAACACAATAATAGTAGGAGACTTGAATACCCCACTCACAACTATGGATAGATCAACTAAACAGAAAATGAACAAGGAAACACAAACTTTAAAGGACACAATGGACCAGCTAGACCTAATTGACATCTATAGGACGTTTCACCCCAAAACAATAAACTTCACCTTTTTCTCAAGTGCACATGGAACCTTCTCCAGAATAGATCACATCCTGGGCCATAAATCTAGTCTTGGTAAATTCAAAAAAATTGAAATCATTCCAGTCATCTTTTCTGACCACAGTGCAGTAAGATTAGATCTCAATTACAGGAAAAAAATTATTAAAAATTCAAACATATGGAGGCTAAACAACATGCTTCTGAATAACCAACAAATCATAAAAGAAATCAAAAAAGAAATCAAAATATGCATAGAAATGAATGACAATGAAAACACAACAACCCAAAACCTATGGGACACTGTAAAAGCAGTGCTAAGGGGAAGGTTCATAGCATTACAGGCTTACCTCAAGAAACAAGAAAAAAGTCACATAAATAACCTAACTCTACACCTAAAGCACCTAGAGAAGGAAGAAATGAAGAACCCCAGGGTTAGTAGAAGGAAAGAAATCTTAAAAATTAGGGCAGAAATAAATGCAAAAGAAACTAAAGAGACCATAGCAAAAATCAACAAAGCTAAAAGCTGGTATTTTGAAAAAGTAAACAAAATTGACAAACCATTAGCAAGACTCACTAAGAAACAAAGGGAGAAGAACCAAATTAACAAAATTAGAAACGAAAATGGAGAGATCACAACAGACAACACCGAAATACAAAGGATCATAAGAGACTACTACCAGCAGCTCTATGCCAATAAAATGGACAACTTGGAAGAAATGGACAAGTTCTTAGAGAAGTATAACTTTCCAAAACTGAACCAAGAAGAAATAGAAGATCTTAACAAACCCATCACAAGCAAGGAAATTGAAACTGTAATCAGAAATCTTCCAGCATACAAAAGCCCAGGACCAGATGGCTTCACAGCTGAATTCTACCAAAAATTTAGAGAAGAGCTAACACCTATCTTACTCAAACTCTTCCAGAAAATTGCAGAAGAAGGTAAACTTCCAAACTCATTCTATGAGGCCACCATCACCCTAATTCCAAAACCAGACAAAGATGCCACAAATAAAGAAAACTACAGGCCAATATCACTGATGAACATAGATGCAAAAATCCTTAACAAAATTCTAGCAAACAGAATCCAACAACATATTAAAAAAATCATACACCATGACCAAGTGGGCTTTATCCCAGGAATGCAAGGATTCTTTAATATTCGCAAATAAATCAATGTAATACACCACATTAACAAATTGAAAGATAAAAACCATATGATTATCTCAATAGATGTAGAAAAAGCCTTTGACAAAATTCAACATCCATTTATGATTTAAACTCTCCAGAAAGCAGGAATAGAAGGAACATACCTCAACATAATAAAAGCTATATATGACAAACCCACAGCAAGCATCACCCTCAATGGTGAAAAATTGAAAGCATTTCCCCTGAAATCAGGAACAAGACAAGGGTGCCCACTCTCACCACTCCTATTCAACATAGTTTTGGAAGTGTTGGCCACAGCAATCAGGGCAGAAAAAGAAGTAAAAGGAATCCAGATAGGGAAAGAAGTGACACTCTCTCTGTTTGCAGATGACATGATCCTCTACATAGAAAACCCTAAAGACTCTACCAGAAAATTACTAGAGCTAATCAACGAATACAGTAAAGTTGCAGGATATAAAATTAACACACAGAGATCTCTTGCATTCCTATACACTAACAATGAGAAAACAGAAAGAGAAATTAAGGAAATGATACCATTCACCATTGCAACAAAAAGAATAAAATACTTAGGAGTATATCTGCCTAAAGAAACAAAAGACCTATACATAAAAACCTATAAAACACTGATGAAAGAAATCAAAGAGGACACAAACAGATGGAGAAATATACCATGTTCATGGATTGGAAGAATCAATACTGTGAAAATGAGTATACTACCCAAAGCAATCTATAGATTCAGTGCAATCCCTATCAAACTACCAACGGTATTTTTCACAGAACTAGAACAAATAATTCCACAATTTGTATGGAAATACAAAAAACCTCGAATAGCCAAAGTAACCTTGAGAAAGAAGAATGGAACTGGAGGAATCAACCTGCCTGACTTCAGACTATACTACAAAGCCACAGTCATCAAGACAGTATGGTACTGGCACAAAGACAGAAATATAGATCAATGGAACAGAATAGAAAGCCCAGAGATAAATCCACAAACCTATGGTCACCTTATCTTCGACAAAGGAGGCAAGGATATACAATGGAAAAAAGACAACCTCTTTAACAAGTGGTGCTGGGAAAACTGGTCAACCACTTGTAAAAGAATGAAACTAGAACACTTTCTAACACCATACACAAAAATAAACTCAAAATGGATTAAAGATCTAAATGTAAGACCAGAAACTATAAAACTCCTAGAGGAGAACATAGGCAAAACACTCCCTGACATAAATCACAGCAGGATCCTCTATGACCCACATCCCAGAATTTTAGAAACAAAAGCACAAATAAACAAATGGGACCTAATGAAACTTAAAAGCTTTTGCACAACAAAGGAAACTATAAGCAAGGTAAAAATACAGCCCTCAGATTGGGAGAAAATAATAGCAAATGAAGCAACAGACAATGGATTGATCTCAAAAATATACAAGCAACTCCTCCAGCTCAACTCCAGAAAAATAAATGACCCAATCAAAAACTGGGCCAAAGAACTAAACAGACATTTCTCCAAGGAAGACATGTGGATGGCAAAAAAAACACATGAAAAGATGCTCAATATCACTCATATCAGAGAAATGCAAATCAAAACCACAATGAGGTACCATTACACGCCAGTCAGGATGGCTGCTATCCAAAAGTCTACAAGCAATAAATGCTGGAGAGGGTGTGGAGAAAAGGGAACTCTCTTACACTGTTGGTGGGAATGCAAACTAGTACAGCCACTATGGAAAACAGTGTGGAGATTTCTTAAAAAGCTGGAAATAGAACTGCCATATGACCCAGCAATCCCACTTCTGGGCATACACACCGAGGAAACCAGATCTGAAAGAGACATGTGCACCCCAGTGTTCATCACAGCACTGTTTATAATAGCCAGGACATGGAAGCAGCCTAGATGCCCATCAGCAGACGAATGGATGAGGAAGCTGTGGTACATATACACCATGGAATATTACTCAGCCATTAAAAAGAATTCATTTGAATCAGTCCTAATGAGATGGATGAAACTGGAGCCCATTATACAGAGCGAAGTAAACCAGAAAGATAAAGACCATTACAGTATACTAACACATATATATGGAATTTAGAAAGATGGTAACGATAACCCTATATGCAAAACAGAAAGAGAGACTCAGATGTATAGAACAGACTTGTGGACTCTGTGGGAGAAGGCGAGGGTGGGATGTTTCAAGAGAACAGCATCGAAACATGTATATTATCTAGGGTGAAACAGATCACCAGCCCAGGTTGGGTGCATGAGACAAGTGCTCGGGCCTGGTGCACTGGGAAGACCCAGAGGGATCGGGTGGAGAGGGAGGTGGGAGGGGGGACCGGGATGGGGAATACATGTAAATCCATGGCTAATTCATTTCAATGTATGACAAAAACCACTGCAATGTTGTAAAGTAATTAGCCTCCAACTAATAAAAATAAATGGAAAAAAAAAAAGAGAGTAACAGCTCTTAACCATTTTGGAAAAGTAACAGTGTTGCAAATTGAGTTTAATATGCTCAGTCTAGAGCAAAATTTGATCTATAATGCAAATAATTTAATCATGTTATAGAGAAATAATTTTTATTTGTTACAATAAGCATAAATTCTCATTAATCAAATTAAAACTTAAAAAGTTGAGAACTCTATTTGTATATGCTATTAAAGTGTGCAAGAAAGGACTATGGAGGAAAGTATGATTCTTAAGAAAGGCAATAGCCTTTGCTAACATATCCTTAAAATATGAGATAATAAAACTTTAATTGAATAAAGAATTTTACATTGATGGAGCTAACTGAAATAGCTCCAAAATTGTGGGGTTTCTTATACTTCGTTATTTGAAAACTGATCCAAACTTTATTATGAGTCTAAGTTGTCTGTAAGATTTAACATATTTTCCTTTCATAATGAAAAGTTAGAGGAAACAGCAGAGATGACCACTAGGTGGCAGTCTTACTTATCTCTGAAAGATTAATATCAAGAAAAATAGACTGAAATAAGCCTAAATACATGTAAATGTTACTACCAAAAGTTGATAATGGCTTTGCTAAATAATTATACCCTGTATACACCCTACAATGAGAAATTTTATCATTGTCTTCATTTTCCCTGTGCCAAAATTTATATCATCCTTATCTTTTCTGGGCCTTAATTTTTTTTCATCTATAACTTGTGATAAAACCAAACCTATTACATACAGTTGTTGTGAAGATTAAATGATATTGGACAGCAAAGCCCTTAACAAGTATATGCCGATTATATGCTTTTGGAAGCCAACAATAAATGTTGGTTGTGATAATTATATGGTCATTGTCATGATTTCCATGTAACAGATTTTTTTAATGCTCCCATGGCTTGCTCACACTATGGGCAAATCTCCTGGGTTATATTGCTCTCAGCTAGGAAAAATGGAATGACTGAGTCCCTTCAGAGATTCTAGGCATATAGAAAACAGACTATCCCTTGGGACAAAGAGCAAAAGACTTAAGGAATATCATTGACTTCAGTTTAAGAGGACATACCACGTTGTCTATTGAGAATAGAGTCATACTGTAGTCCCCTATAAATGGGGTATTGAACTCCTGCACAATAAAATCATCATTCCTGAAGCAGTCTTTCTCTAACTATTGCAGAGTTCATCTTCATGTTGTATCCAAATCTGTCTCCCTGTATCTCTCATCAGTTTTAATCCTGTTGCTTGAGGTCACACGGAATGAGTAGAAAGAAAAATAGTGAGCCAAAACAAAAAATTCCTAAAATCTGCTATATACCATAATGATATCAATATACATAATCTCATGTATTTCCTCTTTCATTAATAATCCTTCAGAAAACTAAAAGCATTTAGTGTGGTTTTCACAGAGTCATCTCTTCTCTGAAAAAAAAGATCTATCTGAAATGTCCTGAAATGATTCTGCATTCTTTGTGTTACAGAAGTTATCATCTGAAAATTCTCCATTTGGTTTTTAATTTTGGATTTTTTTTGTTTCAGTTTTTCAGTTCATTTAAATGTGACACAGCAAAGAAAGCTAGCTATGCCTAAGAGGAAAATGTGTTATTCATAATTATTTGAAAACTTTGCTTAGCAGTCCCCTGTCCCCACTGCCCAGAAGCCCTGGGCTCTACTCACAAGAAGGCCTCGCACATGGAACAGGTGTTGCCATGCATCTTCCCATCTGGGCCCTGGATGGGGTTGTTCTCTCGAGTACAGAGAAGCTGTCCATTCTTCCTGGATTTGCGGTATTCGCTGCACAGCTCCTGTGAAATCAAAGAGAGAAGTTTGAACTGTTGAACACAAGTTGGGTCAGATTGCAAAAAATCCTGAAGTTTAGACTTTTTTTCTCAAATTGGGTTCAGCAGTTGGTAAATTTTAGAATAACTTTGAGGACATAAGCAATTTTAAATGATGGAAGTTATAGACCCTCAACCTAGAAACAGTAATCTATGCACATGTGTGCATGCACACATATAAACAAATACACAAACACAAACTGTATTTGTGTTTCATACTGTTTTAGAGAATTTATGGGTGCCCTGATTGCCACCTATGGATTCCAGGTCCATATGCCTCTGACTTGATGCAGAAAGTCCTCTTACCTCAAAGGAAGGTGTAGTCTCAGTTTGTCGTTTATTTCTTGCTTCAGCTTCCTTCTTTTTCTTTTCTTTTTCTTCTGCTTGACTAAAAGAGAGTCATTTAAAGAGAAATGAGTAAGAATTCTAGAATATCCAGATTGAAGTGATCTAAAGTACTCAAAATATTTGATTATTACAGTTGATATATATTATGAACTATGTATGAACTGTTGGGCATATTGGTGTGTTTGCTAGTGATCTGTCACATAATTTCAGATGATTTCATATCCCACTCCACAAGGGTGTGATCCTTGTTTCAGATCATTTACACTCCCATGGGAACTCAACCAGAGAGTGATATGCAGGCATCATTCTTGGATTATTACAACATTGTGCTAAAATGAGTCACACACACACACACACACACACACACACACACAAATGCCATTGACAAGAAACAGACACAATTTAAGAAACAGAATAAAGCTCCGAGAGAGAGAGATGAAGCAGGAAGGACCAAACTGCTCCCCCAGCAGCAGCTCTACTCACAAGAAGGCCTCACACATGGAGCAGGTGTTGCCATGCATCTTTCCATCTGGGCCCTGGACAGGATCGTTCTCTCTGGTGCACGGGAGTTTCCCATTTCTCACAAACTGGCGGTATTCACTGCACACCTCCTGCCAAAATAGAGAAGGTAATCTAGAAATACATTTCATCCCCATTCAAAGCAGAAGTTCAAAGCATCTCCATTGGTAGAAACTAATCTTTTGAGTCCAGGACATTAGTTGTGTTTCTCTCAAATATAAAATACAATTCAAGGAGCAAAACTCATGATTTGCTAAGAGATGGAAACAAACAAGACATCAGAGGATGCATAATAAAAGAGGGAGGCAAGTAAACTCTACTACACATAAGAGAAAATAAGTGCAAACATACAGGTCCAAGAAAATCTGAGAACTCAAATGCTGGGACCATGAAATCTGATTGTGGAAATCAGGGAAGATGTTTTCTGGGAATTAGAATAATTTGAGTGAGACTTTGAAGAGTAAGTAGGATTTTCCTGGTTAAGAAATAAATTGAGAAACACACATTTTAGATTGCTAAAATAAGTTGAAGAGCACATGTTGGAAACTATATGGCATATATAGCAGCACGTGAATTTCTGAACTACAGTAAGGAGCCAGATAAGAGAGCTAAGGAGATTAAAATGCATTCTTTAGTTGATAAAGAGTTATTTGTGCATTTTAAGAAGAGAAGTAGTATGATCTGGTTCATATTCTGAAACTTTAGTCCAACTGTGTTAGGGAGAATGGCTGGATAAGAAAAAAAATTAGAAAGGGAGGATTAGACTTTTATCATTTCAACAAGCTACAATAACTTACATAGGGCCATGAAAATGAATATTGTTGCATTTCAAAGGTAAAAACCATGTTTTTTCCAGTTGTGTAAGGTATTTTTATCCAAACTCAGATGTGAAATTTCAAAAATTCACCTGTAGAAAATACACACCAAGTGTCTTTGAAAACTGAGTAGCAAAAGCTAGCCCAGTCTGCATATATGATGAAAGTAGCACTCTTTTGTTTTATTCCAGACTGCAAATAAGTCCTTTTCTTTGTACAGAGTTATTCTCTGAAGCAGCAAGAATTGATCAGTGTCCCATAGCATGCATCTCAATGTCATCTCCAGATTGAAGGGCTAAGATTTTCTGGGGATTTTTGCAGGGTAGTATGCCAGCATTTAGGCTCTCTGAAGTGTGTTCAAATTACAGTCTACTCACTGCATATGAGGGTGCTTTTCCAGATTCTCTTTTACTTCTTGCTCTTGCTTCAGCCTTTTTCTTTTCTTCTGCTTCTGCTTGGCTGAATGAGAGGGCAAAAAAAGGACAGATCCATAGAACCAAACCCAGGCAATGGTTTCTCCATGTTCCTGCACCGCTAATCTGTCCTCTTTCCTTAGGAATGAGAAACTTGCCCCCTTTATCACTACATATTAATGAGAAAAAGCACAACAGCCTCCATTATGGTAAAGTATCATATCTTCTTCATAGTTTCTGCTTAACATTGAAATAAAGATAGCAATACTTGTGGATCTGGGAGACTTGCTTTCTGAAAGTTACCTTTCTTGACCATGCTCAGAAAAGGAACATCATCAGCATTCATCAAGGAGATACCAAAACTAGTAGCTTGGTGACATTATACCTGGGGGCTAAAAGTGGGCTTAACAAATAACACTGGTCCCCTTGTTTCACAGATACAAGGTGAAGTAGTGAGGGCTTTGCTTATAATCTCAGGATATGACCACAACTAACCAAGAGCTTTCATTTCAAGTCTATGTTCAATCTACCACTTCGTGTATACCCCAGCTTTTATTAATTCACTTTATATGTACTGCCTACTCATGACTGTGTTCTCTATAAGGAAATGTAGGATGGATAGAAAAAGATTAATAATTGCCGTACCTTGATAAGCCAAATGAGCCTCAGTTTGTTTTGTATAGTGGAATTGTATGATATGTACAGTTAACTGATGTTATTTCAACCATACATGGTTGTCAGTCAAAACAAAAGGCCAAACTAAATGTAGTGAACTACTTAATCTGAACTCAATCAAATAAACTGAGCCCAATCCCAGACTTTGAAACCAAATTCAATTATAACCTACTGAGAAATGTCACATTATAAAAAGCAACATGTACTGTTATTTTATGAGTTCATGGATGTTTCATGGACAACTTCAATAATCAATTTCTGCAGTTTAAGTGTTAATTTGGGTAAGACTAAATGCCTATAAACTTCGACAGCAGGTTCACAATATGAAGCTTCAGCAGTAGGAGAATTTGATATTTGTGTAAATCAGGATGTTCCACTGCCAAGGAATAGACATTGGGGGAAACAGACATCTTGGCATAAATAGCTCTAGATACTTACTCCTGCCTCTATTATTAACATTCTCTGTGAAACTTCTTCAGCTCCCTCCCCAGAACAGGCTAGTTCTATTAAATTACTATAGCATCCTTTCACTCCTCAACATTCTAAAAGTCTGTACTCACTAGAAGGCTTGGCACATGGAACACAGGTTGCCGTGCATTTTCCCATCTGGCCCACGAATAGGGTCGTTTTCTCTGGTACAAAAGAGTACTCCATTCTGGGCACGATCCCGATACTCACTGCACAGTTTCTGAATAATGAAGACCAGACAGTTTAGAGATGGTTCTTCATTTATAAATGTATGATATTCCTTATCAAAGATGTTGGCAAAGAGGGTTTAGGGATAAAAAATAAAACTTTTAGGATTTAGAATTTTCCAAAAATTTTGTGATATTTCTCCTTAAAAGATTCATTCACTTAATTATTCAACAAACGTATTAAGTTAGAGGGATTAAATATGAATGTGATTTGGCCCTTTCATGATGAATGAAGAGGATAAGGGATTACAATATAAAAAGCTAAGGGATATGACACATGTCTAAATTAAGTGTGCACCAGCATAAAGAAAAGAATGATTCAAGGAAGTTCCTAGAAGAATTTATACATGAGTTGTATCTTTAGAATGTGCCTAGGAAAACAATGTGGCAAAAAATGTACTACAGGAGGAATTATGATATGCAAAGACAGAGGTGTAAAAGAACAGGTTGTTTTGAGATAATCTATCACAGCCATGAGTACAGTGGCCCAAGAATTATCAGGACACAAAGAGGAAAGTTTGGGAACTGGTCAAAAGGAGAATTTGAAGATAAGTCAGAATCAGACCACTAAACTTTGAAAAGACTTCTGCACTTTATTCATAGGAAACAGGAAAACAATATTTATAGCAGAGAAAAATCTAATCAGATTTTTGTTTTAAAAAGATTATCCAGTCAGATGTGTGGAGGGTTTAAGTGACTAAAGACTGAAGTTAGGGAAACTATAGAAGACGAGGGAGGGAGGGAGGGAGAGGGAAGGAAGGAAAGGAGGAAGAGAGGAAGGGAGAAGAAGGAAGAAATTGAAAATGAAACATAAAAGAATAGCTGGGGGGCATTTCATAGCTAAAATTAAAAGGACTTTTAACATAGAATTGAAGGGAGAAAGTCATTGAAACTGAGACCTTAACAATAAGAGTTACATGAAGACAGAAGGTGGACTAAGGGAGTGAGCTATTTTAAATAGAGTTTCTTCATGGAGTGAAATGGTCCTACTTTAAACATTAGATTTCCATAATACCATTGGTTCGCGTTTCCTACTCTGAAAACAACATGGAAGATGAATCTTGAGGATTGAGGAGGATGCTGGCTAGAAGTATAGAGACCAGGCAGGATACCTATGCATCATTGCAAAGGAAAGCTGGTAGGTTTCTGAGCTAAGATGGTGAGTGAGTGAATGAAAATCGCTCGGTCCTGTCCAACTCTTTGCAACCCCGTTGGCTATATACAGTCCATGGAATTCTCTAGGCCAGAATCCCAGAGCAGGTAGCCATTCCATTCTAGAGTAAAGGACATACACACACACCCCCTATAAAAGTCATAACTAAGTTGATCAAACTAATCCTTACCTCAGTATCTCTTTTAACTTTTTCATCAGGCTTTTCATCTGCTTTTTCTTCTGAAAATTGCTGTTTGCTGGAGACAGAAATGAAAATAAGGGAATGAATATAGATGTTTTGAATCTTCAAGCAGCAAAACAGTCATTTAGATGCAGGTAGAAACAAACAACTAGGTGTTCCTGAGTTTTAGAACAAACATTTTCAAATCACCCTACAGCCCTTGATTAAATTGAAATCTTTACTATTTTCCCAAAGAACCCCTTTCATTTTGCCTTCAAGTTTGCTGTTTGCCATTTCTTCCCATTGTAGCTATCTTTTTTTTGTCATCTTCTCTCTTAAATCTCCCCCAGCTTAAATTCTACCTTCTTTAAGAAGACATCCCATACCTCAGAGTGGAAATGAGTTATACATCTTTTACTGTGTTTCATATTGGATATTCTTCTCTTATAGGATAGTCTTCATTCTCTCTGGCAGAGAGTGTGTGTGCATGTGCATGTGCATATGCATCCATGCTTTGCTGTTAGCCTTAAGCTTCTTGAGAGCAGGGATCTTTGTCCATACATTCATCCATTATTTATTCAACCTTTGGTTAGTAATTATTTTTTGGCAAGCATTAGATAGCACCCTGGGCATATAGGATAGTAGTTTGTGATATGAGCACATACTCTATCTTCTTAGAATTTACAGACCAGTAGAGCAGAGTCAATAGATAGTACTAGAAATAATTATACAAGTATAAACTATTATGATTGTTATGAAATTATTAAATGTTATAAAGATTGAATTTAATTAGTGATTTTAAGAGATCTTATCCGAGGAAGTATAATTTTGATATGCAATACACAGAAGAGACATTAGCTGACCAACAGGAGAACTAGCAGTCCAGAGGAAAGAGCTTATAGAGTTCAAGGATCTGCAAGAAAGTGTGATGAGGACTTTCCTGAGCCATCTTTATATATGTCCTAATTTATGTGTTGTGGGATTTGCTCTTTTCCCAGAGTCAGATGTCCGAGATGAAAAGATAGAGTTAATCTAGTTCACATATGAACATGAATTTCTTGTGGACATCCCATCTATTCTGCCACAGTGGGGTAATGTATGTATGTGTGCGCTCAGTTGCTTAGTTGTGTCCAACTCTTTTTGACCCTAAGGACTGTATAGTCCTCCAGGCTCCTCTGTCCATGGAATTTCCCAGGCAAGATTACTGGAGCAGATTGCCATTTCCTACTGCATGGGATCTTCCTGACCCAGGGAACAAATCCACATCTCTTGTGTCTCCTGCATTGGAAGGCAGATTCTTTACCATTGCACCACCTGAGAAGCCCTAATGTGGTAATTACTGAAGGAAAATAATCAGTCCTGGGGCCTACTTTTCACTCTCCATCTGTACATGGGGTTGCAAAGAGTGGGACAGACTGAGCACACACACACTCTGACTAGCTCACAAGAAGGCTTACAAAGGTTATGGGAAGAAATGTTAAAAGTATTTTGTGATCCAGTCATCTTACTGGAAACTAGAATCCACTTGTATTAAAAAAGAAATATTAGAGCTTGCTTGTTAGGTGGCATTATGATTTGTAGAGGACATAACATTGGTCAGAAATTCTCAACAGCAAATCTTCCCATAAACACTGTTCTTATCCATCATTTTAGTCAATCTTCACTTCACCTCTTGATTCACTCCAAAGAAACCACATCTATACTTACAAAATTTCAGCACACAGGGCACATTTGTTGCCATGTATCCTGCCATCAGGGCCACGGACAGGGTCACTTTCCCGTGTACAGAAAAGTCTTCCATTCTTCACTTGGTTTTCAAATTCCTTGCAAAGATCCTTTAGAAAAGACAAGTAATTACATTTAACACTTTTCTACACTTTAACCTAGAAAAATGTACATCATATATTTATAGTCAAAGAATGTTATATCCAGAAGGTGTTCATAAACACAAAGAATATATTAAGGAGAGTTAATGAGAAAATAGAAATTATATTGTCAAATTACCTGGTACTTGTATCTACTATGTGGTACATATACTAAAAGGTAAAAGAGCCTAGGAAAGAATAAGGCTGAGGAAATATTTTCTAAGATCAGATAATTACTGTTAACTTTCAAATCTGTGAAAAAAATAAATAAAAGATCTGTCATGGGGTTCCAAAAAAATGAGAACATAACAAAACACAGCAGCCAAGACAAAAGAAATGTTGCCAATAAGCAGAATATAGAATCTGTGAGATAAGATATTTAAGATCTACTTAATAGGAACAAGTTAAGAACAATCTGCATAATCTGCAAGGGAAAAGGAATAATATGGTACCCAACAGCATTATGCTTGCTCTGTTTTTCACTCTGTGGATCATTTTAATTTGCTCTTCCTCCTTTATCAGTGTTCATTTCTAACACTGCAGGTGGAAACCTGAGAGTGAAGCGAATTCTCTTCACTTTTCACTTAGAATTGTGGGCCATCAAGACTAATCTTTATCTTTTGTTGTTGTTCAGTTGCTCAGTCGTGTCCGACTCTTTGTGACCCCATGGACTATAGCACTCCAGGATTCCCTGTCCTTCACCATCTCCTGGAGTTTGCTCAAGATCATGTCCATTGAGTCAGTGATGAAAACCAACCATCTCATCCTCTGTCATCCCTTCTCCTCCTGCCTTCAATCTTTGCCAGCATCAGGGTCTTTTCCATGAGTCGGCTCTCCCCATCAGGTGGCCAAAGTATTGGAGCTTCAGCTTCAGCATCAGTCCTTCCAATGAATATTTACAGTTGATTTTCTTTAGGATTGACTGGTTTGATCTCCTTGCAGTCCAAGGGACTCTCAAGAGCCTTCAGCACCACAGTTTGAAGGCATCAGTTCTTTGACACTCAGTCTTTTTTATCATCCCTCTCACATCCATACATGACTACTGGAGAAACCATAGCTTTGACTAGACAGACCTTTGTTGGCAAAGTAATATCTCTGCTTTTTAATATTCTATCTAGGTTTGTCATAGCTTTTCTTCCAAGGAGCAAGCATCTTTTAATTTCATTGCTGCAGTCACAGTCTGCAGTGATTTTGGAGACCAAGGAAATAAAGTCTGTCACTGTTTCCATTGTTTCCCCATCTATTTGCCATGAAGTAATGGGACAAGATGCTATGATCTTTGTTTTTTGAATGTTGAGTTTTAAGCCAGCTTTTTCACTTTCCTCTTTCACTTTCATCAAGAGGTTCTTCAGTTCTTCTTCACTTTCTGCCAGAAGGGTGGTGTTATCTGCATATCTGAGGTTACTGATATTTCTCCTGGCAATCTTGATTCCAGCTTGTGCTCCATCCAGCCTGGCATTTCATATGGTATATAAGTTAAATAAGCAGGGTGACAACATACAGCCTTCACCATACTAAGGGATTACTGGTCCCATTTTAGAACCAGTCTGTTATTCCATGTTCAGTCCTAACTGCTGCTTCTTGATCTGCATACAGATTTCTCAGGAGGAAGGTAAGATAGTCTGGTACTCTCATCTCTTTAAGAATTTTCCCCAGTTTGTTGTGATCCACACAGTCAAAGGCTTTAGCATAGTTAATGAAGCAGAAGTACGTTTTCTTCTGGAATTCTCTTGCTTTTTCTATGATCCAGCAGATGTTGACAATTTTGATCTCTGGTTTGATCTCTGGTTTCTCTGCCTGTTCTAAATCCAGCTTGTATATCTGAAGTTCCCACTTCACATACTGTTGAAGCCAACTTGAAGGATTTTGAGCAGTCCTTTGCTAGCATGTGATATAAGTGCAATTGTGGGGTAGTTTGAATATTCTTTGGCATTGTCTTTCTTTGGGAATGAAAACTGACCTTTTCCAGTTCTTTGGCCACTGGTGAGTTTTCCAAATTTGCTGGGATACTGAGTGCAGCACTTTCACAGCAACATTTTTTATGGTTTGAAATAGCTCAACTGGAATTCCATCGCCTCTACTATCTTTGTAGTGATGTTTCCTAAGGCCCACTTGACTTCACACTTCAGGATGTCTGACTCTAGGGGAGTGATCACACTATCATGGTTATCTGGGTTATTAAGATCTTTTTTGTATATATCTTCTGTATATTCGTCTACTTATTCTTAATTTCTTCTGCTTCCATTAGGTCAATACCATTTCTGTCCTTTATTGTGCCTTTCTTTGCATGAAATGTTCCCTTGGTATCTCTAATTTTCTTGAAGAGCTCTCTAGTCTTTCCTATTCTATTGTTTTTCTATTCTATTTTTTTTATTCTTCTGTTTTTCTATTGTCTTTCCTATTCTATTTCTTTGCATTGTTCACTTAAAAAGGCTTTCTTATCTTTCCTTGCTATTCTCTGGAACTCTGCATTCAGATGGGTATATCTTTCCTTTTCTCCTTTGCCCTTTGCTTCTCTCCTTTTCTCAGCTATTTTTAAGGCCTCCTCAGACAGCCATTTTGCCTTTTGCATTTTTTTTTCTTAGGGGTGGTTTTGATCACCACCTATACAATGCTATGAACCTCTGTCCATAGTTCTTCAGGCACACTGTCTATCAAACTAATCCCTTGAATATATTTGTCACTTCCACTGTATAATTGTAAGGGATTTGATTTAGGTCATATCTGAATAGCCTAATTGCTTTCCTTAGTTTCTTCAATTTAAGTCTGAATTTGGCAATAAGCGGTCCATGATCTGAGCCACAGTCAACTCCTGGTCTTGTTTTTGCTGATCGTTTAGAGCTACTCTATCTTTGGTCACAAAAAATATAATCAATCTGACTTAGGTATTGACCAGCTGGTGATGTCACAATGCAGAATCGTCTTTTGTGTTGCTGGAAGAGGGTGTTTGGTATTACCAGAGTGTTGTCTTGGCAAAACTCTGTTAGACTTTGTCCTGCATTATTTTGTACTCCAAGGCCAAACTTTCCTGTTATTCCAGGTATCTCTTGACTTCCTACTTTTGCTTTCCAATCCCCTATGATGAAAAGGACATCTTTTTTTGGTATTAGTTCTAGAAGGTCTTGTAGGTCTTCACAGAACTGTTCAACTTAAGCTTCTTCAGCATTAGTGGTTGGGGTATATACTTGGATTACTGGGATATTGAATGATTTGCCTTGGAAATGAACTGAGATCATTTCTGTGGTTTCTGAGATTGTACCCAAGTACTGCATTTCGTACTGTTGTTGACTAAGAGGGCTATTCTATATTTTCTAAGGGATTCTTGCCCACAGTAGTAGATATATCTATTTAGAAAACCCAAGAAGGTTGTGACTTAATCCCAATATTCTGAGGAAGTCTATATCCACAAATTTCCTGATTGATGCTTTCAGTATTTTAAAATTTCTCTCTGTGTTTTCAAAATTCTATTAGATGAGGGCCATATATGTATACACATAAATATATATACATATATATATACCAAAATAGTTTTATTTAATTATATATATTATAAATATATAAAAACTTTAAAATATATATTTATTCCAAAACATTACTTATATACATCATTATTCATATCTATATATATGCCCCTGCCGGGAGCCGTTATGGGGGGGTCCCACCCGTGACGAGGTCATGAAGAAAATACCAGGCAGGCAAGGCCGTCTGGGACCCCATCCATGACGAGGTCACAAGGAAAATACCTGACAGGCAAGGCCGTCTAGGATAAGGGACCCTCCAGGTTGGCCTCGGCCTCTATCCTACCTTATATCCTCCCCCTTTTTTCTGCTGCTGTTCTTATTTGCCCTGCTGCAGATTCTTGTGTTGCCTGCCAAGAGCTCTCCTGCTCCTCTTTCCCTGAATAAAGACCAACTTAAAAGCTAATTAATAAATCTCCTGGACGCTGGTACCCTATGAAGGGGCCAGGGATGCAGGAAATTCTTCAATTCAAACCCTTTTGCTGACATTCTGGCTTGTTTGATAAATGTGTGCTCTCATTGCACAAAATGCTCATGATTGTTCTAAACATCCTAAGTACAGTATGCTAACAAAAGAAACTATTAAGCATAGGCCCCTTCGCGGGGTGAGAAAAGCTCCACAAATATTATAGCCACAAATGTGACTAATAGAAAATAGTTTAGATAGAGATTAGCTGGCGACTTCTTGCAGGTAGTTAACTTTTAGACTAAGAGCCTGTTTTGTGCCATATCTGCTGTTTTTGCAATCCTTTGCGTTTCTGTTCTGTGAAAATGTAATCCTATCTAGTTCCCTTGGAGATGACACCTAATAGAAAGAAAATAGATTAACCACAAAAAAGACAGGGTCGGCTACTGAAGTTGCTTAAAGTTGCACCAGGTGCAAACCATAAATTGTCAACAGGCCTGAAAGCCAAAAGATATTATACATAGAGATTAACCATTAAAAAGGCCCTAATAGGCACAGAGCCCTTTGGGGGGTGAGGAAGCCCTATTAGAAAATACAAAAAATATTGTTTTTAAAGTGGTTATTAGATCAATGTTTGATTGATGTTAATGTGCTGAGGTTGTGCAGTGGAAACAATTGTTAATATAGTTAAAAGATATAGTAAAATAAGAGTTTAGCCCTAGTGTAAAAACAATAAGATAATTGTTAATTTTAACCAAGAGTGCTAAACAGGGGCTGCCTCACCAGAGCCACAGAGTCTTTGTGTGTTAAACTTTTTAGATAAATTTAGCTGAGAACTTCTGCAAAAAGACTGTCTTTTATGTTAACAGGATTGTATTTCTACTATGTTACAACCTGCTGTACCATGAGACTGACACTTTTCTGTTTTCTGCTAAGCTCAAGGCCAGAAGATAATGTACAAAAAATCTATGGAAAAGACTCTCATAAACAAAAATATACAGAGCACACCTGGTTTCGTGACAGACAAGCTGATGTAACGTTAAACTAAGTCTGTATGCTTATCTGCCCCTTAGAAATGTACCAACTTAGGGTATAAAGGCTACGGTGAAAAATAAAGTGACTGCCAGACTCTGCTGCATATTCCTGGTCTGGTCTCTTTCTTTCTCTCTCTCTCTCTCTCTCTCCCTAGCAGACTTGGACCTATCAAGGCCGGTCCTACGTGTCTCTCTGTCGCCGACGCCGTTCATCCTGAGGGTTCCCCTGGATCCTGCTGGGGCTGGACCCTGGCATGCCCCCATCAAATAGAATTATATATATATATATGGGCTTCCCTGGTGGCTCAGATGACAAAGAATTCACCTGCAATTCGGGAGACCTGGGTTTGATCCCTGGTTGGGAAGATCCCCTGAAATAGGGCATAGCAACCCACTCCTGTATTTTTGCCTGGGAAACCCCCATGGACAGAGGAGCCTGGCAGGCTACAGTCCATGGGGTCACAAAGAGTCGGACATGACTGAGTGATTAAGCACAGCACAGCATATATATATATATATATATTTACACACACACGCACACACACATATATGATTATTCTATGTTTGGCAATCTATTTCAATAAGCATATTTTATGATAGCATATGTTACTATAATACAATCCATAAAAAGTGCTTCTCCTGGCCTTTTTCAACTGGATGACCCTCATCTTGCCATTTCAGCTAATAACAACACAAGCCTAAAGAGTATGGTTTATTCATTGCAGCATCATTTACAATAGCCAAGACATAGAATAACCCAAGTGTTCATTAGAAGATGAATGGATTTAAAAAATGGATATATACATATATACAATGTATGTGTGTATATGCATATATATGTATATGTCTGTCTGTATGTATATGTATGGAATATTATTCAATGATGGAAAAGAATAAAATCTTGCCATTTATGACACTATGGATGGGTTGTAGAGGGTATTATGCTAAGTGAAATAAGTCAGAGAAAGTCAGTTACTATATGACTTCCCTTACATGTGGACTCTGAAACAAAACAAAACAAAGGAACAAACAAAGCAAAACAGACTCATAGACACAGAGAACAAACAGGTGGCTGCTAGGGGTGGGACGGGGGTGAAATAGGCAAAGGGGATTAAGAGGTACAGACTTACAGTTATAAAATAAGCAAGCCATGGAGATTTAGAATACAGCATAGGAAATATAGTCAATAACATTCTAAGAACTTTGTATGGTGACACATGGTAATTAGACTTATGGTGACCATTTTGAAGTATATATATTATATAATATGTATTATATGTAATATATGTATTATATAATTATAGTATGTATTTGACAAGTATATATATCAAATCACTATGATGCATACCTGAAACTAATGTGATACTGTATGTTAATTATACTTCAATTAAAAACCTTATTTAAGAAAAGAATGTGATTTGGAGTCAGAAGTGAAATTAAATTATGGCTCTGACTCACTAGGAAACCGCAGCAAAGTCCCATCACCTTTGAGACTTTAGTCTCACTACCAACACAAAGGAGGTTTTCAGAACAGCTGCTCTTTAGGACCTTTCCTAGATCTAGTATACTCTAATTTAAAATAATAACTCATATTTCACTAGGATACTTTAAAAGAGAATCTAATGAGAAGATACTTGTTTTTGGAGGAGTAATGGGTATGCTCTCAACTTCCTGATTTTAACAATCTAGGAATACAGACACAGAAGACTGTCACCTGATAATCATAGCATGGCAATAACATTAATGCTTAATGGTTCCCATAAAAGAAACAATGATAATTTCAGTTTATAAATTATGATTCATCCAAGGAGATTCTAAAGAAGTACTGTGTGATCAACCCACTGACAGGTTAATCATGGGGTAAATACTGAGCCATCACTCTAATGCAGTCCCATTCAACAAAATCACATCTAATGACCCCATCAAAACAATGTCCCCAGCCATTGAGAGTAAAAGAAGGAAAAGTAGCTGAGACAGGATGAAAGACAAAGGAAAAGAAACTGTCTGTTGATGAAGTAATAAAATGTTGATTCCAGAAGATGACCCAAAGTGTTAAACTGAAATTTAACAACCACCACAAAAGAAGTGTTTTTGAAATCTCAGTGAGTGTTGAAGAAAGTCTTGATAATTTTGAAGATTCTGTGTTTCTTAAACTCTGAGTGCCCTATTTAGGGTGGGACCTTTGATTCATTGAATTGCATTATGAAGTGGAAGTTCAGCTCTTAGCTACCAAGAATTGGACTTGCGTGTCCCTTTAGGAAAACACAGGCCCTGCAATCCACAAAAATAGTATCCTTATATTAGTACAAAAGAGCGCAGGACACAGAATCGGAATCCAACATGAGGGTATGATTGAAATCATTTATCCAGCCTCCATATTTTACTAATAAGAAAATTGAGACATGGACAGAAGAGATGAGTAGCCCAGTTTCACACACTCAGAGCAGGACTAAAACTCAAGTGTTCTCACTTTTCAGCAAAAGACTTCGTTGTTGTTGTTTAGTCACTCAGTCATGTCTGACTCTTTGCGACCCCATGGACTGTAGCCCACCAGGCACCTCTGTCCATGGGAATTCTCCAGGCAAGAATACTGGAGTGGGTGGGCACTTCCTTCTCCAGGGGACCTTCCCAACCCAGGGATTGAACTCACTTCTTCTGCACTGGCAGGTGGCTTCGTTACCACTGAGCCACCAGGGAAACCTTATTAGCAAAATAACTACTATCATTTTCATTGACAGTAAGGTTTAATAACCTTGGTGATTTAAGAAATCCAGGCTACATTACCTATGATGAGTATTCAATTAACAAAAGAAATAATTTTTTATACTAGATTGAAAAGCTAAATCATCAAATAATTTGAAAAAACCTTAATTTTAAAGGTATTTTAAAAACCACAATATAAGTATTTGAAGTTTTTAATTAGAAGCATGACCTTTATAAATGCAGGCCTCTCTGAACATAACAACCATAATGGAAAAATGAATAACTAACTTGTGTTAGTAGGATTATACTTAAAATACACCAGTGAATATACTGTTTAAAAGACTCTGGAATTGTTTTAAAGTTATTTCTGTCAAATTTATATTATGTTGCTTTTTAAACTAACCTAGTCAAAGCCAAAGAGAAGACTGGTGAAAACAAAATAGTATTTAATTTGCATAAATTTTGTATTATTTTTTTTTTTAAGCAAGGAGAGAAATTGCACGTTTTGAGCTTTAGGTGGGAAAAGCTATTTTAATGTTGAATCTAATGATTAATATGCTAGGAAGATTATTCTAGGAGTAGCATTGTAGGAATTCAATTGGGGAACTTAAAGGAATAAAGCTCAATATAATAATGGACAGTGACATTACTGAATTACCTTAAAGGTTCAAGTATAAGTTGTTAATATTTATGTCCACAGGAACTAAATTATGTTGATGAGAAATTTACCTTTTCAGCACTACGTCGAATTCTAGTTTCATTTTCTCTCTTGGCATTTTCTTCAGCTTCTTTTAAGCTGTCAAGAAAATAGTTGATTGATTTATGACTGTATCAGATTTTTCAGTGTCCAGTTCTGTGCTAAGCAGTTCTACATCCTATGCTCTAGCTTGCTAAACCCATCCACTTACATGAGACAAGCTTTCCCCTGTTGAGTGTTTGAGCCAGAGATAAGGGTGGGTGTGAAACTGACTCACTGACAGTCAATTAGAAGCTTTGTTCTGTAACACTGGATGGGCGTGACTAATTGACTGACAAACCTAAGATTGTCAGGAAAACTTGCTTTAACAGGCAGAACCAAGAGCTTTAAAACAACATTGTGACAAGGGTGAAACCAAACTAAGCATCTGAAGTACATGTTGTCAAACACACCCTTATGTATAGCTTTTTATACCTTGTAAAGTATTTGTCTTCTTGTAGAAGCACCCTTGTCACTAAAAAGTTACATTGAACAAAGCTTGGAAATCCTTTGGATCTATTGTATAGTTGCAGTCTCATCTTAGAAATAGGCATGACTATCTTAGTTCTATGGAGCAAGAAACCAACCAGGAGTCAAGGAGGTCAAATTCTTTTTTAGGTAGGGAATGAAAACAAACACAAAATCACAGAATTAGGGCAGGTTTGAGCACTAAAAGTGCATGCCTTGTAGATAAGAAAGTGGAAATGAGGTTGATTTCTTGTCTGGAAACCTGAGAGGACATGCCCTTGAAATCCATAATGTGCTGTGCTTAGTCGCTCAGTCCTGTCCAACTCTTTGCAACTCCGTGGACTGTAGCCCATCAGGCTAATCTGTCCATGGGGATTCTCCAGGCAAGAATACTGGAGTGGCTTGCCATGCCCTCCTCCAGGGGCTCTTCCCAACCCTGGAATTGAACCCAGGTTTCCTGCATTACAGGAGGATTCTTTACAGTCTGAGCCAGCAGGGATACACAAGAATACTGGAGTGGATAGCCCATCCCTTCCCCAGGGGATCTTCTTGGCCCAGGAACTGAACCTGGGTCTCCTGCATTGCAGGCGGATTCTTTACCAGCTGAGCTACCAGGGAAGGCCTGAATTCCACAGTAGCATACTGTAATCTTCAAAGACAGGTGCAAAGTTCTTTAATCTGTTGAATCTTTCTCTGTCCTGATTTTAAAGATCCAACGATGTAAACAGAGCACCTTAAGGCTTTCTAACACACAGATTAGGGAGTCTGTGCTTTGTTTAATAGCCAGAATATTAAAGACTAACTGTATCTTATTCATATCTGGGAATCAGTGCTCAGGGTAGCATCAGGCACTGAGAGAAAGACTAACCCAAGAGTTCTTTCCTTTCATAAAGCCCACCCCACCTTTTATACGACTAATACATTTAGGCACACGACATAATGATTTTCGACTGCCATTTTCAGTAAGAGTATCTACACATGCCTGAATAAAGCAGTGCATGTCAAATGACTTATTTAAATTATTCCAGAAGAGAGCACCTTTTAAATTTTGAAATATTGTGCCTTAAACAACACTATGCACTTGTCATTATAATTAAACAAATTAACAGTCTTGAATTAGATAACTCGTACGGCCACTTTATCCACTCCTCTTAAGAAACATCATCAGACAGTTTGAATTAAAGAGAAGACACTGCGGGAGCAGGGGCCGTTTCACCCTATAGAGACCAAGGGTGACATGCTTCAGGAAAAGGACTTTCTCGCTCCGTGGGGTGGTTCTCAGAACAGCAACCAAGTGCATCCTCAGCAGACTCACCTGCTAGCCTGCGAGGGGGTGAGGATACTTACAAAAGCTCAGCACACATTGCGCACTTATTGCCGTGCGTCCTTCCATCAGGACCAAGAACTGGGTCATTTTCCCTTGTGCATCCAAGTCTTCCATCCTTCACATAAGGCCGAAAATCACTACATATATCCTGAAGAACAGAGAAAGGAACTTGACATTTACCATCCTGATGGTCATGCTTACTACACTATCTTCAGAAATTTTATAGAGCCCAGTGGCCCTCTGCCCAGGACAGACTAGCTACCTGGAGCAGTGCCAGTGTGTAAAAGCAGGTCATTAAGTGCTGTGTAATTCACACGGTTAACCATAGAGCTCATTTACTTGTTTATTCATTTGTTAGCAAATGTGGATAAACTGTGATGTGCTAGAACCAAGGTAGAACACAGTCCTTGCCCTGAACTCGTTCACAATCCACTGGGTGACACAAAGAAACTTTTAAAATACTGGGTGCTGCAGAGAACTGTATTGAGTATCCTATGATAAACCATAATGGGAAAGAATATTAAAAAGGATGTGTGTGTGTGTTTGTGTGTGTGTCTGAATCACTTTGGTTTACAGAAGAAACGGATACAACATTGTAAATCAACTGTACTTCAATTTTAAAAACAACAAAAATATAGTTTAAATGAATCTGAAGAAAAGAAAATACAATGTGTTAAATGTATCAGTGGAGGTAACCTCAGGTGCTGTGCTTGCATATTGGAAAGTCACCAGACTTTGACTTGGGAAAATCATCCAACTATCAAAAATCAAGTATGATGTGTGTGAGACACTCACTCACTTCCCCTGTTATCACAGGCTCACAGAATTTTAGCATCAAAAGAAGGTATGTGGTCCAATTCTCACTGTAGATATGGAAACACTGGTAAAGTGTGGTTGAGTAATCTGCTTGAGATCTTGACTGTCAGGACAGGGGTTTCTACTCAGGTTCAGTAACTGAAGTAGATCCCCTTGTACAACACATGTAGCTTTTTTTCCCCCCGCTCCCTCCCTCCTTTTCTTTTTCTTTTAGAAAAGCAGAAATAGAGATGAGAGGTCTAACTACCGAAGTAATCCACTCCAGTTTCAGAAACTATCAGTTGCTTTTCATCTAAATGAGCAGTATTCCATTCCAGGTGCAGCAAGAGTTCTTTCTTTCCAACACCTCCATCAAAGAAGGAAGGAGAGAGCATCTTCTTTCTTTTCAAAGTCAGTCCCCCAGTGTTTCCCCCCAGTCTGACATTTGTCCTCACCTGTTCTGGCTTACTGTTCTCACATTCTCCTTCACTTTTTATGCCAACTTGAGCTCTGGTTTCACTGGAATTCAAAGTTAGGAGACACAGCAGTTTAATATCATGGAACTTCTCAGCATATGCAGTTTCTTTTCATTGCATTTTGATCCTCCTTTGCTTTTGAAAATAGGTGTCACATTGCATTCTTTACTTACTCTTTCTAATGAAATCCCATTTCTATAAATTACAGTCAAAGAAATTTGGAGAGCATTTTGGAGGTATGATTCAGACTTGTAAATGCTATTTCCAGATTTTTTTTTTCCTGTTTCCAGAGAGGATCCATATCAGAAGAATAGGTAAGAAGTAAATCTTGTAACTAGATATTAGATACCACCTAAGGAATTTTGTTGTTGATGATGATGTTATTTTAAATAATCAAGTTCAAGTGTATAGTATCCACCATACTATTCTACCACTCTTTATTGGAGTTATGATAATGTTTTGTTTTTCATGGAAAATATATAAGGCCCTAATTAATATTGTTCTGTCTAACAGAGCATTAAAAGCATGCCTGAGAACATAGTAGCACAAATATAAGATACATTTTCTACTCTAAAAAGATCTGTAGTATCTACATACCAATAAAAATATAATAAAAATAAAATTTAAAAAAAACTAAGTAGTTAAAACTGAGGGAAAAAATTACACCAAAAGGTATCAGCTGAAGGAAAATATAAAAATTGAATTCCAGTGACATTACAGAATTTCCTAGCAGACAGAACTATGAAGGAAATGTAGTGAGCAAGATGATTCTCACTGTATAATTAAAAAGTTATATGCCAGAAATGAGAGGCTTAAATAAGCTCTCCACACAAAACATGGTAAGATTCCCCACATAAAACAAGGTCAGAACTAATACACAGCATGGTCATAGTGGTGTTACAAATGCACTCCTAATAACAACTTGTATGTTCTTTCTGTGCCCTATTTTTGCTGTCTGTTTCTTTTTGTTGACCCTTGGTGAAAGCTGAAGATACACTTTTAGAGTGTATTTTTGAAAATGCCGTCATGTGAGAGATCAGAGTGACTTAATTCAGTTGTACTTGGTAAAGATATTTATTATAAGGAGGGACAAAGCTTGTAGACCTCAAGACTAAATATTTATCAGCATTTCTAATTAGCCTTCTCAAACACTGGTGGTTGTATTTGCTAAAACTGAAGAGCAGCCAATTCAAGACGGAGATCATAAGCCAGAACCTGCGAAGCAGGTATGCCGTCTTGTTGGCTGAAGACAACTGGTAACCAAACCTAGCACCAAGGGTGGAGAAAGAATTGAACAAGGACAAAATGTAGGGCAGAGAGATGCTTTAGCTATATATGGTGAACAATGAGTAGATGGGACGGAGTTAAGCATTAAGCCCCATTACGCCAATGTTGTAAATTACTGAGATTTAGTAAATAAGTATCTTTTGATGATTAAATAATTCTCTATGAAAAAAAGATATACCTAAATAGATAGGTAGAAAGAAAACAGATAGATAGATGTGTATATGTATGAAGTGAAGTGAAGTGCAAGTTGCTCAGTCATGTCCGACTCTTTGTGACCCCATGGACAGTCCATGGAATTCTCCAGGCCAGAATACTGGAGTGGGTAGCCTTTCCCTTCTCCAGGGGATCTTTCCAACCCAGGGGTTGAACCCAGGTCTCCCGCATTGCGGGCAGATTCTTTATCAGCTGAGCTACCAGGGAAGTCCAAGAATACTAGAGTGGGTAGCTATCCCTTCTCCAGCAGATCTTCCCAACCCAGGAATCGAACCAGGGTCTCCTGCATTGCCCGCGGATTCTTTACCAACTGAGCTATTAGGGAAGCCCGTGTATATGTATATATAAATATATATTTGTGTGTGTATATGTATACAGATATAGATATATCAGATATCTGTCCACTTCACAGAAAGTGTTAACCATCTGATAAACTGCACACAAGTGTGCTTTGTAAAATATAGTGTTGTATTACATACATATTTTTTCTCTTAAGAATAGTAAAAGAAGTGATCCTAATAATTTATAGATGACTAACTCCCATAAAATGAATTGTTACCTTAAAGATGTACGAAAAATGTGTCATAATTATACAGGGAACATGCTTCAGGGAGAAAACCTTCGGAGAATACTCACGCATTCATAGCACACAGCGCACATCTGTTACTGTATGTTTTCCCATCTGTGCCACAGACAGCTGTACCACCAAGGGTACAGATAAAATCCCCAGCCCTTTCTCCTTGCTTGAAATCATCACAATTCAACTGCAAGAGACATAATCAAGGAACATCAAAATGTAAGAGAGAAGATATTCCTCAGATACATAAATAGATTAATATTGTAAGCCCACAACAGTATAATACAGTGGAGAAGGAAAATATAATAAGGAGGTTTCAGTGAGCTAACAAAATCATGAATAATTAAACATGGTCCAAGAACAGAGATATAGCCTAATTTCAAAAGAAATTATTTCAGTAAGATTTCAGACACCTGCTATCTGGGTGAGGTGGGCCAAGTCACCTCTCTGATATTTAGCAAACTGTCAAAGCCTGCCTGCCTTCTCTACAGAGTAGTCATAGGGTCCAATAGACAGTGGATATGAAAGCTCTCTGTAAACTATAAGCTCCAATAAAGTTTTTATAGTAGTATAGATTAGAGTAATGATCAAGAGCCAGATTGCTGGGTTCATAATTGTAAATCTGCCACTTACTAGTTGTGTGATTTGGGACAGTTATTAACCACTCTATGCTATAGTGTCCTCATTTGTGAAATGCATATATTACCAGATTCTCGGGATTATAAAGATATTTAAATGTATTGACACACATACAGCTCTTAGAACAGTACCAAACATATCCTGGCCATTCATTATTGTTGTTGCTGTTGTTATTTTAAATGATTTCTGTACCGATAAGCCAACAAAGCTAAACACCTTTTAGGGATGATGAGAGAAATTCCAAAATCTCTGCTCTAATAATATGACATATACAAAGTGACAAACCTGCTTGGTGAGGAAAACAACCACGCTAGGTAACAACTGAAGACTAGTGTTCAGATCTCAGATTGCTACCCACTCACTTCACCTCTTTGAACTTTACTTCCCTAATCTGAAAAATGGGAATTCACACCCGATCCACATTACAGTCTTGTGGTGGGAAAGAAAGAAACAGTTGTGAAACATTATTTGGCAACTCATTATTGTGACATAAGCTAGCTAAAGAAGACATAGAGTTAACTTGTATTTAATCTCTATCTAAAACCAAAGAATATGATATCACATTTATCAAAAAAAATTGTTGTCATTATTGTCATAACAAAATGTTTTAATTATAGATTTGAAAACTTAGAATACGGTCCTATGAACTAGCATGCCACACAATACCAAAGATAAAAGTAGCACAGACACAAATGTAAAATACATTTGTGAACCAGAAGATTACACTGAGGAACTCTCCTAGAAGGCAATTAAAAAGGAAAATGAACTTAAACTAGGAAAGAAAATCTTTAAAACATAGCCCACTCTTCATGTCCTATGTTTAGGAAAAAGTTAAAAATAGAGAGAAAACAGGATGAGCCATGGCCATATGTGCTATGTTATTCATTTGGTTGTTCATTTATTCCTCAAAACCCATTATATATTTACTAGGCTCTAGGTATTCCACTAGACTATGACCCTAGCGTAGCAAAAAATAGAATACATACTCCAAGGGATTTACAGTCTAATGGGACAAGATAGACAGTAAACACAACAACTTTAAATTATAAGTGTTATCAAATATAGCATCCAGGTGGTGGCTATTTTGTGTCAAGACAGATCTTTCTGCAAAGGTAACATTTACTGTGAGATGAGATTAATGAGGAGGAGCCAGGCATTAAAGATCCGTGGGAAGAACATTCCTGGCATGGAGAACTGCAAAGGACTGGGGATAGGAATGAGATTCTCCTGCTTAAGGAGCAGAGAGAAGAGAAGTGTTGCTGGAGCATAAGGAAAAAGCAGGAGAATGAAGAAAAGCTGTTGATTTTCTCTGACAAATTATTTCTGGAGAAACTGCAGAAGCAAGGGGATAAGGATCCAAGCAATTAACTTGGGGCTGTCCCTCCTCTGCCCCTTCACCAGTGAACTCAACAGCAGATACTAAGTCACAGGTGTTGGCAGGGTGACGGGCAGATGAAAAGCCCAGCTGGGAGGTGGTGAGAACAGGTGCAAGCATTTACCACTCCACCTCCACCTCCTCCTCCAAACTCCAAGGGCTGGTGGGTCACAGCCCACAGAGAACACCTCTTCCTGATGCTGACAATTTCTGAGAGCTTACAGATGGATTCCTGACCTGGTCAAGAGGCAGCAAACTAGAGTCAGCAACACTGGTTCTAGAACCTTCGGCTCTGGCACTTAGCCCTTGTCCTCTCCTGACACTCACCAGGAGAGGCAGAGGCTGAAGCTTGGCCTTGAATATTTCCTAGCTCACTTTAGCAGAAAATAATTACTAAAAAAAATTAAAGTTGAAAAATACTCAAATAGGATAAGAAAAGTAACTAAGAAGAGAGCAGGCAGAAGCAACAATAATACTACTTAACATAGAGAATTCAGTCCAAAATGCATTATAGGTAACAAAGAAGGACATTACATAAGGGAAGAAAATAACAAGAAAGCATAATAATCATGAGCATATATTCAATAATATAGGCTCTAAATATGTCAAACAATAAGCAATAGAATGTAATCATTACATAAATCAATAACTGATATTAGAGGTTTTAACACACACTTCTCAGAAACTGACATATCAAAGGAAAAAATTAAGATGCTTAAGTTATTAGATTTTAATAGAAAACTACATCCAAAAAACAGAAAATAAACAATTTTTTCAGAACATATAAAACATGTATAAAAGCAGAATATTTATCAGGCCACAAAGTTTTATGAAATTCCAGAGGGTCACTGTCAAATGGCCTATGTGGTTTGAACATAATTCAATAACATTAAAGGTTAATTTTAAATGTAAAAATTATCACATATTTGAAAATCAAATAATGTATTAATAAATAGCTTTGGGAGGGAGGAAAATTAAGAAATGGTTGGCAAAGAATGACACATGAAAACACTTCAGGAGAGCAAATCTGAGGTAGATGATCACTGATACCTTCAAATACCCTTGTCATGAAACAAAAAATCAAAACTTAAAGACCAAAGTACTGCTCAATTCATTGTAAAATGAGCAGCAGAGCAGACATAAATAGGAATGAATGACATAAAGAAGAGAAACTACAGAGGAAATGAATATAAAAGCTAATGTTGGGCTTCTCTGGTGGCTCAGTAGTAAACTACTGAAGCACCTAGGGCCTGTGTTCCACAAGAGAAGCCACACGCTGCAACTAAAGGGTAAGCCCCTGTTCAGTGCAACTAGAGAAAAGTCCACACAGCAATGAAGACCCAGTGTAGCCAAAAGTGAATCAATCCTTTTTTAAGAATCTAAAGTTATAGTTTCTAGTACAACTGATGAAAGAGAAGATAACAGTTTAAGGATAGCAACTTAGCACCCATGCACAATAATATTAGAAATAATTGTATCAACTTTGAGAAAAACCATTGAAGCATACTGTGAGTGTCTGTATGGATATCAAAATGGAGACATGGCTATAAAAATCATATAAAATATCTACACTGGGGTAATAAGCAGGAGGAAAGTTGAACAGATGAATAATATTAACTGATATATTAGTCTGAGATATTCTCTCCCCAAAATGCCCCAGTTCAAATAGCTTTAAAATCCACTTTTCTAAAAAATTCAAGGAGTATGTACTAGAGGCACAGTTGCTTTTTTTTCTTAGCATATAACAATTTCAGCCTTTTGATTGGGATATCAAAACCATTTCACTTAATATAATTGTTCATAGGATAGTATCTATATATGCAATGTTTCCATTTGTTTTCAATGCACTCTTGTTCTTTTTACTTCTTTATTCTTCTACTACTGCTTTATTTTGGGTTAAATATTACTAGTGTGTCTTTTATTCTTGTGTTGATTTTATGTATTTATTATACATGTCATTTCTTTTGTTTAATTTATTTTTAATTGCAGGTATACTTGTCACTTCTGATTGGTTGCTCTGGTGATTATAATAAGCATCCTAACAGATCACAATTTACTACCAATTAATACTTAATTTTAGTAAAATATAGAAACTTTGCCCTAATTGTAGCTCTATTTTCTCTATCCCTTTCTGTACTATAACTATCATATATGTTATATAATATTTGTACACCCAATAAAACAGCATTATAATCATTGCTGTATATAATATCTTCAAAAGAAGCTAGGTGAAAATAAGCAACATATATTTATAGAGTATACCATATTTACCATTTCTAGTACTTTTTCTTTGTATAATTCCAGGTTATCATCTGGTGGTCATTTCTTTAAACTAAAGAACTATATTATTACTTGTAAGATCTGTAGGCAACAAATTCTCTCAGATTTCATTGATATGGGAATATCTTTATTTTGCCTTAATTTTACAGGATAATTTTTGTGGATATAGAATATTGGTTAACATTTTTTTTTCTTTCAGCATTTTGAGCATCTCATTCCATTGCCTTCTGAACCTCATTATTTTAAATGATAAGCCAGTCATCAATTATAACTTGTATATATAATGCATCATTTTTTCTTCTGCTGCTTTTAAAATTCTCTCTTGATCTCAGCATTTTCATCATGAGGAGCCTAGGTGATGGTGGAGGTATTGTTTAGGCATAAGTCATGTCTGAGTCTTTTGTGACCCCATGGACTGTAGCCTACCAGGCTCCTCTGTCCATGGAATTTTCCGGCCAAGAACACTGAATTGAGTTGCATTTCCTTCTCCAGGGGATCTTCCCAACCCGGGGATGGAACTCAAATCTCCTGTATAGGCAGGCAGATTATTTACCACTCAGCCACCAGGGAAGCCTGAGCTTAGCTGTAAATCTCCTTTATCCTATTTAGAATTTGTTGAAACCCTTGACTATAAAGATTAATTTTTTCATCCAGTGTGATACATGAAAGTGAAAGTCACTCAGTCATGTCCAACTCTTTGCAACCCCATGGACTACACAGTCCATGGAATTCTCCAGGCCAGAATACTGGAGTGGGTAGCCTTTCCCTTCTCCAGGGGATCTTCCCAACCCAGGGATTCAACCCAGGTCTCCCACATTGTAGGTGGATTCTTCATCAGCTGAGCCACAAGGGAAACCCAAGAATACTGGAGTGGGTAGCCTATCCCTTTTCCAGGGGATCTACCCTACCCAGGAATTAAAATGGGGTCTCCTGCATTGCAGGCAGATTCTTTATCAACTGAGCTGTCAGGGAAGCCAAGTAATTTGATACAATTTAAGCCATTTTTTCTTCAAATAGCTTTTCTATCCAGTCCCCCTCTTTTATTTCTAACATCCCTGTTTTACACGTATTGATATACTTGTCTCAAGGATTCTGTGACTCCGTACATTTTTGGTCAATATTTTTTTCCTTCTGTACTACTTCTGTTAAACTTTATTAATCTATCTACAAGTTTCCTAATTTTTTAACATTTGCTTTTATTTACTTATTTGGCTGTGCCCAGTCCCAGCTGGAGCACACAGGATCTTCAATCTTCATTGCAGCATGAGGGATCTTTAGTTGTGGTACGTGGACTCCTACTTTCAGCATGAGGATTCTTGGTCGCAGCATACAGACGCTCAGCCACAGCAGGTGGGATGTAGCTCCCAGACCAAGGATTGAACCAGGGCCCCCAGCACTGGGAGCACAGATTCCCAGCCACTGGACCACCAGAGAAGTCTCCTACTAATTCTTTTTTAATGCAGTCTCAGAGCTGCTTCTCCCTAGATCTGTGTAATTTAACAGCAGGCCAGTGATTGGACACAGTTTATGCACAAACTTCTCAAAGCCAGTAAAGTTTTCATCCTCCACAGAAGGACCTATGTATGTATGGGAGAATATTAAAAACTCAGGCTATTTTTATATCTTCCGCAGCAATTTGCTTTTCTTGGGGATATTCTTGTGTCTTTTAAGTGCTTGCACATAGCTTCATGATCGGCCAGGACTTTGTGGATTGTTTAGCCCCTTTTTGCCTCCTGCCCTTTATGAAGACTTAGCCAGAAATATGCTTACTGCTACAACCCTAAGATCATTCTCCTTACTGGAGTAACCAAAAATATCTCTGGATATGACAGTTGCCCATAACTCCAAATTAAATAAACCCCTTTCAACATTGGTGATGCAGTTATTGATCCACATAGTCTTCTCTTCTTTGGTAGACCCTTCATATCAACCAAGCCATGGGGATGAGATGTGATTATCATTAAGCAAGAGGACCATAGACTCCCATCATTCTTACCCAAAGTTCAACAGTTTTTCAAGCATAACTGATTATCAGATTAACATAGGCTGCTGGTCAATTTCTAGAGTGCTAAAGTGGTTATTTTATTCAATTTTGTGTAGCATTATTGTTGTTCCTTGGGGAGGGAATTTGCTGAACTCCTGATTCAATAGTTTGAAGTGCCACCCCTCAGGGTAATTTTACACTGTTTCTCAACCACATGAGAATAATTAGAATGGAAAAGTAGAGACTCATTTCACTTATAAAAATAGCTTAAAATTTTCTAAATATTAACAATGCAAATTCAATAGTGTACTAAAAATGCAATGTGATTAGTATGATTTACTCTGAGAAAATAATGATTTGATATTTGTGTGGTTATCCAGAAATATATTAATTGATTGAAAGAGAAAAATTGTAAAATTATTTCAATAGTTGCCAAGAAGGCATGTGATAATGATTAAAACATATTCAGAAGAATAAAAACAGAAAGGAACTTCTAAACTTACTAAAGTTTACAGAAAAAAATACCTATAGTAAACATTATATATAATGGAGAAACTTTATAGATATACGGCATTTAAGATAGGCCGAGAAATGGCAGTTTGAAGTTCATTATTACTGCTACTTTTGAACTACTGTATGAACTATATAGATTGTTGCCAATGATATAAGGAAAGAAAAAGACATAAAGAAGTGACAAAATTGAAAAGGAAGTTGTAGAACTTCTATTATTTGCAAATGATGTGATCAACTTCCAAGAAAAAGACAAGAGAATTAACATGTAAAAAATAATAATTAACAAGGTATCATAAAGGTTTTTAATATAAGATCAACTTATAGGAATCAATAGAATTTGTCTATGCCAACAATAATCAGGTATAAATACCATAAACAACAAAAATACCACTCAAATGAGCAGGAAAATTGCCAATTTCCTAGGTCTTAGCAAAAACATAAAAATACCTATGAAGAATATTTTATGGATCTCATAAGATATGCAAAAACTACATGAATTAATGATATGATATACTACGCCTTTGGTGTGGCCAAGTTACTATTGTAAAAAGTCAATTTTATGCAAATTAATTTATAAATTCTCTGTAACCTGAAACATATTCAGTTCCCAAACTCGTTTGATTTTTTTATAAACTTAGTAAATTTTTTTATTTCAAATATTTATGTGGAAAATATACTACCTGTGCATAGGTAAGTCAACTTTGAAAAAGTGAGAAAGGGGAATTGCCTTATTAGTTATTAAAGAAATGAACTAATATGAACAAAAAAGGAACTTAGAAACACATACATGTAACCCTACTTAATATACTAGAAAGCTGGAAACCTAAATCAATGAGAAATACTGAATGAATGAACTGATGAATTAAAAAACAAAAGTTTCTACATAGACCAAAGATGTTAGTGATTAGAAATTATGGAAGTTCAGAAAACTTGGGTGGAAGGAATGGAAATCATGAAAAGGAGTCAAATTGAAATATTGGTTGGAGGCAAAACCAACAAGTCTTGTTGATGGAATGGATATCAGAATTATAAGGTTAAAGAATGATAGATACACTAATGAAGAATAGATTGATGATGCAAGAGAGAGGATGTCTGTAGGAGAAACTTTCTTGAACAGGTAGAGCATCTTATTCTGAGAGTAAGAGTCAGGGTTAATTTTTGATGGGAGAAATCTAAGTAGAGAGAGTAGATTGTTTTCTTTTATAGTAAGGAGCAAACTAACAACAATAAAATTGTATAGTTGCATTAGTCTATTCACAGACATGTAAAAATCTAGACAGAAATTACTTTAAGGTACACAGCCAAATATTAACTGCCTTAATTTATAAGTAAATCATTTCCTAGATAGCAAAATCTGTAACCATAACAACTTTATTGAGAGGTCAAAATTATAATTCAGACATAAAATGATAACAGAGAAATATAATGTCTCAATATTCTAGAATTTTCTTAAAAATCTTATTTTAAAATTCAGTAAATGTATGTCTATATATGAAAACATATCACTAGTAATGTTTTAAAACAATTAAAAATGATATATGCGTGTGTGTGTGTGGTGTATTTGGGGGATTTTTGTCACTTACTTGTATTTTGTATTTTTTTAAACACCATTGATACATAGGCTTTTCATGAAGAAAAAAGAGGAGGGGGAAGAGGAGTAGAATGGATTTTACATTGTAAGCCTCTCTCTAAATGTGACAAAGAAAGGCAGATTTGAAGAATACAAGTAAACTTTTCTGACCCTCACAGATTTGGGGAGCAAAAAAGCAGCCCCCTTTTCCTCAGAGTTTATAATTATTCATCAGTTACATGGTGACTGTGTTATTGTTTTAAAAGTGAGACCGTTTGAGCCCAGGCAAAGACTTTGGTTGACTAGGTCTACTGTGGAAGCTGAGGTGCTGAGACAGTCCTGAGTAACACTGACAAGGAAGATGTTAGCTTGGTTAGACCAGGGATATTAAGGTAATTTGGGTGTGCCTTCCTTGACTGATCATTTTAGTTATGTGTCAGAGGCACGAGAGGGGGAAGAGAAAGAAGATATTGGAGAAGAAGCTACATGGAAGACCTGGAATAATATGACTGGTTGTCAGAACACCTTGTGATAGCCCCAGCTTCATCAATACCTTATTGTGAGATGTTGTAGGCCAGTCAGAGATTTTGCCCAATCAGGGCTTAGAATTTTTGTTTTTTTATACAAATAAAAATTTTTATATAATTAAAAAATTATGTATAAAGGGAAGTGGTTGTGTGCTGGATTGCATCTGTATAGCTTTTTTCATTTTATTTAATTTAAAAAAATTTTTTACCACAGAACCGTTTTCTCCAACAAATATTAGCCTGAATCCCAAATTGCAAAATAGATATAAAGAAGCCAGTCTACTTGAATTACAGGAAATCTCCAAGTATTAGAAAATACATTCAGTGGAAAAGAGAAAGGAAATGAGTCACATGCTGCTAACACATGTTAAACACTGTAACTGACCTTTTAAATTTAGATTCTCATTTGATCCATGTTCCATATCAAAAGTGAATAAACTGAGACCCAGAGAACTGTCCAAATTCTGAGATTTGAACTTAGTTCTATAGTCCCATGAAGGTGTTGTTGGAACCAAGACAGGATAGTAGGAATAAGAAATGACTCTGCAAGGCAGTCATCACACTGGTTTACTCCACCTCTTAGCATCTGTTAGTGCCTGGAATGTCTTCAGACAGTTGGTCATGGGTTGGGCCTATGGACAAGCTGTACCAGATATTTAGCCCACCCCTGGACTAAGCCCTGTTCCCTCCCTTCTAAGTAGCTGGCTTCACAACAGGTGATGACCTAGTAATTAGGAAATAAACAGATCTGAATAGAGTTGAATGTGATCTCCAAAGCAAATATGACAAGTTGACTCAAAATAGTCTCACCTTTCCTGGGGCAGTAGCCCTGGAGACTCTTGCTAAAAGCCTGGACCTTTTCTGGGATTTTGCTTCTTTTTCCCTGGAAGATAACAAAGAATAGAATAGCTCAGACATGCTTACCCAATTTTTAGGACTAATATCATATGTGGTAAACTGAATGAATTTTGGCTATTCTCAGCCCAGTCTAGCTTATCAGAAATGGAAGTATATCCAGAAATGACCACAGGTACCACAAACTTCTCCTCAGTACTGAAATACATCCATCTTAAATGTATTCCTATTGAAGGCAACAATCTCTATTGTTAACTGCACAACACACTACCCACCTTAAATACTGCCAACTTCCAGGTGGTCACCAGCTCCAAAATCCATTTGTACTATTTTTAGAATGCTCTCTTTGAAAGACTATATTCACATCAACCCAAAATCTACCCACTTGTCTTGGTCTTAGGTTCCAGCCTCTTAAGGACCCACAGAACAAACTGAGCAATTTAAAGAAAACCTTAATACCTCATACAGTCTCCTTCTTTCCAGGTTAAGAAACCAAATTTATCTCAATATAATTTACATAAGTAATATAATAATTGACTGAGTGACTTCAAAGTGATAAATAACCTGCCTTGTATATCTAAAGGCATTGTATTTTTATTTTTCAATAAATTTATTCTACTCATAGTTTCAGTCTCCTATCAAAACATCCTATGTTAACATGTAGAAAACTCTTTAGTAAGTAATACATCTACTGGTTTACATTCAGCTTTCAAAAGACTAAGGATTCTTCAGCTTGCCCTGGGAGTCTCTCCTCCCTAAATTTTGCCCTGCCTTCCTTCATCTTCCAAAGTGTCTTCATTAGAAGCATATGTGATAAGAGCTTTGTTATTCCAATGTTAATAACTATGTCAGATAAAATCCGTTGACACATTACCAGTTATAATTATCTTCAATGGTTAGCTTAGTGTTGTCTTGGTACCAGAGTTGAAGTTTTGACGATCAGAAACTGAGAATGAATTCCCTGCTCAAAAGTCAATTAGGTTTCTTTGATTTGAGGATTTTCCTTTTCCAACCCACTTTTTTTGGGTGTCACTGGAGAGAAGGAAATCAAGTTAGGAAGCATTGCAAAGGTGTCAGTAAACTTCCAGGATATTAATTCTGAGTTGCAGGCAGTTGGAAGCCGCAGTTGATTCTAGAGTCCTTTCATGCTGGCGTAACCCTAGATGTCTGAAGCCCTGCCGGCAGTTCCCAGAGCCAGGCTGTATCCTGCGTCTCTTGCTTGGCTTCCACATCACTCTCAGGGGTACAGCAGTGTCAGGTCTTAACAGCCCCAAGAATCCTTTTCTCCCAGGGTCAGAAAACTCAACTTGGAACTACATCCTCAAAAGACTATTAAGTACTACCTAAAGTATTGATACGGAGCCCTCTGAGATATTTTGGAACACCATGAGTGATTATTAAAATCTTTCTGTGTGGGTGGCATTTATCCAACTTTACTTGACAAAAAGTATCATCTGCTGAGCATTGTTATTTACCCACTTAGATTCAGAAAAATATATGTGACAGAAAATAAAGATAATATATTGAGTTCACAGAATAGTGATAATTCAAAACACTTGAAAGAAAGATAGACTTTACTCACAATATCATTTTGCACATAGCACATTTGTTGACAAACACTATTCCATCAGGACTTTGAGAAGGTTTTTTATCTTGGGAACAGAACAGTTTTCCATTTTTCATCAATGCTCGAAATTCACTGCATGTTTCCTTAGGAAAATATGAAAAAAGTGTTTACAGAAACCTCATCACAGCAAGTTTTACCTTCTAAGAACAGTGTTATTTCATAACCACTACCCTCTTTGTATGGAAGACATTCACTCAACTTGATACAGATAATACAAATAAAAGTAATGAATCTGGATTGTCTGTTGGAAGTTGAAAATTCACCTAAAAGCATTCATCTAAAACCATTAGCAAAATGGAAAGAACAAAGGACTTGGAGTCAAAAAACCTGAGCCTATATGACAGGGTTCTCATTTATAAGTCCCATAGTCATGGCAAATGATATTCTCAAAGGCCCACTTATAAGTATACATGCTTCATAAGTTTTGTGTGGATTAAATATTGTAAGCATGTAAATCCCTCAAAGAGGGCCTGATACTTTGTAGATATTCAATAATTAGGTTCTCTACCTCACCTCTTCTTCCTGCTTAGTATAGTTGTTGTTATTGCCATGCTTATTATTGGAATATGCTAAGCTCATACATATAAAAATGTCTAATATCATAGTTCAATAATAATTGTCATTGAAAGGCATATGTAAAGGTTGCTGAGAAGGTTAATTCAGTATATTTAATGAAAGCCTGCTGTATGACACTCAGGTTTTTTCTAGGAGCTTAGTATCAATGGTACATTTGAACTACCTAGTAAAGCCCTGATTTAAAATATTACATTACCTACTAGTTTAGGAAATTCACTGGTCTATATTTTGTTTTGTTTTGACTTTGAAAAAAGGTTTCAATATCCTTGTAACAGAAAAAATAAGTAATTAAATCAAGCCTTTGATCCAATGCTGACAAATGCACCTCTTCCAAAGGATTGATTATAGAATTCTATTCAACCTCCCATATCTTTATAGTAACTAGTCAGTCAGTCAGTCAACAAACACTTACTCTGAGGATACTATACTCTTCTAGGTGTCATGGATATAGCAGTAAATAAGGCAGAAGGATCCTTGGCCTAAATGGTGTTTACCATCTAATGGATAATGATGTACCTAACCCAGCACCCTACACTTGGGAGGCAGGTGATAGCACTTGCAGAATGAAGATGATTAATGGTGAAGAAGAATACATAATTTCAGAGGCCAGCCCCGGGAAATTTTGCTAAGGGTAACATACTAACAAATCTCTAAGATTATCATCACCAACCAGTGATTTTATCTGAGTAGCACAACAACAATTTATGGCAGCAGACTGACAACTAGGTCTCTTGAGATCCAGGTCTGGTCTCTGATTCTGTAGTATTTTATGCTGATATTGCAAGTTACTGCTTAACTAGCCGGATATAACTGAACCTATAAAGTCCAGGTAAAAATCCTGTCATGGGATGAGAGAAAAGCCTGGTGTCTTTGTAATAGAAATATATTTCTGTGAGGCAGGTCTTAAAGAACATACTAAAAACAAAAATTCATGAAGAATGAAGCTTTAAATAGTTTCTATTACTCAACTGAAAAAAAACCACTATCAACCAAAATAATTCCTGAATTGGATTTCTCCAATATCACAATTAGACAAATTCTTAAATCAGAAAAACCCACTTCCTGGTTTTTTTTTTACACAAATGGACAGCAGAGTCCCAGAAAATAGGTTTAGAAATTTGTTCACAATTTGTATTCAGTAAAGATGGAACTCAGTGCTATTTTTCTGAGTTATGAGGTTATCCAGTGTATTCTCTTGGGCAAGAGGAAAAGTCCATAAAAATTGAAAGAAACAGTTGCATTTTTCTCTGGGAAAAGTGAAATAACTTCCCAATGACCATGATAGAGAGGGTTGAAACAGGAACAGGTCTGGACCATAAAGGGTCCTGAGGTGGTGAGATGACTTCTCTGCAACTGTTTACTCATGATGTAATTTCCAGTCTTTGGCTCATTTTTACTTTGTTTGTTGCTGTTTTCTCCACTTATCTCAGAAGAACTGGAGCCCTGTAGGGCCAAGCTCTTTCTGTTTTCTTTCACTGGCTGTGATATCTGTCTCATTGTCTTCCATTGTTCCTCCCCAGGCATCAAAATAAACCCCCAGGAGCTGGCATCATCCCTGCTCTATGTTAAAGCACCAACAAGGCTGACGTGGCTTCTGGGATGACAAATGTAAGCATTTGATAAAGATCCTTGTAGATCACTCTGGTGCTTTTCTGTGCTGCTCTGGCTCATGTTTGTAACATTCAACATGTTTTTATGGTACTAGAAAGACCTCGAGCTACCGAACTCAGAAAATAAAAAAATTCAGCATTGTAAGGAAGACAAAATCAATAGTTTTCATTTCTGACAAAATATTCAGACTATGATCTGAATTATTTCCAGATAAATAATCACTTTTCATATTCTTTTTGCTTTTGTCAACATAAGAGGTAGCTAAATTTCTGTTTTTAAAATGCTTTTCAGTGAAATAAGAATTTAACACTATGAGAAATATCCATGCAAAATTTGAAGTATGCACTGGAAACTACCACCCATTATAAGAGACTCTGAAAAAAGAAACATATTTCTTCATGAACAGTGAGATTTACACAATACCTTTCTTTTTAAGTATAAAATATCCAAACAAGCATGCTCTTTGATTCTCAAAAATCCAGTCTTTTTTCCTACCCTATCATCCCACTCTACTTATGCAATGGAAGTTTCTGAACCTCTTTAATCAGCAAACTTCAATAAATAATAGAGACTATAGTGGAATTCTCTAGAATATTCCTGTAAGAAGTTTCTCTTTTTAAAAAAAGTTAACAATAAAATACAGCAAGAGTATTTTAATCATGTTTATGAGTTTTGGTGTAGAGAACAATCTTTGTACTATTTTATTCTTTTAATGTTCATCTTTAAGAGACATTGTAAATATCTGCTGGATAACCAGAAATATTTCAAATCTGAAATAATGGCACAGTTGTGCACATGAGTGTGTATGTGTGTGTGTATAATTGACTCTCTCAATGTGGCTTTCAAATATATTAAAAAACACTTAATTTCTATAGAAATTAAACACAGTTGCTTCTGCTCAGTCTGCCGTGAGTTGCAACTATCTTCATGATTTGCTTCTTCTGCATCTTATGCTATCCTTGTTCTAAGGCTATCTTCTCAGAGGAAACTTACCTGACCGACTATATTGAGAAGAACTGATACCATTTCCATCCAGAGAAATTCCTATCTTCTATCCTTCTAGTGCTAATCATTACTTAATGTACTGTATATTTTTCTAAGTTACTTATTAACTTGTCTTTTTCTTCCCTTACAATGTAAGCTCCATGATGGCAGGATTCATTTTTGTTTTTATATTCCCGGCACCTCAAACAGGATCTGACATACAAAAGATGCTCAGTAAATATGTACTGAATGAACTATATACACTGAATATATACAAGATATAGACAACTCCTTTTTGCATAGTGATCACAAGAAAACCTATTTTAGCTTCCTACGTGTGTCATGACTTTTTCAGCTGTTAAGCTGAACAAGAGTAATTCACTAATGTGTTTGTTTGTGGAATTGTAAAGCATTCCTTTAGTGTGATAGACCACCTCTTGCCAACCTCTGTTATCATTAATGCATCAACGTATGTGTGTGTGTGTGATTTATGCCTTGATTCATAAAGACCCGTTTCTGTGTTTTTAACAAAGCTATTAGTGCCCATCAGTATAATATGTCTGTATTATTAATATGAAGGTGTTGGTCACAGAACATTTTTCTTCAGGGATCTTGGAATGAATTCAATGAACAGAAAAAGCAGGACTAACCTGATTTACATTTTCACTGGCAGCATCTGGGACAAAAATATAGAAACTAAAGTTAAGGGAATGTACAACATTTGATAAGTAAAATGAACAATCCACTGAGTGTAGTATCTTGCTTACTTTAACAACAATATATTTTAAAACCACAAATTGATTTGAACACATTAAAATGCACCATGGCAAATAAAGTGAGGGCATTACACCAACAGTATATACAATAACAAAGATCTCTCACTCATAAAGTGCCAATTTCTTAAAAAAATAATATTCATATACTTTCTGACCCCCTCAAAATATCTAACTTCTTAAAAAATCCTTTCAGAATGAAGTATTGTAGGCTTCTTTTAAAATTATAACACACATATCCAATATAGGAATCACAGTTTTAAGGAATAATGTAGCATAAAGTTTATATCCTATATATATAAAATTAAATTTTCTGGATTCTGATAATACTGTCTCCTCATCACAGCCACACAATTTAGAGATCTGGTAAATATTATGATTAATTAAAATCACAGACTAATATGCTATCTCATTAACAGACTTTTTTTGGTACCAAGACACTCATTTTAGAAAAGTGGGTATCGTTTGTGTGTAACAGTCTCCTCACTCTCCATCTCTGAAGTTTCCTTTTAAAATATGTAAACACTTCATAGCAAGTTAAGTCTAGGTAATCTGTGTTCCCTTCAAATTCAGATAGCAAAAGCAAAAACCTATCTCCTGGCACCCAAGAAATCCCTTACCATGTAGAAGAAATATTTTCAATTCATTTAGGATTTGAAAACACAAAAATAAAATTTGCTAGAAAGCATACTGGTTTAAAACCAGATGATTGAATTTGATTTTTTAATGCTTTATTTATAAGTAGAGTAATAAAGTATACATATTAAGTACATCTAAGTTTTAAATATCTGTTGTATACATAATTCATATAATTTTGTTTCATACATTTAATATTCTAAATATGTATAATATATATATAATTCATAACACTGTGAACTTATATGTTTGGTGAGGGGAATATGGAGAAGACTCCATTAGCTTTTCAGAATTAATGTTGAATTAATGGAAGAATTTCTGATGAATAAAAATTCAGATTATCTCAAAATACATGTCCTTTTTAAAGATACCCTAGTTATAAAGTTGCATATGTAATTCTTCAAAACTCTAAGTCTGGCAAGATAGTTCAGGGTTTTGTATACACATGCATGTACACACACACACACACACAGGAGGGAGGGAAGGAGAGAATTCCCTGCCTAGAGCTTTGGAATATGTGGCAAGGGGCTTGGATTACAGGCAAATTGCTCACCTTGTATGAGACAAACAGCTAGGGTCAGAAGCATTGGCACTGTGGTTATCTTCATGTTGATGATGATGTAAGTTGGTTACCAGTCTGCTCCTTGCATTGCTCACCAGCTGGTGCTCTAAGACTGAAGCCGTGGAGATGCAGCTCACTTTTATAATATCACTATGGGTGACACCCACAACAGCCAACATTGCAAAACCAGTTGTTCAAGGTCATGCTAAACTTAATATACCACATCAATTTAGTTTCCATCTTTTAGGATTCTGTCAAGGTGGCAGATTTGCACAGGAGCTATTTCTAAAGTAGTTCTAATGTGTTCTCAAGATACCTGCCCTAGAAGGCATGAGATTATGTCCAAAACTCAAAGTTTAATGCTCCAGAGTCCAATATGAGAACTGAATTTCTCACCAACACTAGACACATTTCCTCTTACACAAACGTGTTTCTAATTCAGCTCCTTTCGTAAGTGAGAAGGGAGGGGAAAATAAGGCAGATGAGTTGTCCTACAAGTCAGGTAAAGATTTAAAGACATCTGGAGAAAGCTGCTCAGAGCAAGAGCACCTAGGGTTCCTTTTGCTTCCATCTGCATCTGTCCTAGAGTGTTTCAATTCAGTGTCACGAACTCATATATAAGTTATAAAATGACCGTAAGGGATAACTATCAAAATTCAAACACTGAAGACATGGGGAAACAGAAGAAGCTATGAGTTTCCCAAAAACACACCACTGAGATGGAAGAGAAGACCACAATTTCAACATTTTTTTCAACTCCATCTGCTGTTTCACCACTATACATTAGTAAAGGCAGAAAGATGTGAAATCGAAACTTGTGCATAGCTACTCACATTCTCCCCCCCCCCAAAAAAAAAAAAGCTTGCACACAGCTACTTTTTACAGTTTTTCAATCTGAAAGACATTTTAAATCTGCAAGCCTTATCTGTAGTCTAGCCAAACATCATAATCATAAACATTAGAGATGCAGGGTTTAACTTTCCACAGTCTTTCACTTTCCAAATTACTGTTAGGAAATTTTCACTTAAATCAGTTTTAGATTAAGTTTACTCCTGTAATACTTCATTATTTAGTTTCCCAAGAAGTAAAGAAGAAACAAAATATTTAAAAGTATAGATAACTTTTCCAGAGAAAGTATCTTCTCTTTAGTTCCTTCTTCCATTCTACAAGTAATGCCTTTTGTCTACTGGTTTATTTTATTCCATTCAATAAAGCACCTGGAGAATTATGCAAAGGTGACTGAAATCAAAGCCAAATGGTTGGATTCTGGTATTCTATACATTTCCAAATCTATAGAAAGGAAATTTTGGATTCAATGGGATCAAAGCCCTTTTAAAGATTGTTCCAGAAAACTGATCTAAGGCTAGTCAATGCTGAGGTCGTGTCAATATTCTGAATATACCATCAAAGCCAGACTATTTCCTTTTCTTTCTCTCATGAAATAATTTCTTTCCTATAAAATATAATCATTGGTCTCAAAGTCTGTGCTGTATTTATTTCTTTCCAAAATTTAGTAAAATTAGTGACCATAGGAAGCAAGTTCAGATTGCATTGCTATTACAGGTTAGAAAATTGACATCTGTCATAGCTTAATGGAAAGAGATGGGACAGGGAATCAGAAAATTTTTCTATTTCTGTCTTTGCAACTATACAGTGTAATGAAAATGAACATGGCTTTGGCTCATAGTAAACCTGGGTTCAAATCTTGATCATGAGTTACCAGCCATGTTGTCTTGGACAAATCACTTATTTTCTTTCAGCCTGTTTCCCAATATGTAAAGCAGGGATAGTAAAACTATATTGTACAATTGTTATAGGAGAGGTAAATCGTGTGTGCATGTATGTGTGTAAAATGTTCAGGAAAATTCCAAATACATGTGATAAGCTTTATACTTGATAGCTGGTCTTGCATTTTCATCCCATTATAATGATGTGGCTTCCTAGGTAATTTCTAAGACTCCAAGAAAAGTCAACATCTCTTAGACGTGGTCCACAATGACAGATTTAAGTTTGCTCAGCATAGAAATAACAATCCCAAAACATTCTGAAGCAAAATCAAAAAGTCAAGATACAAGCTCTCTTTTAAATCCTATCATTGTGTTCTAAACCATGATACCTAAAACAAATCAAAGTATTAGCCATTTAAATTTGCTGAAGCTGTTGCTAGATTTTGGTCATCATTGATTCCTGTAAAATCTTCTGTATAATGACATGCCAATACTTATTTTTTAATCTTCCATTTGCTCTGGTAGAACATATGAATGTGTCCTAACCATATACTCTTACTGATGGTGTGTGCGTGGGTGTGTGGTCAGTCATGTCCAACTCTTTGCAACCCCTTGCACTGTAGCCTTTCAGCCTCCTTTGTCCATGGAATTTCCAGAATAGTGGAGTGGGTTGCCATTTCCTTCTCCACGGCATCTTCCTGACCCAGGGATTGAACCCATGTCTACTGCACTGGCAGGCAGATTCTTTACCACTGAGCCACCAGGGAAGCCCATTATTGATGGTAGGAAAGTTTAATGCCTTACAATTGAATTGGTGACTGTGTAATATGCAGTGATGAAAATAAAATCTAGCCCAAATGGACAGTCTTCCCAGGAGTGGAAGTGGTGAGAGGGTGTAACAAAAGAACCAAAAGATGATTGTGTCTCTGAAGTATCCCAGCTATGAGGAAGGATTGAAGGAGTTAGTCTCCTTACTGGAAAAGAGTTCCTCACTGACACCCAGAACCTGATGAAATGATGCATAAGAGGATTGAAACTGATAACCTCTTCCAGGAGAATAAAATAGCCAAGAGAAGATTCAGTGAACACTGCAATACCAAAAGCACATGTCAACTGACTCTTGTCATCAGAGCTACTTCTCCATTTCATTTTAGAAATGTAAATCCAGAGGTGATTGATCACACACTCTGTTAATCACTTCTTACTTCGAAAACCATAGACTTGAAATTCGAATGAAAGGAACTGAGGTTTTAGAGAGCTGGGTTAATAGAGTACTTTTGTTTTAGGTTGTCAGAATACTTTCCCTAAATTCTAAATTTTTTTTCCAGCTCTTTTAGTTTTTCATCAAATATGCACAACCCTTTTCCTTCTCATTAAAAAGGAATGGAGTTAGTTTGCAAAAAGTATAGACTTCACAATTCAACACAGGTATCAAGTGACCCAGAATCTGAATTCTCATCAAGGATATTGACACAGTGGGAAGAGATGAGAAAACTATGAAGAAAACAAGACTTTGCAGATCAGCAGTGTTACTAAAGACAAAGGTTACTTCCAAAATCCAAAGTTAGCAGATCACTGTTCAGATGTTCTCTTTCTCTATGCTGAGATTTCCTTGATGATCATAACAGTTTAATAAATAACTATAGTCCCTTACAGTTAAACCACCTTCTACATCTTCCCAAACTGTTTTCCATAAGCTCTCTTGATTTGTTCATTCAATGCTGTGAGGCAGCAGAGCAGGTGTCATAGTCCTTTCCTTACCTGCCGAAAATGGGGCCCTTCATAAACCTCAGAGTAGGAGCTCGCCTCAGTGGTAGTCCCAGCCTTGCCACTTTCTTATTTTTTACACCCTACATTGCCAGCACATAGACTTTCAGGCAGTTCAAGAGAATCTGGATGTTATAGTGCTTTAAACTAGGTACAACGTTCTGTTGCTAATGTAGTCCTTTCTATTTATTGCCTGCTCTCACATATTCATATATACACACAACCATAAACCCATAATGAAAAAATGAAGCATGCTATGACCATGATTGGCAAAGTATATAACCTAATAGTTCTTAGAAGATGAATTAATTTTTTATTCTCTTAATTTTTGTTTCCTTTCCTAAGATTCTCATGTTTTTCCTGACTAACATGTCTGTGTTCTCCTTTTCCGAAGACACTAACTGGAAAACAGCCTTTACCCCCCTCCCTTCCATTTTTCAAAGTCCTATTAATAGGTATTGAAACCAATTGTGTTTTTTCCCCCAGAGTTCTGAAGAGCTCTGTCACCACAGTCCTTTATGTTTCAGTGCAGAGAAGAATTCAGTGTGAGCAAAGTGATAGATAAGAAGTGATTGTTTAAAGAATAGGACTCTTGTGAAGTTTACAAGTGGGAAAGTGAGAAATGCCATGCTTTGAGAACTTACGAAGCTACAGTTTTATAATCAAAGGAAAAGTGGGGAGAGGGAGAAGACCTTCTTTGTCTTTCTTAAGTAGATGTCACACTTCCATCATCAGCTCCTCCTCCTGGTTGAGCACTGGAGTTTTCTTGTCCCTACATGGTCAACTAGGTCCACAAATTATTGCTTTTTATGTGTGCAGAGAGCAATGTCCTAGAGATCATTAACTTACTGAGCTCACTTGGGCACAATGGGGATCTGATGTCACCACTGTTTTGTTGTTTTGTGGTCTGTCTCGTGCTTCTTGCATGGTTTTATTGCTAAGTAAACCTGCTTTCTTGAGTAATCCATTAACTTATAGGGGTCTCCCATATTTTTTTCTACTTACAATCCCTTATAATGAATAATGAAGTCACCCAGTCATGTCTGACTCTTTGACACCCCATGGACTGTATTCTACCAGGCTCCTTTGTCCATGGGATTTTCCAGGCAAGGGTACTAGAGTGGGTTGCCATTTCCTTCTCCAGGGGATCTTACTAACCCAGGGAAGCAATCTGGGTCTCCCACATTGCAGGCAGATGCTTTACTATCTGAGCCACTAGGAAAGCCTACAATCCCTTAGTGGGATTATCTATTTAATCACCTCTTTGTACCTTCACTCCATGAGAATTTCTTTCTGTTTGTATAGAAGGCTAAAAGACTATAGAGATAAGCATATCATTTTTTTCTAAGAACAAGATGAGATGGGCGCTGTTTGATCACTAAGCATACAGACCTTACTATTTATAGATATAATTGTTGCTTTTGTTAGATTAGGATTAAGAAAACAGAATGATTCAATACCTAATGTTTGACCGTATTAAATTTCACGTATTGGGGTAATATTTGGTTCTTAAATACAATATCCAGCTTCTCCTACAGTTGATACTACTGAA